ACAAAAACATTAAATTTTAAATGTTTTTAAAACGAGTATGGGTTAGTGAGTTCACCAAAACTGCAAAACTACACAAATATAACTTGGCACTGTATTTTTGATGGCGATTGATTCGGATTTGAATAAAAAAAAAGTAGTAAATACACCAAAACAAGACATCTAATAATAATATTTATAATGGACAAAGCATTTTCTAGTAGAAAAAAAACGTCTATTTTGACTTCAAAAATCTACGCACGTACACTTATATTTTGTGTGCAACTTAAGTAATAAATGTAAAATTTCTATATACAGGGTGATTCACAAATGGTGACCAAAAATGAAACCTCGTATTCTTTGGTAAATTTTAAGGGGTCTTTCCTATAAAGTTTTTATCCAGGACACTTCGTTAGAAAGATACAGGGTGTTAAACTTCAAAAAAAAAATATTTATTTTTTTTAAATAATTTAAAAACTAGTAAGTGAAATAATTTGAAATTGGGCACATGTATTTATATAAAATTGTCCAAAGTCTGAGCGCTTTTCCGTTTACGTTTTCCAGTGGCGGAGATACAGGGTGTCGATGGCATATTTTTCTAAATAAAATAGTACGCCACTGCTTTACGGTAACAACCACGATATTTTCGGATTCAATTTTCTACAAATTACTACTGTCTTATGTTTTTCGAAAAAAGCCCGTTTTTCGAGTAAAACGAAATGAGAACACACTTCGATATTCGAATATAATGCTTTTTAAAATTACATAGTGGGCTGCGATAGTAACTTTGACATTCTGAGCAGTTACAAGAAAGAATAAACAACGCTTTCCATTAGATTCAAGCCTCACCCTGTATTTCAATGCATTGCTGTTGCATACCATTGCACCTGCACCGAATTGTACGTTGCTCAAAGTCAATCAATCGCTAATTAGCAATTCAGTCATTTCAGTTATTCGAGACGACACCGACAATGCTGAATGGGCAGCCAGCAGTTGATAACGATATGCAAAGTGAGAAAAAAATTAAAGGTTAATTCATGCAGAAATGGGTTAGATAAAAAGAACTCATCCAAATCCATGCCAAGGATGTTAAATTAAATATAGGTGATATCGGAACATTCATCCGCATCACAAAGAAAAAACAAAAAAAACTACTGTTACATTCTTAGACCTTCGGATACAGTTAACCTCATCAACGTCAATAACTGGATTTTTTTTTTCAAATATGGCGTGCGCATAAATTTGTTCATTGGGCGTATTATTATATTTATGAATTCTGGTAATAATAACACAGTTTATAAATGTTTAATTCAAAAGGTGTTTGTTTGTAACTTTTGATCTAATCAACATTTACTGAAGCTCGAGGGCTAGTTTTGTAGGTCTTTTGAAGACGAAACAAGTTATAAGCGAAAAACGTGAATTTACGTAATAATTATACAATTAACCACCCTGTAAACAATCTTCCCCCCATTTTTATGACTGTGGAAACTAATATGTTATTGGACATAATATTTAGCATCTATAGTGATAAATTCAGATTGCCGAAAGAAAAAGTCGCGAAATGGTCATTTTCCAGCTTATTTTCCTGACCTATCAACCTTTGATCGTTCAAGCCGTTGATTTCTTTCCATTACAAACTGAAGACGTGCGGTATCCGAAAAGAAGGCAACAGTGTTTAGAATTGCATCATCTTTGTCATCGTGGCATTGCAGCGAACTTTTCCTGCAATTTAAAGGAATTCGTACACTTCTAAGAGTGATAAGAATTGCCAACCAAACATACTTAACCACCTAAATGCAATAAAAGCACAGCTTTCACGTGTTGTACTGAAAATCTATGCGTGGCAAGAAACAAGGATATGTTCAAAGAATTGATTAAATTTTTTTCTGTGGGCAGCAAGAAAACTGATTAATAAATTTGAATAAAAATCATTTAAAGCATAAAAACCCCGGTCATTCCGTACGATCCTTTACGTACTTTAAAACGGGTTTAAAGAATATGCAAACGATCGACTAATACCCATAATCACCCGTAATCTCGCCTACGCGAACGAAAGAAGCGGTTTAATAATCCGCAAAACAAGACGGTCCACATATTGTTTACGACGTAATCACTAAGGAGTCATCCAAAAAAAAATTATGCACTCCCGTCAAAAAACAAATGCATGAATAATCGAGACAAACGACTCTGACCCTTAAACAATTATCGGGAGTTACGGAGCATCGTAGATAGTCCACCGTAAGGACTGTCACGTATTTGACTATTGCGCGAAATCTAACTATAAACAACGAAATATTTAACCGGTCAAATTTTCAGACCAAAATGGATTAATGTCGGGCAATCTCTAGTTGGCTGCCATAATTGAAACTTAAGAGTTTGTCTTGTTTTACGGCCTTTTTAAAATCTATTACAATAAAGTGTCAAGTCAAAGAGTCATGACGAAACAAAGTTGCTTTTTCTTTAATTGAACACCCTGTATATCATTCCATATTTCAATTCTCCTCATGTACCTAAAGAAACGGGAAATAGATTAAACTTTTCCTGATAAGGGGCAATTGAATGGCCAGCTAGGTCTCCCGATATGACCCCGCTTGACTTTTTCTATGGGGGTTACATAAAAAATGTAGTCTTCCAAACATATCAGCAACCCTGTATAATATATAATACAAGGTGTTTTCAAATTCTTCACCTTTGGACAACATCGAAAATACATCAGAAATAATTAAATTTGATCTAAACGTCTTCAGGATGCAACTAAAGTAGAAGTACCTCCTCAATCATAAACAACCTTCGACTTCGCTGGCAAACACATGAAAATAGATCTAAGCACCTCAAAATATACAAAAAAAGAGTAAAAATAGCGAAGGCCTGCTATTTTCAAATAAAATTTGTTGGGTTTGTGACCACTGAACTAAAGTAAGTTTAAATGAGGAAACATTTCGATATGTTTCTTGAAGAAAGTCATATTTAGTCTATCAATAAAACTATTTTACAAAATTACATCGAATTAGTACCCAATTTAGATAAATAAAAACAGATAAAGTAATCAAACGTGCTTTGTTCAACAATATTCGTGTGTTGATCAAATATCATATTAAATTCGATAACGTAAACAAAATAAATTCTAAGAAAAATTTAATGTCAACTGACCAATTCTTGGAAGTATTTATGTTAATAATATGACCAATTTGCCAGTAATAAAACTATAAACCCTTGACATCAGAACAAAGTTCAAATTTTACAACAACATATAATGAAAAATATATTATTATTTCGCCAATAACTAAATTCTTGACGACTATAAAACAACGAAAAAAATGTTTAACGAAAGAAACGAATGTAAAAAATAATTCTGGACAGAAGGCCAGGCCAGTGAACAAAGACCTACTAATATTTAAAAGGGGCATATTTATTTAAAGAGAACCTACGTAGACCGTAATTCCTTGAGGATGGTTCAATATTAACAGAAATGTTGTACAATATTAGACACCTTAAATTATTTCAATTAAATAGTTAATTAGAAACACCTAATTAAAACCGAGAGATAATAGTTATTTACACCATAAAGGAGGTAAGTATTATTTACCAGTCGAGGACGATTTTGCGCCCGAGCGGAGCGAGGGTTGGCAATAGAGTCCGAGACTGGTAAATTATACTTAACTGCTGCGTGGTGTATAATAAAAAAATGTCGGCCCCCACAATTCTTTATGGTTCGTGAAATAAAGATTAGGTTTTATTTTTTCACATTTCTTAATCAATTCATTTTGACATTATTCGAAATCTTGCAAAGTTGCCTTGGTTGTTTGGATTTTGTTGTTTCTAACAATAAGCTACATAAAAGTTGCAATTTGCAAACAATGTATTAATAGTCCATTTACTACAGTGGGAGCAGATAAAATTAGCTTCAATGTTCAAAACCTTATCCTACACGGATTGAGTGACGCTATATGTATACTAAACGATGTACGGAGTAGTAGCAAGCCCCTGTGGCCTAATGGATAAGGCATCGGCCTCCTAAGCCGGGGACTGTGGGTTCGAGTCCCACCAGGGGTAATTTCTTTTTTTTTTTCAGAAATAATATTAACAGCAACAAGTAAAAAGTATACATACAGTACGTTACTTTCTTTTTAAATAAAAAGCAGATTCCAACTGTTAACGGTTTGTTTGTGGCACCGGGCTTCAACATACGTTAATCCGGTACTGACAAACATCGACATTTGCAAGGAAAGTAAAAAATACTATAAATAGAACTTTTATTCGATCTTGCGCAATCGTGCTTAGTGAAAAAATGAAATTACAAGGAGTTCGCGTGAAAGAATGTCCTCACTCGCTGGCCAAGTTATCGTGTTTAAATATAACGGATACAATTACTAATTTTAAACTGGAATATCAATAGTATTTTTAGATCTGTAAACATTAATCTAAACTAGTTGTCTGTTCCGTAATAATCCGTTTATTTAAAGCAATGGTAAACAACATGGGCACATATATGTAATTGATTGCTTCAAAGAAGTATGAGATAATTTATGTTACCTTCACTCTTGCAATATTATATTTTTAGGTATGATTTAACCGTGAAAAGATGTCGGATGCCATAGGGCGATGGACTGGCGAGATAGAGAAGTTGGCAAGGCGCTCGATAAAATATAAAAAATAAATGCATTAAAAAGATACAAAGTATTTTCGCAAGAACGCACGTACCTATCTGAATTGTGTTGAACCTGTTGAACTTTAACGAGAAGGAACAAAGTATGAGGAATTTGTTTTATTTTAGAAGTAAAAGTTCGTCGAGACCGGTACAGAGATAAAACCCCTTTTCTATTTTTTTTACATGGTGATTCATTCATAATGTCTTTAATTTTAACCAAAGCCTAATAAGGTTAAAATATCGGGAAAAAATTAACTCGACCTTTTAAAAACGTCGACTATTATACATAAAATTTGTCTTCCATAAAGACTGACCTAAAGCCTGAAAAAATATATATTCCGCAGAGAAACGAAGCTGAAGAAAAAAAGGTACTAACCTGGCACTCTCGAACGTAGCCGAGGCGGATGTCCCAATGGCTCCGAACCCAACCCCTACCGCTAGCCCTTCGGGGATGTTGTGGACCGTGATGGCGACCACCAGCAGGATTATCCGTTTCCATTGCCCGTGTTGGATTTCCTCGATGTTGCAGGTCTCGTCGTAACTCTGCATGTGAACTAGGTCCTCAGTACGAGTCGTTATTGTATCAGTTATTTTACCTACTGTAAACGGAAAATGAAGTTCAGTTTGTCGTTCGGAAAATGGAGGCATGAATATTAATGACGGGAACAACAGTATTCCAAACACAGATAAAATTTGGACGAACAAGAAAAAAGAGTTATATTTCAATCGACATTTTTCCGTTTCTGTCGCTAACGCCCGAATGCAAATAAGCCGAAGAATAATAGACCAGTGCTTAAGCCTTCAAAAATGGTAAAAAGTGAAAAAAATTATAGTAGGATGAAACCCATTGGAAAAGGAAGATAATATAATAGAAATGACAGGAAAAATAATTTACGGGCGATCTGAGGTCGGGAAGGGGAAGGGGTGAGTTTTTAAGGGTAAAAAACGGTTTCCCTTGATTTCCGGAAAAACTACAAGTCTTATGGAAAAAAGTTAAATGGCAAAGTTGTAGGTAATAAAAACATCTACAACTTTTGTATTTACACTTTTTTCACATAACCTCAAAATTTATGTGATAAATTCAAATAACCAAGTTTTTGGTTTTTTATTTTTCTTTTACAAAAAAAAATTTTTTTTACGAAATTTGGTGAAAACTTATCTATTTATGTCCCAAACACGCTGTATATTTTTTTTGATTTGAAATATTTATTTTTTCACCTTATTTTTACTTAATATCGAAAAAGCACCCTAATTTTCAATCGAAAATTCTCACGTCAAAATATCTGCTTTTTTAAAAACGTCGGTGGGCTTTTTCTTCGTTGAAATCTCTACTATTTGAAGGTGTAAAAAAAAATACACATTACTATGGTAAGTTTTCTCAGGAAATGCAAAGAAACGAAAAAAAACTAGAATCCGAATTTTTTTTTCTAATGATTATGTACAATTTTGAGCTATTTATTAAAATTTACACTTTAATTACTCGAAAAACGTAAGATTCCATGTTACATTGATAAACAAAAAAATTACAAGTCGAAATATACTATTATAATTAACAACCAAATAAATTAATAAAGTTAATATTTAATAAAACATCTACAATATTTTGAGAAAGTTGTAGAATCTTCTTTAAATTATATACGTAGATGCCTATTTATTGCTATCGCTATCCTCGTAAGAAATTACACAATTTTAGGTGATTACACAAAAAATAGTAAATAACTTAAAAACTAGAAGAGATAGGTATAGGGAACCCAGATACTGTTCGAAAGAGAATAAAGTTGTGTATCAGAATATAGAAAAACTTACAGGTTTCCATTTAAAAAAACCGACTTATGAAGGTTTGAAGTTAACTAAACTCGGCATTAAATTTCTAGCACTCTATATGCAATTAAGCCACTTTGAAAATATGGATGGGAAGCTTAGGGGTCTACCTATCCCCCCTATAAATATTGTTGCTTTATTTTTCTTACTATAAAATACACATAGTTTGAAGCTAGTCACTGTTCTCTCCATTTTTTTTGAAAAAAAAATAAATATCTCGAAAACGATTATTAGTAGGAATAGGGAAACTTCATAAAAGTCCACCTAAAATAACACGTAAAATCAAAAATTGCAATAATATACAGGGTGTTCCATTTAAAATAAGCAAGTTGACGGCGACTTCCGGTATAACCGGAAGTAGTACGTGGACGCCATTATTTTAGTTGAGAAGGGCATGCCCGAAAACCCGGTATCCCAAATTTTCAAAATTCAAATCGAAGTAGTCTCTGAAATAATTCTAATGGGCCGTCACGGTAAGACACCCTGTATGTAGATTAATAGAACGGTAAATGCTAACTGTTCTGATAAAAAATCAAATGAATAATCTTTAAATTAGAATCATTATCTAAATTAATGCGCTTTCTGCACAAGTAAAATGTAAAAATGCTTCTCAATCCAAGGTCACAGAAAACAACTGAATGATATTAAAGTGCCGACAATAACATATGCTTCATTCAAGCTCTGCAAATACCGGCCAAGGCCTCACCTGGACTTGACCGCCCAGTGTAATCCTACCTTAACGCTAAGATTGCTAAGAAAGCGAAATTGTAAAAAAAAAAATGACGAGAGCAAGTCGCTTATTGACACTAGACAGTTAATTCCGTTGAACGCGTAACGGTTATCCGATCATATGATCGCCAATCCGCTACACTCCCATAATGAGTCTTACAAATGAAACTCGACGCGAGAAAAAACACATCCGCGTCAGAGATTTCGGTGGACGGCCTTAGAACGACAAATCCTAGACGAGGCTTGTGCAATTGGCTCGCTTCGAACGTAGGGCTGAGATTTTGACCTCGTTTCGATGCATTGCGAAACGACTTACAAATATTTAGATTACAATTACTAATTACTATAAAGCTTTTATTTGCCAACGCGATTGGCAGGATTAGGGAATAAATCTGAAAAATCTGATACGTTTATCTAGCCACGTACAGTTCTAAGAGCCCAAACACAAACTGGAATTACGCAAAATAAATAAGGATTAAAAAGTGCAAATTTAATTTTTCGCGTTGTTTCAAGATAACGTTTTCCGACGGTATCACCCTCAAAATCGTGAAAACTACTGATAATTCGAGTTAAAGGATGGTTGAGGGTATAAACGCACATTTTTTAGTCAAACAAATATCTATCTATCTACCAATACTGCAAACTTAAAGATAGTAATTCGTAACACAATGGGAAAGAACGCTGGTTGAAAATATGTTCATAAAAAGTAGGGAACTGATCTTTCAAGGACGAAGTTAGATGGAGAAATAACCACCATCAGTACGGTACACAGTCATAAACGTAAGGATAAACGACAAAACGTTAACAGTTCTGCATTTTTTTAAATAATAAACGATAATTATTGAAGCCGCACCTAACTTCTTTCATTGTTAATGTTCTACCTGTAACTAGGTACTTGCAAAAAATAGGAATCAACTTCCTATGTTATATTAAAAAGAAATACCCACAAAAATATGTCACCTGTCGAAAAATAACATTTATTTATTAAAAATTTAACTCATTTGATAGATAAATAAATTCAATCGTAACAGAAGGCTTGATCTGTCTAATACAGGGTGATAAAATCGACTGGTCGAATAAATAAACGCAGCGAAATAAATTTTATCCCACTACAGTATTATTTAAAAAAATGCACTGTCTGTATAAATCTAGCTGAAAGTAGTCTAACTTATAAGTTGAAGAAAATTTTCTGCACTGGAGCTATAAATTAGAGTTAATCCCCTAAACAAATATATTTCTAAATAATAAATTCTAAGCAAAGACAACTCTACAGAAGTTTAAATACCAAACGAGATATCAGATAAATAAACTACCTCCACACGAACACACAATTTGTAAACAAAATTCAAGGTTAGTGTAACAAAACGAAGCCAAAAATTTCTACAAGAGGAATTTCGTAAATATCTTTCACTGGCCTCTAGTGTTGCAAAGAAAATAACGATGTTGGCGTCTGAGGTCTTAGATTAATAAACAATATACAGGGTGATCCACAAACGGTGACCAAAATTGAAACCTCGTATTCTTTGGTGAATTTCGTATAAAGCTTTCATCTAGGACGCTTCGATACAAGGTGTTAAACTTAAAAAATGTTTTTAATTCTTTTAAATAATTTAAAATTCGTTTTTTAAGTTTTACTCGAAAATCAAGCTTTTTTCGAAAAACTTAAGAGAGTAGTAATTTGTAGAAAATTGAAAGACGGATTCGAAAATATCATGGTTGTTACCGTAAACCATTGGCGTATTATTTTATTTAGAAAAATATGCCATATTAGGAAAAGGTCTCATATTCTGGACAATGTTTGCATACGTATATGTGCCCAATTTCAAATTATTTCACTTACTAGTTTTAAATTTATTTAAAAAAATTAAAAATATTTTTTTAACACCCTGTATCTTTTTAACGAGGCCTCCTAGAAAAAAACTTTATAGGAAATACTCCCCTTAAAATTCGCCAAAGAATACGAGGTTTCAGTTTTGGTCAACGTTTGTGAATCACCCTGTATGTAAACATCCAATACAGATCAAATCTAAAAGTACATTTTGAAAAGGAGCAAAATGGAAATACAAAAAACTGTATTTGAATATCATACGTATCTGATTCGAAACAATGTGGCTTATAGACACAAAATTTGTAAACACATGCTTCAAAAAAGAAAAAATATATAAAAACGCATTTGAAACTTGCAGAATTACCAAATTAGTTTTTATAACGAAGATATGGCACAAATCTTGTAACAATTAAATTAATAAACTACCAGCAGAACTGCATTTTTCTCTGTTGATCAAACCAAATTAGGAACCATCAAAAAAGTCCTAAATTCGACGTATTCAAGCTAGTTATATATAATATTGTTAGCGTTTACTTCTTTAAAAACTGACATAAACTAACCTTAGACTTAAACGCATTTTTATTATTCGCTACATGAGCTTTCCCTTATCAGAAACGTAGACTGATTTAATAGCATGAATTAATTCAAGAAAAAGTTTAAACTAAGGCCGCTTCCGCAATTTTGCCATATTTTTGTAACCACTACTAAGCTTGTAAAAGGTTTTACAAGACTTCATGGTAAGCAGAATCAATATTTATACAGTATGTATCTCTTTTACAATTTAAAATAAAGAAAATTAAATCCAACACTAAAAAAGAAAATGCAGAAGAACAAAGACAAAGTGGATGAATATCTACCACACAAATTCCAAAACTTTAGTAACATAATTTCAATGGACTTAAGAGAGGTAATTACAAAAAAAAAATTCATAAAATATCTTTAAAAAAAAATACTAAAAATTCATCATGAACAATTAATTGTCAACATTATATTTTAGAAATTGCCCCACATTATTTTATGCACCTATATACAGTATGTCTGAATTTTTAAATACAAGTAGGCTGGTGGAATCAAGTGAAACTTTATTTTTTATCGAAAACTCCCTGTCAGGGATTTTTTACTGAAAACTTAACACCGAAACAATTGTGCACCTTTCTAAAAGAAATGTCTATTGGTTATTGTTTTACATTCCAATAAACTTAAAAAATAATAATTTTCTGGTGTGCATATAGGATGCCATGAAATCATAAACAATTGCCTGTAGTGACAATATTTCAAGGGCTAAAATATTTCGCGCGGTAAAAAATTAAATATAAGAACTACACATAATGATTAATAACAATATAAAGTTCCAAATAATTAATAACTACTTCACATTTAATAACCATTAGATATTTTTTCTTCAAATTTAATATTTAACTATTTTTTGGGGATGCAGAATAGTTCTATGATGTTTTGTTTTTGATTTCATGGCATCCTAGATGCGTACCACAAAATTATATTTTGTATTTCTTTCAAAGACCCCCAGGAAAGATATTTTTCCTTCAAATTTGTTTTTTTGGGGACATAGACAGCCCTACGGTGTTATTTTTTCAGTAAAAAAACCCGTAACATGTTTTTTTTTAAATACACCCATATAAGTATAAAAAATCATAGCAGGCCAGGGGTTGTCAAATAAGGAAAACAAACACACTGTCAAATTTAACGACTACAAAGTATAAACATAAAAAAGTAGGCGGTGAAAGTGCAAGATGAAATTAAATAAACTTAACTTACCCCTTCTACGTTGAACGGAATGCCCGGTGTCGCTAAACCCATCTATGGCAGTCATGTCAGGCGAAGACACATGTGAATCTCGTCTAGCACTACTACGTCTACTGTCTTTACGATTACTCGTGGCATGTAAGGCTACAAAATAAGACGAAGGTCTTAGCATACCAACTTTTCGATGCGTTTTAAATCGGTGGTATTTAGAGGTTTAATTGATAACGTGAAACTATTTCAATAAGTAAACATCAACATACCTAACATCATGTTTGGTGAATGAATGCCTAGCACGGTGATTAACTTATCAGCACCATACACGAAGAAGGCCCCTAGGAGGAACCCAAAGGCTACGGGCAAGAATGCATACTCTCCTTTTTCTCCATAAATCTTAGATTCGCTGGCTTGCTCGATGGCTGGAGCCAACAGGGACCAAAAAGACGCCGCTGTCATAACACCAGCAGCGAATCCCAGACTTGCGTCCAGAAGTTTTCTCTGAAAATAGCCTCAAATAAGTATATTTGTTTACATGTTGAGGTTAGGTTCTAACCTGAGATCCTCTAATGACAAGAACAAGTGCCGCTCCTGCGGCGGTAAGGCCCCAAGTAAATAGGGTGCCTAGAAAAGCTTGCATCACCGGTCCATAGCCTTCCAACATTTTGTTTATTTCTTAATTCACCAACAAAACCTTAACATGCCCAAGTCAACAAATCCACGCACCAACACCGACTGCCACATTAGCGCGTTTTCTTGAATATATAATTTGAAACGTGTCAACAACAATTGTTATCAGACCATGCGCGTATAAGCCAAGTGATTATGGGGATATAATAAACAAATAGCTTTTAAATTCGTACCATTTGCTAATAGTTGTGCACCTATTGACGTTAATCTTTCTCTTCTGCTCGTTCTGTTCGTTTTTCGATTATTCAGTCGCCAGTCTTCTTTCGCCCTGCTCTGGAGTAGGTAGGTAAAATTTTCACACATCAATCGAGTGCAGTTATCGTTGTTGTTATGCTGCTTGCTACTACCAACGATGTAACTCTAAACTGAGGTACTTGCACAGTTTAATTACGTGTCATCAAAATGTACATACCTAAGTAATTTATGTTTTGGTAACAATGCCGAGTAATTAAATTGTCATCAGGGTGTTCTTTCGAAATACCTACGTGCTTTATAAGCGATATTATTGTTAATGTGCTGAGAATTAAAACAGCAGTTAATTGTAACTAACTTCAAAACTCTTTTTTTAAAACAATCGAAAATAGATAATATTCCATTAAACTTAAAATACCTACCTTAAAATTTAATTATTGTTACAGTTATACAGTTACATCGCTACAGAAAATTTTAAATGCCTATCTAGGTACCCACTTGTCACAATAATTATCTAGACGACATAAATAAATAGGTAGGTACTTATCTGTAATATTTATATTAATATATAATTATTGTAATTAATAAAAAAAACTTCAAATAGGAATAAATATTTTAATTGGTGTGGTGATGGTTGCATAGGCATAACGAACAAACGTGAATATTTACCACTCGAATTTAATACTTCAAAATTTGATATCAAAATAAAATACATAAATAAATGATGAATTGTAAGTGTCATAGCCAGCAGTATTTGGCATAAAAATGGGAAATAATGCATTTTATTTTGCAGTACCTTGTAGGTAGTCCCCTTTTCTTTAAGTAGAATTGTTTTTTTAGATACAAGGTAAAAAAAAATCGAATGTTTTGCTTTTTTTCAAATTGTTTATTAACGATTCTTCGCATAAATTTCCTTTTAAATTTTTGAAATAGGTAAGCCATTTCGATGGGAAATTCAATTTTCTAAATAATTTTTCCTATGAACTACTTATAGCGAAATTTTGCTTCGTTTTCCAGCTACAATTAAAAAACTGAAAGGGGTGCATTTTTACCCTTATCTTCAATTTCCACCCTCTAATTTAATAGAACTCCGTGGTTTTTTCATCTAAAATGACCCTTTGAACGATTTCATGCAATAAAATTGCTTGAACGTCATAGTTCCGTTTCGTCCTATTTTTATGGATATAATCAATAGTCTACCAATGGAATCTTTCTCGTTTCAACACGTTTAAGTGTGGGTGAGATATAATCGCCTGTCTTTAAATGTATTGAGATAATTCTAACTGATTGTAAAAGATTTCCTGAATTCACATTAAATGCTCCTAATAATGAGGTTGATAAGGTAAATGTTAAGTATGCATGTACAGGGTGCTCTTATTTCTAACGCCATGAAAAAGTTGTACGTTTAGAAATAAAATTTATGTCAGAACTTTAATTTCTGAGAATAACTAGTTCTGTAGCAACTTCTCTTAAACATAATGTATTTTTTTTTAAAAAAGGATGACTACTTTCTGGCCATAGCTTTCACGGTGGGAAAAGGGATGAAATGACAAATACTTATCGATTTTTAAGTCAGTGAAGATTTATTAATCCATAACAAGTTTGCAATTTATATCAACTTGATAACCACAAACTTAAATTAGGTATTGTCAGGATGTAAAAATATCTTTCTACAAGAATTACAATATTTACAAGCGTATTCCAAACAACAAATGATGATCTCAAAGTACGGAAATGTTAAGTCGGCCAAAAGTATGAGAAATCACTTAAACTTATCGCTCACAATCAGTAGAATGGGTGATTAAATTATTTTACCTAATTATACTATGTCTTCTTGTTGAGGCACAATCTTTATGCAGCTTATATGATCGGTGTTCTCTGGGGATGGATATACTCGTATAAGAACAAGATCTCGATTTTTTTAATTTTAAAGGCGAATTAATACTGCGTCAATTTCCTGCCATATTTTTAATACCGGATGTATATATTGTTGTTTAAAGATCGTCAATTATACTAATAAATATAACATAGTATGATATCTATATCAGAATAATGTAATAATAAATACTTAATAAATAAATACAATCATAAAAATATGTCTGTATCTAAAATCACAATTATAATTTTGTTATATATCTCAGATAACAATTATTGATGTCTGTTTGTTACTTATACGAAATATATTTATTCCAGAGTTCCCCATAACACCCCATACCCTTAAAATGCACCCCTAAAACTCCCTCTACGTACCGAGAATGAGACAACTTAACAACCTGCCACTATTCTATCACGCTTGTCCTAGTCACTACGTATATTATACAATTGTTAAAACTACAAAAACATTTTCTAATTTATCCATTTTTAGTCAAGTGTACCCAAAGAAATGTAAGGACTTTTTAATACCTAATACAATATATATATATAAATATGTATATCGAGATATGTATGTATATTAGGATTTTTCATTTCATTCATTATGTTTTGATTGTTTTTAGGGCAAAAATAAAAAGAAATTTAGGAAATATTGCATTTATCCTTTATCTGTGGATAAAATAGTACAATAGAAATGTCAAATTTGAAAACTCTTTGCTACCATCTTTGTTCTTGCTTACAAAATTGGTCTTTACTTCTAAACAGTCGAATTTTACTCCACCTATTTCGAGCTATAAAAATATAAAATATAATTTTCCTTTCGTTTCCTTGAATAAATTAAAAAATGTTTCGACTTAGGCTAGCAACTGTTAACTTAATATTACAACATGTTCTAACAACATTTTATAACAGTATTGACTAATCAGCCTAAACTATTATTGATTAATGCAAAACATGTAAGAGCACCTTAATATTATAGTACCAAGCTAGATTATCACTCACGCGAGGTAAGTCACAGACAATATGACTTAAACGAATGCGTATATCAAGTAGGCCGTGAAAGCTGTCGCGAAGAGTTTAAGGCTTCTTTTTTGGGTCTAGGACCTATAAAAAATTAAATTCGACAGTGTATGAGTATTTTCAGCTTCACAAACAAATGAAGAGTTTCAAGAACATATTCAAACAGCAGTAATTTGTATTCTACAAACTTCTTGTTTCGAAAAAACTGTTGTCACCAATAATTATTGTACAAAATTCGATTTGAAGTTAAAAAATTAGTTTTTAGTTCAATGGTTAATGATATGTATTGATATTAAACAACAGAAACCGTATCGAAACATTCTGTTCATTTTGCAAATAGAGGCAAATGTTAGTATAGGTAGATCAACGAAATATTTCATACTGACTGACTAAAAAAGGATATCCCGCCAAGAAAAAACAAAACTATGAATATTAAAGTTGTGTACTTCCTCGGGGGACACCCTGTATAACTTCAAAATATTTTTTAATGGAAATTAGATCAAAAAGCAAATTATATGGTAAAATTTTTACTCTTTCAAGTAAAAGGCCATCAATTGACGATTGTAAAAAAAGTTTTTCTCAAAAATTAATAATTTTTTTTCCTGGACAGTTAAAAATTCGATACGATACGTCATAAAACCAACAAAGATCACGTGAATGACAATCGTCTTGATACAGAAACTACTAGAATGTATCTACAATAATTTCCTGAGGTGAAATTTATCAGTAATAAATCAGATGCTTCTCCATTGACTTTCTTCGTACAGTAAAAGTATGAGCACGAAACAGAACTCTTACGATTTAAAGATAAACAGGTCGAATATGAAACACTTGGATTGGAATTTAGACTACATTCGGAATAACCTCAAAAATAATAACAATATAGCTGCGGCAACAACAGTTATTTACATATCATGTAACATTTTATTTGAAACCACATAATAATGAGTGCAAAATGTTCAAAATTTTGTAGTTTTAGGAATGACTGTTTTAGGAAATTTTATATCACTAAAACAATTCTAATGTAGTATCGGAGATATAAACTTGTGTTGTTTTATATAGAACATCGCATTCACATGGCATGCTGGTTTATGTCTCCAAAGGTACTGACTTGATATACCACGAATGTATCTTGAAACTTTGGTCCTTATCATCGTGTTCCTTTTTTTTAATAGTTTAAGCCCACTTTGTAACTTAGTACTCGATACAAAAAATTTGGAATCCCTAGCGAAGCGCTAACGACCCAATCTCCCGAGGCCCGCACAGAAGGTGTTCATACGTCGACCCAACAGCAGTGCTCTTACTTATTCAGGACCAAGGTTCTGAAGACACCGCGAAATCTGCTCGTGAGCTTCATAGTTTTACAACTGGACATATAATTTACAATTTACTTGTAACATACATGCAGACATTTCATGTCAAAAATTGAAAACAACTGATTCGTTACTTTCTCAAGTACTATGGATGCATACACGGCATTGATTAGGACCAAAGCTTTCCAACATCAGCGAAGTCAGTGCGCTATGTACAGAATTTAACCTGGCTTAAAATTTTTAAACGTCACTTTCTTGGACAGAGCTTTATATTTGATCTGGAGAAAATTATTTACATTTCTATTCAGCAGCGACACGGGTAGCAGCTTGTCGAAAGAATTCTGTTTATATCAGAAACCGGCTTTCATCAGGCATTCGACGTCCTCGTCCTCGTCCTCGCCCGAGCTGCCTGACGGCGTCGGAGACGGCGACGAAACGTTGTCCATCAAGGATGCCCCCAGGGTGTGCTGCCTTGGAATGCTGAACCGCCTCTGATTAGACTGCGTCAACCAAGACGGCCTCCTCAGTGATGACGTTCCGAAAGATTCCTCAGGAATTGTATCCCTGCTAATTGATCTAGAATAATTTACACGGACTTAACGCCGCTCTTATAGGTTTTTTTATACATAGCACATCATTTTAAAGGAAGCAACTGATATATGTTGTATTATTAAGCTTACATATTTATCATATCCTTTTTTTTAATGTATACGGTACAGCAATTTGAATTCAATGAATAAGAAACTAAAAGAGAGGAAGTTCTTGATTTCTTAAAAAGGCTGTGTTAAGTTTTGGACTACCTACACTACAAGAGAGGTTCTTTGGACGAAAGTAATATAAGTTTCTTTATGTCATTTTCTATATAGGGTTTCTTTTTCAAGATTAAAATTTTGCTCTATTAGACCAGGAAAATTAGCGAGAAAAAAGGAGAAACTCGAAAAAATTCCCGTGCGCGATATTATTGTAAAATTGTCTAAAGCAACATAATACAAGACATCTCTCATCGCGTGAGTCAAAAAATTTTAATTAGGTAACTTTTCTATTTAAACAAGTGGGGAAAACAGTTTTTTCACTTTACAGGGAAAACCATCAATTTTAGCGAAAGGTGACTCTCAGACAGCTTGTAGGGAGTAAAATTATTTACAAAATGAGGCTTGTTAAATTAAAATCGGTTAATAAACAAAAAAGGTATTGCAAAAAAAACAAGAAAAGTGCCCATTTTTTAATTTGTTTATAACTATCGCATTTATTGTTAAAATTTTATAAAACCTATGACAAGATGAGGATTTTGTCATACTTTAAAAGTGTGCCAAAAGTGGGCGCTGTAGGTGCAATAGTTATCGCACAATTCAATTTGTTTATAACGGAGGCTCCAAGAGTTATGAACTTTAAGCCTCCATACAGGCGTTAATTTTCAACCAAACATGGTTCTGAAAGCGTCATTGTAATCTTAAAGACGTAATTAAGCGACCTATTAAAAAATATCACCGTTTTTTTAACACTAACATTCTCAAATTGTGCATTAAAAACCGTGCGTTTTTCGCTTATAAACAATTTGAATAAAATTGTTGCTATTTATGCTACCTCGCCGAAAATAGATGCAGTGGATAGCTGGCAAAAAAATATAAAAATGCACCCTCTACTACCAACAGGAGCCAAGATAAGATTTTTTTTTAATCGTAGCGCAATTGTTTATAAACATTAAGACTTGCATTTTTCACAAAATAAAGTTTACGACGTAAACTACGATATCCCGTGAATTGCATTGAAAAATGTGGAAAATTAACGACTCACGAGCCCTTTAAAGAGAAGGTACTTGCTAAGTAAAATGTCCGGCGTGGTGAAGTTCAAATTGATGCGCGCTGTAAAATTTTGCATTATCTCGGCTTCTATTCATCGTAGAAACTTCTTTTTTTTTAACCTGGGATAGCTCGACGTAAAAATAACAATGGGCATATTTACGAATTCGAATAAGATTGTTTATTAACCGATTTTAACTTAACAAGTCTCATTTTGTAGATAATTTTATTCCCTACAAGCTGTCTGTGAGTCACTTTTCGCTAAAATTGATGGTTTTCCCTGCAAAGTGAAAAAACTGTTTTCCCCACTTATTTGTTTAAATAGAAAAGTTAGCTAATAAAATTTTTTGACTCACGAGATGAGCGATGCATTGTATTATGTTCCTTTAGACAATTTTACAATAGTCTCGCGTATAGGAATTTTTTCGAGTAAAAATTTTATTTTCTTGGCCTATATCAGTTCATTAAAAAATTGGATCGTTAAAGAAATTACCGCTATTTTAAACTGACACCCTGTAGCTTGAAAACTGGTCGAATAAATGAAAAATGGCATTAAGAAAATCTTATTATTTTTACCCAAAGAATCTGCGGTTAATTTAGTTGTAAAAATACTGGGGACTATACGTTATGTTAAGTATTTACTGTAGGACATTCTGATGTTTTAATAAATTATCTCAAGATTTAATTAAAAAAAAAACAGTAAATAGATACTTTGGGTATTTTTAGCCTGTATTATAAACTGCAGTTGTATGTGTTATAAATAAATTCACTTCTATCGTTATAATTACAATTTCACGACGTATGTGTATTATGCTTTATTTATTTAACTTGTAGTTGAACGCAATATACAAGATTTTTTTTGTCAAAAAAATTGCTTCGGGTAACTTATTGTAACATTGGAATCTGCGGTTAGGTAAAATTAAACATTTTTATTTAAACTCGTATTTGACTTAATTGCCCGATTGCTGCTTCTGTGAAGTTAACTAATAACAAATTATTATATTAAATACAAATTCGCTGGTACAGATAAATGGGATTTTCGTTCTTCACACAATTCAAATTTACGGATAGATTAGTTGATAATGCAGACCAAACACTACCGAGGTTTATTACTACATTGTTCTTAGGTTAACTTATTATGAAAATGTAAGATTAGTCAAATCGTATATCAGCATGCTCTTTTACCAACAAACAAAAAGGAAATCATGCTTGCCATATAGTTGCGCTTAATTCGACACGTATAGATAGTCGTGTTTTAGGAACATTTAATTTATCAGCTTGTCTATTTGAAATGCGTTTCGGTTCTAGCACGTAGGAAGATTGTATTGTTTATACAACGTGTTCCACCTGAAACCTACCATCTTTTTATGACACCGAGTGAGCAGAAATCAAACTAAAGAGAAAATTTTGAAAACCACCTAAAAATTTATAGAACAACGACTATTATACACATTTTATGTGAGAGCAGTGTTAAAAAAATGTCAATTTTGTGCACATACAGGGTGTCCTGATGATATTTGTAATAAAAAAGTCTTATACGAAAAAGTTCTATCTTCGCCTTTATTTTTGTAAATTAAAGTTCATTTATTCAACGGAACTGATTTTGTACTTGTAATGAATTCATTATTCACTTAATTATTAAATATTAAGCATCGTCCATCGATCCATCATGTTAAAAAGTGAAAGATTCCAGACAAAAGTTTTTATTTTGTAATTCCACGATAGTGACAGTGTAATATTTATAAAGAAGTAAAAAATAAGAATAGCGTGCCGATTACATTAAAAACGAGATTCTTATTTCTTACTTTGAATAATTTTTTAGTTTGTGCACAAATTAGTCTTACAATGAACCGAGAAAACAATGCATTTACTCGAACGTGTCGATATGGTGTTAGTGTATGGTGCAGACGGAGAAAATGCGCTCGTGGCGACTAGATTGTACTGGAAACGATGGCCACAACGTCACCACCATGTGCAAATACAATCCTACAGTGCGTTCAGCTGCTGCGAGATACGGGAAGCGTTATTTCTCGAGGCGATTGGACGTAGTCAGCAAGTGAACCTTAATGTTGAAGATGCAGCGTTGGAAAATCTTGACCAAGACCCCACAATTAGTACTCGGCACAGCAAGTAGGAACCCCGTCTCGTACCGTCATCGCATCTTAAGGCGCCAACTGTTGCACCCCTATCATCTGCAACCAGTTCAATAGATTTTACCTCCGGATTGTGATTAACGAATGCGTTTCTGCAGATGGTTTTTACGGCAATGTGCCAATCAAGTAGACTTTTCTGCTTATGTTTGTGTAACAGATGAGGCGACATTTACCCGTGATAAAGTGAATTTCCAAAATATGCACATATGGGCCGATGAAAATCCTCACGCGATTAGGGAAACTCACTTTCAACATCGGTTCTCGGTAAATGTTTGGGCTGGCATAATAGGCGATGTACTTGTGGGTCCCTATTTGTTTGAAGGACGACTAAATGGACCAACATATGCTGACTTTTTAGAGAACCGGTTGCCTGAATTATTGGACGATGTGGCATTACAAGATCGGGCACGCATGTTTTATCTTCAAGATGGGGCTCCTTCACACAGCACTCGAGAAATAACTACTCTTTTGAATGAAATATTTCCTCAGCGATGGATTGGACGCTTTGGTCCTGTGCCGTGGCCACCTCGGTCACCCGATCTAACTCCAATGGATGGAGTCTCTTGAAGTCATTGGTTTACAATACTCCAATTGCTACGGTGGAAGAATTGAGAAACCGTATACTTGAAGTTGCTGACACAATTAGGGGAATACCTAAAATTTGGGAAAATATTCGCCAAAATTGGGTGCGTCGGTATTCGCGCTAATGGGGATCTATTTCACAAAAATTGAGAAGTATCTTTCTATCTTTCAACGACGATTTGTTCACGCGGCTGGTATACAGCACGTAACTCATCGTATAACACGGACAGAACCGTTCCAGAGAAAATATTTTGATCCACAATTAAACTTTAATTCACGAAAAAAAAAAAAGACGCAAAAATACAACTTTTTCGTATAAGACTTCTCTATTACAAATGTCGTTAGGAAGCTGTAATTTAATTTTTATAGATTATACACGCCACACCCTGTACAGTTCCATAAATATACTTATTAGAAATTGCAATGGGGAACAAAAATAGTACCAGTACGACAAATAAGTATTCCAAAAAGGTTCTAGGTGAATCACGCCAGACACGTTAACTATCGAGGCAAAAGCCAACAATACTAAGATTTTTAACTAGAGAAATATATCAACTATTAGATTGCTATGTACAACAGGTGTATACTTTTTTATGTCTAATTCTGTAGGGAAAAATTTCCACTTCTAGTTCGAGAGAAGAAACCGCATTGATACCAACAGTAGCAACTAAACTTCTACTAACATCTGGCACAACACAGTGGTAAGGATATAAAGAAATTGTTATCCATCAAACTGCGGAGATACGTAAAGCGCCAAAATCGACACAGACGATCATGACAGCTAGTGCGGCATTGTAATTGGTTAGTCAGTTGTTAAGGTTCGCATACATCTGGACGCTGAGTGTCGGTATATATGTATAGACTTGTTGCAACGTACATACTACACATCTAGACATTGTGTGGGCAATTTGTATTCTTTGTTTTCGTCAGTCTAGCGGTATATCAATCATATTGGACGTTTTTAGGCAAGTAATAGTTATTATTTATTTAATTTTAAGGTATAATCGGTATAGCTAACTGTGTTCCTAGAGATATAGCCATTCTAAATTTGGTGCTTGTCAAATAATGAATATATAATTGTCTTGTTCTTGGATATTAGTTATTTAACGTTTTCCCAAAACACCCCCCTTCAATATCGATGAAATTTAAGTAAAATGTAGTAAAGAGTAAAGGACTCGAGTTTAGATGATATCATGAAGATACAACAGTGGAGCTAGTTGCCGTCATTTAAACCGTTCTGTGACCTGGTGGCAAGCGATACATCCGTACCGACACCGTGTCCAGCCTATGCGAACCTCCAGAGAAGACGTGCAGGATGACAGACCGAGCAGCCATTAAACAGTAAAATTCAATTTCTTACATTTTCATCGGCTACATGTTCACATATGATTAATGTAGGATTCATTAACACACCCGCTAAGCTCTAGCATGGAACCTCGTCGGGGCGGCCTCCGTTGCCCCGGCGTTTGGGGGGGCTGGGGTAGAGGGGGGATGGACATCTGCTTCTGGAGGACGCCCAGGGGGTCCGTCTCGCCGTCTTCTATCAGCAGCACAGCGTTCCGTCCCGCGGAACCTCGGCGCTCCCTTTGAGGCGTGGATTCCGAACTGCTGGCGTGCTGTTCCGAGCCCAGGCTCTCGCGACGGAACAGGCCTATTACCGAGGAGCGGGGATTTTCCAGCCCACCTGAAAGGTTAAAAACAAGTTATAGGGTCCATTGGACGTTTTGGTAAAACTTGAAAGTCAAAACCATGTAACTCTGGCTTGATACTAGGTTATGAAGGGTATTGGGACCAGCACAGGGCTGATGACTTGACCAGAGTAGACTCATCTGCATTCTGAACTGACTAAGGCGTTGCTAGACCTCGTTACTACCACACTCATACAGAAATGGGTGAAGACTAAGATCGAGAGATTGTGGCAAGCAGCCCTGGACAAAAGCAAGTCAAAAAGTTGACGGTGGACATAACATACTACGCTCAGAAAACATTATAAGCTTCGTAAAGGTTTTGTTATTTACTATTCTGAAAAGAAAAACTGTTGAATATAATCAGAAGGCCAAGATCATAATAGACATAACTGAGGACACCAGTGGAAGAAAGATATTTAAGTGTATGTGGTGGTTACCTTAGATCCGATCAAGATGTGAACAGAACTTTTTTGAGATAGTAATTGTTATTTAAGCTTCAAGCAATGGGAAAGTATATGAATCAGCTGAAAGGAACGGATCTGAAACGTCTTTCTGATGTTATTTCTTGTAGTGCTGTTGAGGATATGGGTGGAAGATACTGTGAAGAAGAAATTGTGGCTCTCATAGAACAGATAAATTATAAAATTGTTAATTCATAATGATGATTGATATCAATATTCAACCTTTTTTCTACACTAAAATAAGGAACATTTTCTTGATTGACTGGTCCGAAACGATAAACTTTCTGGCTAAATTACGCATCTCTGAAAGTTCTGTCGTAAAACCGAAGCAATTAATTATGACTGGCTTTGGAAAATAAAAAATAGTAAGTATGAATCTATAGCCGAGAAACAAAGGACGATCTAGAGACGCCAACTCACAAATTTTGATTATTTTTACTTATTATATAAGCGTTTTAAAGTACCATTTTATACATGCAAGAATGTTTAAATGCGAGAACGTAATTCGTTTAATAATCTTAAGTGTATAAAAGGCAATTACACCACGAATGCAATACGTTTTATCCATAACCACATCATAATCATATTTGTGAAGTCAGAATTATTGGAATTTAATCAAAAACTATTCGTACGACTTGATATTTCTTACTAGTACTCAATGAAACGTGATAGGTTTTGTTATACCTACTGAATTTGGTAAAAATGCAATAAAGTAATTGTGGTCCTGTGGCTGTTTTTGAAAAAGCTGAAGAAACAATTTTCCATTTACTGCCAGCGAAATCCAGGAAGCATACGAAAAAGTGTTCGCCGAATTTAACGAATGGAAGGAAAAACGGAGAGTAATGACGATACATGAGGAAGTCGTGCTATCGTATTTTTTAAATTTGAAGAAAAAATATGCAAATTCATCTATGTGGTTGAAGTATTCGATGTCCAAGGCTACTGTAAAGGTCTACAACAATATAGATATTGGAAAATATAACAAGCTTACTGCTTATTTGAAGAGTGAATCGAGAAGCATATGCTGGCCATTGTATGAGGCGCAATTCAACAACTTCATTGGCCAATAAAGGTGCTGATATTACAGCCATCAAACGGCATGGTGGATGGAAGAGCTTTATATCTAACAAACTTGATATTGGAAGGAAAATCCCAGGAAAATATAGCTGATCCTTACAAGAAGAAACATCCGTAACTTGTCCAAATTCTTCACAAGCTTCGGCAGATGTTATGCGTTATAGGTTTATTATTTATTCTTTATTCTACTAGTGAAATAAAGTTACTTTATTCCACCAGTGGATAAAGTATCAAAAGTATCACATTAGATGGTTCGTATGTGTGGATAAAAGCCCGATTATAAGGTGATTGTGAATAAAATATACTATTATACACCTAATCTTTATTATACCAATGTTCAAATTTATATTTGGTCTTCGCGATTTCTTTCCGCCACTATCGATTAAAGAATTATGCCTACCTAAAAACGTGGCGGAGGGCGAGTTGTAGGCAAGGTACTCTTTGTTCGACGCCCAGGCAGGGAATTCGCTCTGTTGGAGAGGCACCGACCCTTCTTCTTCTTCCCGTTTCCATGGCAGCATGGTTTCGGTAGCGGTAGGCGTAGTTACTCGCATCAGATCTCCTGCTGCACAGAATGTTTCATATTTCAGAGAGGTAGACGCACTCCGGATAATTTCAGATCAATAGTAATGTCTAGGACCTGTCTCCCTTAAACTAGATTTATCACTGTGCGAAATAACAGCTTTCGCTGTAATCGCGTGTATCCAATAAATATAGTTTAGAAGTTGCTGGGTGCTGATGTTAAAAAATCAAAATTATCTTTGGCGATAGGTATTTCGGAAACAAACTTTTTGGTCGTGTAACATGACCATTGATCAACATCTTACAATAATAATAATGTACAAATTAAATCCACCTTAACTCGAAAGGTGATGTAGGTAAATGAAAATCTCTTCAAAGTATGGGTTGCTCATAACGACCTTTGCAAATATTTGAAAAAAACAACTAATTATCTTGTTCTCAAAATAACTTTGTTGACCTGATCTACCAAATGTCATTGCCATTGCCCTCACGGTTTCTATAATAGGCGAGCGGCTCACCCCTAAAAAGATGCTTTTAAATGAAGGTAACCTACTAAATTTTTGAAATCAAAAACCTACAGCATGAAACTTTTTTTATTTTTTAAAGTGTATTTTTCTGATAATTTACATATTTTTTTATATTTTCCGGCGTGGTCAGTCAATTGTTATAAACAAAGAAGTTGTAAAAAAATGATGTGATTTTTTTAATCGATATATGTTAACAGTACAAATGTTCAAAAGATCATTTTGTTTGGTTTTGTAGCCGGAGTAAGGTTTTTGCAAGTAATTAGTAAAATTTAAATATTCGATTTTTGATTTTATAAATGGCTAAAATTGACTTGAAAGTTATACCAAAACTGAACTAATAAGCTTTTTAAATCGTAATTATTTAAAAATTAAATAAAAAAGAAATTAATAAACTTTTATTGCCCTTAATATTTTTGTAAAATAAAAATAAAATAATTATCCTATACAATAAATTACCCAATAACTTTTTTATTTTCGAGACCGCTAGGTCAATTACTATTATTAGGTTAATTTTACGATTTAAAAAGCTTATTTAGTTCAGTTCTGGCATAACTTTCAAGTCAATTTTAGCCATTTATAAAACCAAAAATCGAATATTTAAATTTTACTAATTACTTGCAAAAACCTTACTCCGGCTGCAAAACTAAAAATGATCTTTTGAACATTTGTATGGTTAACATATATCGATTAAAAAAAATCATAATAATGTTTATTGTAAATATAATCTAATCCAAGATATTGTAAAAAGAAAATTTAAATTTGAAGTGTTATCATAATTTTCTTTAAAAAACTTTTTTTTTACTCGCTTTAGATCTTCAATAAAATGATTGACCCATACCAAAAAAATATATCTTAAAGTAGAAAATCTGCCGATTATTATGCTTTTTTAGAATTAAAATCTGTTCGGTAGTTTTTGAGAAAAAAATTTCGAAAGTTTGTCGATTTCGTCACTTTTTTCACATTAAATTGTAAATATCTCGGAAACGAAGCATTTTTCGAATTTTTCTCAAAGAACAAAAAGTGTTTATTTTGGTCCATTTTACAGAATGCCAATCGGCGAGCAATTTTTTTTTACAACGTTTTTGTTTATAACAAAAAAGTTTCATGCTGTAGGTTTTTCTTTTAAAAGTTTAGTCGGTTCATGCCTTTTTTTCTAGGGGTGAACCGCTCGCCTATAAATAATATCCATAATAATATTACGGTAACGACAACACAATCTACATAGATATACTTAAAATTGTATAAATAAAATTTCTTTATTTTTCTTATTATAAGAGGTGATAGAGGTGAAGAATAGGTCAACCGATAGAGATTTTTTGGCACACTTAAATATTACAGCAAAATTCATGTATTACCTTTTGAAAAATACTTATTAGTAAATAAAAATCCAAGTGATTTCCCCAGCAAAGTCGTGAACAATTTTTTTAAATAATATAAACCGCAAAAAAATTACATTTTTTTGTTTCTTTTTTATAATATCTCGTAGAATAATGATGGAATCGAATCGCCTTCCTCTCAATAACACATTTGTAGAGAATAAAAAAACCTATAAAATTATGAACAATTGCATTATAAACAAATTAGGGTGTTTGATGCAGAGTGTGGCGATTTATCAAAAATGGTCCGAGTGCATTTTTAGCATATTTGCCGTTACCGAGGCGAAAATCCGAGCTATACAAATTGGAGATTTTGTCGTTTACTTTCAGATGCCGTTTTCAGAATTTAAATCGGGCCATTTTTGATAAATCGGCACGCTGTGCAAAAAAGACCCTAATTTGTTTATAATGCAATTGTCCAAAAACTATGCATCGGACAGAAACCATCTTGCCATTATTATTATCTGTGTTTTTCCAACTTCAAATCTGACAGAGTTATGAATTTTTGATAAAAGGTCTATTTTAGAGTGTTTTCCGGATTTTCTCTGTAAAATATGAACCGATGGGGTCGCACAAAAAAACATTTTATAGGTTTTTTTATTCTCTACGAAAGTCCTATTGAGATTACGACGATTCCATTATTATTTTTCGAGATATTATAAAAAACAAAAAAAAAATCTTTTTTTGCAGTTTTTATTGTTTAAAAAAAAATTGTTCACGACTTTGCTGGGGAAATCATTTGGGTTTTCATTTGATGTAATATTTAAGTGTAAAAACAGCCTCTTTTTTCGCTCTATTGGTTGTCCTAGAAGTTGTGCATAGGTTTTTGCATACCCAGTAAATCTATCGCGTCATTAAATTTACCCCTACATTTTACCCTTGTGTTTGGAATAAATGAATTGTGTGATATGCACCCTTACTGTATATAATTGAGCAAACTTCATGCATGCTTAACGGGAGCAATGAACTGCGTGTGTCATTTTGACAGTATCATCTGTATAAAATTTGTTAGTTACAGAATTACTTTATTTTAATACTGTGAATGCAGTGGAGTTTCGTACAAAACTTTAATTGAGTAAATTGCAAAACCTCTATTCTTTTATTTAGTTAATATTACGCTAGAGATAAATAAAAAGGAATATATTAAAGTTACTAAAAATTATATTTTGTACATTGTATTAACAGACGTGACTAAATGTTAAAGAGTTAAAAAGGTAAGATAAGTATTTCAATCTCTGAACTTCAATCTGATTTGACTTACCGTCAATAGATCCTCTCGACATTCTTTTTCCAGGATCAGAGAAAATGCTCTCGTCTGTAACTGAACAGAATTTTTAATATGTAACACGATTTATAGCATCACACGTTTTAAGCTACACTAAGCAAACTTCATGCAATATAAAAGCTTGATCTATTTTTTTTTTGTTAAAACGTGTAAGTTTGTTTACATTTACATTAGAAGTTCGGTGAGTCATCGAATTATTAATTTATAAATTTAACAAATAGTTTTAGTAAATGTTTATGTAAAAAAATTCTAGGAGTTATTTTATAAAATTTGTCTAAGAAATTGTTCCTGAAATAAAAGGGAACATCATTAAAACCAATTTTTCTAATATGCTTTAATTGCAGATATAATTACACCTTCTTGTACTTAGATCTTGCTCGGTATCATCCAACTTCTCAAGAAAATCAGTTAAAATTTTACGTAGAAACATTTTCTTAAGTAGAATATTTGTTATAATAAAATATGATTATATGTCACTATTTGTGCTCATAATTGGGAGTAGAAAACAACTGGTGAAGCATTATGCTGTAGCGTGCAAAACTATTATCTAATTAATCGCTAACCCATTTGAAAAGGCTATTAAAAGAGTCTAATAAAAACAATCCAGGTATCAGTAATTTTTACTTTCTGTTGTTTACTTGTTGCAACGACTTCCCAGTTTTATTGGCCGTAAACGAGAAGGCTTTTCCGGTTTTAAAGAGCGTAATTTCACATTTCATTGAGAACTATTTCAGTTGAAAATGTTGATATAAATAACTGTCATTCATAAAACGCTGGGATAATTTTAAAATGTATGTAATATTCCCTACTAAAATGTGAAATTGTGAAAAGTTGTTTTCATTCACGAATATAATGTAGCCCGGTCAAAATAGACATTTCAAATAAGGAAAATTCCGACAGAGCTAAATTTTGGTGGAGACTTTGGGTACACCATTAGAAATAAACTGTCAAAAGTCCCCATCGATCCCATGTGTGCTAAAAATGTTATTTGGGGTCAAAGGTCAGAATTTGAGGTTTTTTGGATTTTTTTCGAAAACGGTTTCCTGAGATATCGCGATTCTAATAGTTGAAGGAGTCACGTTCTATATGATATGCACACATTTCCACACCATCTGTGAGGTAGTTTTTTTAAGGTAGTTTCCCCGGTAGGCCTACTCCACGAACTGTTATGATGGAATTTTCAGGGACAATACTCTTTCAACTGTATGATGATTATTGATATTGATATTGGTTATTGACTTTAACTGTACTGATTTCTTTTGATATTTTAATCTGATTCATACTCTTCAAAGTCGACTTCAACAGTCTTCTTCGATTTCTTCTCTTCTTCTTTCTGGATGTTGATAAATTGTTCAAATGAAGATGAATCAGCTGTCTCTTAATCGAAATCACATGAATCTTCGTCTGTTGTATTCAATTGGACATTTGAGCAAGACTGGCTTTGGCAATTAGTAAACGCTGGAGAACACAGTAACCTTACTCTTCTACAGCCACATTTAGCACTACAACCTTTTTTGCAATTGCAAAAAATAGTGTTTAGGAGTTTTTCCAGAGCAGGTGGAAGTAAAGTTTGAATCGGTTCCAAAGTATTATCTGTTAATTTCCAACCCCAGTCTGCTGGGTTCAGTTGATTGCCTAGCCATGTCTGAACTTGATAGTATACTCGATACAAGTGTTGATTAGCAGAAGCTGATGTTGGACGAAGACAAGATAGTTGTACTTGTTTCCTGTTTCGTGTATTTCTTACAGAAGTTAAATATCTATATTTATCTATACAATCAATTTTTTTGGAGCTCCTTAACAGCAAGGAGAAAGCGAATTGTGATTATTGTTTGAGGTGAAGAATCAATTTCTGCAATCAATCAAATCTTTTTCTTTTCTTTTCTTTTTCTTTCTTTTTTTTCCCTTATGAACATTGCTGATGTAGTATCGCCAGCCGGTTATCGCATGTAAAAATAAGATATGGTTTTGGCATTTTGGATAAGCAGATAAACTTTTTGAAGAATATATTTCTGTTCGCTGTTGAGCCTTTCCAGGTTTTAAAAAGTATATAATTTTATCAATTGGAGTCCTTGTAGTGAGTAGTATTAATAAGTCAACATCTTCACCAACTACAATAGTTGTATTTGTTGCATTAAATTGTTCTATTGCTGTTTCAATTATAAGGACATCTGCGTCATTTTAACTAAGCGACTGAGTTTATTTTGAGTGTATATTCTCAAAATAGTATAGTTTATAAGAGACACAAATAGGCATTTATACTTGCATTAAGTGTCTGACTATGTATATACGTTGCATATACATATATGCATATATGCACATGCATATCATGTAGAACGTGACTCCTTCAACTTTTAGAATCGCGATATCTCAGGAATTTTGTAGATAATTTTCAGATCTATAATTTTTGTCTGAACTACTTTTTTGATAAAACTTACCGTTTTCGAAAAAAATCCAAAAAACCTCAAATTTTGACCTTTGACCCCGAATAACTTTTTTAGCACACATGGGATCGGTGGAGACTTTTGACACTTTATTTCTAATGGTTTACCCAAGGTCTCCACCAAAATTTAGCTCTGTCGGAATTTTTGTTATTTGACCAATATTTGTGTGACTAATTTGACCGGACTAATGTCTGAAAAACACCGAAGTCGTCATAAAAATTACTAATATATGATATTTCGACAAAAAAACGCAAGTGTAGGATTCTATGACAAAGCAAGGCACTGTTCCATGTCTAGGTGGGTGGTTTAATTCTTTGTATTTATCACATCCCTCAAAAAGGTTTACGCGTATAGTCATTAATAACCACATTAGCAATATTGAAACTGTTCTAATAATATAATGTACAGGCCGACGTAAATAAGTTTGCATCTGAGACAGCTCCGCCCACAAATTAAAGACAAAAGTCGAACCGCAGATTATTTTCGGTTTTTTCAATGATGACTGCATATGTTCTTGAGATGCCCTGTATACAATTTTCGTATATTAAAAAATCCACAACTAAAAATACTAATCGACAAATTTGTTTCTTTCATCATTCTACAGTAAACCTAGGTTTAAAGTAAAGCCTTTTCGAGAGATGGGTTGTACCATGTACCAGATATTGTGACGGAAGGATTATTAAGCCAATTTATCATAAATACAATAATACAATTTTATTTTTGGAGAAATTTTTCTACAGACAATTTTTTTAAAGCCTTAGGACCGTCATTTCACTGAATTAGTCCGAAGTACTTGACATTTATGAATACATGGTACAACTGCCTAATAAAGTACTAGCAAGCGGTACTACTCTGAGCCGTACCTAGGCGATCGCTGCGCCAAGGGAGGCTGCCCTCGACAGCTGTCGTTTTTTTTACGTTTGGTCCCACCAGCGGAACTAATTGACTAGCGAGACTTCCACTAACGTCTGTCCCAGTGCTTGCTAAAAACACGCTGGTTTAGCATTTTAAGTACTGGTGCTTGTTATGTTATGACTATTGCAATGTTCTAGGTGTTCCGTTAGTACGAAATGGTACCAGAGGCTTCAACCCTATTTACGAGGGACAGTTCATGGGAAAGACACACTTTAGTTGAATAATTACGCTATAAGTAGCTTTTTTTACCAAAGGTCAATAACTCTGGAAACCAAAGATTATTGGCCCCTTGGCCACAGATCAATGACTCCATGCAAAAGGTCAATGATCCTGGAAACCAAAGGTCAACGACATCGAAGCCAAAGGTCCCTAGAACCAAAGGTCTTTTACAGATTCCAAATCGTCCATTACAGCACAGTTAAATTCCAGACGACCATTTTTAGCCCTTTTCTTTCGTCTATCTGAGGACATGTTGTATGTAAATGCGAGTTACGTCAATCAATAAAACAGTTGCAATATTACCGTTATAAATATTACTACTACTACAGCTTCTGATTTCAAGTTTTTGCAGCGTTATTATTCAGAAAGTGATCTTCACACCATGCTGCCGATTTATCGAGCTACTAAAGTTAAGCGCTAATTAATATTACGCTTTTGTTTTGTCCTACATATATACTTTTCACGACATTGTATTAAAAATACAATTATTGCATCTCATACTTTTGCAGAACAATTCTTTTTAATAAAAATTATAAGTAAATCAGTGTTTATTGTGATAAGTTATTGAACGATCCATAGTTAAAGTTGTATTAATTTGTAAACAATACTTGTATTTTTAAATTGGTGGGTGTTTGTAGTTGTTTGCCTTAAACCTTGTCTAAAGTATCTGAAGAAAAAGCATTTATTACATTCGTTCTGTTTTAGATGCAGTTAGAAAATTTTACCGTGTGTCAGTTTTATGCAAACTCTTGTTATTTCACTTTTTATAATGTTTTTAATTCGAATCTGTAGAGTACCGTCATCGAAAGTGTAATTTTCCTCCTAGTATATGATTATTTATAAATTATCAATTATCAATCAATAGATATCTCGAGTTTTAAAAAACTTTTATCAAAACTTTCTTATTTATTTCTGTACCTAGAAAGGAATATTCCCCTTCCAATAACACTCTACGTTTTCTCACGCTATTTTTGCTTGGTTTGATGAACGAATAATTCTAAATTTACTGACAGCTTCATGGTAAACAAATACTTTCAGTTTCAGTGCAATTTGCAACGCCTTGCTTTTTCTTCAGTCCTTTTTTACATCCATAAGCCAATATCACAACCAGCCAACTGAGCACTTTCCCTAAGAGAGATGCATGAAGATGACAGTTACTTACGAGATGACTTAGCTGTAAAGGTAATTGGACTATCCCATTCTTCCCTACTAGATTTCGGTTCTGTATCATCCTCATTCAGAACCTCACTTATGTAATCTAATGAAAGAAATCATGAAGGCTACTACTGAGGAGGAACGACTACTTGTTCGCAAATATGACCACTTACCGTGACAGAACTGTTTGGCGCTTCCGTTCTGCTGGAACTCCGGAAAACTCACGTGGTTCTGCTTCCCGTCCTAAGAGAAAAAAATCTGTAATGTCCAGACAGTACTGTAGATCCATAGTCAATTCTTCGTTTGATATTGAAGGAAAAAAGGTTCGACTTATAGAAAAGGTAAGTTTTAACATCGTAGTAGGTAGATGAATACATGTACATGAATAGTATTTACATAATCTTTACTCTGTAGCAGACTGGGTTTCTGAAAACTTAAAAATTTTGACTACAGAACGTACCGAATCTTATAAACACTATTTGCTTTAGTTTAGGTTATGATACGTTGGAGCTTACAACGCACTATGTGACGTCACAGTTCCCGCGCGTGGACGACTTGCAATAGAGACAGATTAAAGACACAGAGCAAATACGAATCAAATAGTCTCAAAGGATCAATAAGAGAACTTTCCTCTCGTTTGTCTATTCGTAATATTAGCTGAAAGTGAAAAGTGGAATTAATTCGTAAGCAATTTTAGCAATTAACATCCAAATGCGGTAATTTCTTAGGAGTTGCAGATACAATTAAATACGTGGATACAAATTTCAAACTACAAATAGATATGAGATGCAAAATGAAGTTTATGTTGAATATAAGGGAATAATATTAAAATTAAAGTGAAAATTGAAGAAGACTTTCAAGAGAATGTTCTATAATTGATTGATACAAGAAGTGTTGTAGAAATAAACTATTTCTAAGAAGCAATTAGTAAAGATAATCGTACTCCATTTAATTTTTTTTTTTTCAGGATCATACAAAGCAAATATGATGTACTTTTAATATTTTCGTAATTATATTAAAACCGCGTTTTATTTCTTATAAGAATTCGGTTCCACTTCAGGAAATTTATTTACTTGGCTAATTCCTCTCTCGCGATTGTAACAGAATAATCTTTTTATCTCAATCTTACGCGACCTTTTGGTTTACCGATCGATTATTCTTGACCTAGGAGCTTTTTGCGCTTACAGGAAGTAGTGCCAAGTCTCAAGGTATCAACGAAAAAAAAGCCATTATAATATTATCGATGTAAGTCGTTTAGTTTTTGCCAGCGTCTAATATAATCCTCACCTTGTTCAGCTTCTTGCTGTGCCTCTTGTGGTGGTGTTTTTTGTCCGCCACCAGCCTCCTCATGTTGTAGTGCATTCGATAATTGACTTGGGTTGACAGGTCGCGATCGTTGACCGCGTGTCTGCTGTAACTGAACTTCCGGTGCTGAAATTAAAGGGACAATAGAATTTGAAGGAATATACTAAAATGAGTAATAAAATGATGTCAGTACGGGTTCCGGTTGAAATAATTAAGCTAAGTAACGTCCGGAAAAAATGGGTTATCCTGTGTAATTAATTAAATGAGAAAAAATTGAACTGCGAAACTGGGACACCCGGTATATAACTCCTAAACCGATTACGATAAAATTTCAAGTGGATTTTTTTAACGCTACTTTTTTCTTCTACAAAATGTAAAATTCTGTGCGCTTTTCTGATAATCTACTAATTCTGACAACAATAATAAATTTTAATTTAGGTTCATCTTTCAAATTGTATCAAACTTACAAGGTTATGCATCTAAATAATCTGTTTATCCATAATGCGACATTGCGTATTGATTTTTTTCAGCGGCCTTTGCCATTTAAATGGGACACAACTTGAGCTGGTCAAGGATGGCGGCAGAAATGGAGCAAATCGGCTCAGTAGAATTATTGTAAATTACGGAAAGTGAAGTTGAACAAAAAGTTAAGTAACTGTTCTCGAGACCAAGAACACTGGGCCAAGGCTAGGATGAAGAACAAGGAAGTTGCATAAAAAATGTTTATATTGAAATTATTGTTACCGCAATGCAAAATGTTGTTAATTAAATGGAACTTACATACATATTTTCAATTGTATTTCTAAAATACATCGTCAGAAATTCATTTTTCAGTATACCATAAATATGTTCTTTTAAAAAGCTTGAAATGTTGAAACAATATACTTCGCATATGAGGCTGACCTAGTGGATTAACTCAATAGGAAAATATTCAACTTACCCGTCTATAAGGCTTTACTAGCTCCTCTGCCAGCAAGTGATGAATCTTGGCATCCGTTAAATCCTTTTTCGATGGATTGTACTCCAGCTCCTGCATATCAATGTTCCAGGTACTTGAGTCCAATTGACTAAAACTAGAACTGAAAGAGACATATACATTAAACACTGATTAGCATCGTGTCTACAAGCAACACACAACACAACACCACATACATAATTACAATTCACGCCAGTACCAAAAAAAGGCCTACTTCAGCAATGTTTTGTCTATAAGCAAACAAAAAACATTTAAGAAAATTGGTATGGAGATTATACAAGACCCATTTCAATGGAAAATAATTATTTCTACGTTACTAAAATACATATTTTTAAAGATAGTAGATAAACATATCCAACATTAGTCAATTATGGAAAATAATGAAGGACATAGAAAGTCCTTCTAATCTTTTTAATAGCTGCGAAGTTATAAAAACATCATCCAATAAATGCAAGCTGTAGTTAATTAATTAATAACTGTTGGATTTGATGTGAAATTAAGTGATGTGTTTACCTTGTGAATGTGTAAATAAAATTTGCCAGTTTGTTATTACGAGATTGCTGTGTACCTAATTAAAAGTAAAATACAAAAAAATACACCGACGAAATGCATGACTTTTACAGTAATGTTGGTATTAAATTAGAGAAAATCATGAGATGAATACGAGGCATGGAAAATCTACAACGTATTAGTCTGCTTTAAAATCATAGTTCCTCCATCTAAGTCAGATTTTGCGCAAAAAACACACAGTATGTGTTTTCTGTATGTCTTCTAACCTTTTTGGCCACTTAGTTTGAACTACTGCTATTTTAATTTTCAATACACAATTAATTATAATTAATTGTGCAAGAAATAGTGTTAAATATCAACGTAAAACTGTCTGTTTTTAACATTAATTTAGAAAAAGTGAATGAATAAGCATTAATTTGTCATTTATTTGATATGCAAGCATACTTACCGGGTAGGAAAGTACCGATGGTCTATCTGAAGTTACGTGAGAGCGATAAAGTAAGCCATAGAAATTCATGCGATAGAGAAGGATGGCTATAATGAAGACGTGTCATAGTCACCGCCCATTTCGCCCTTCCACAAATAAGATCCACTTCTTATTTGTGGTGATAGGTATCATTCAATCAATGAAAAATTGCAGTATGCACTGTAAAAATATTTCGCTCAAATTCCACTCAATTTTAATTAATAATAATGTATCAATTTATCCACTTCGATTGAGTGAAACATTCACTCTATTAGTATGAGTACAACTAAAATTTTATGAATGAAACTATTGCAGCAGAAGTGAGTGAATTTTACTCAAATCAGAGTTTTTTCCTAATTATCAAGTGAGTGACTTTTGACTCTATTCTGAGTTTGTAAAACCAATTAAGAGTTGACTTTTCCTCTAAATTTAACTATTATTGAGTAATTTTTTACTCATACTTGGTTTATGTTCCCTTTAAGTTTTAATAAACTATTAAGCTGCCACAGTGGTTTCTGTATTTTAGGGATCGTTTAAAAGAATTCGTTAACTGATCTGATAACTGGATAGCTGCCAACACTACACGCCGTACACCACGCCACGAGATGGACGACCTAATGGGGACGATGGTAAAGACAAAGACAACGCACGACAACCATAGAATTGGGCGGAGTCGCTCAGTGCGTTGTAGAATAAGCCTAGGAGCAGATTCGTTCTACAATCCTACAACATCTACACACAAATCTACCACGTCCACATCCTGACACCAGGAAATAAAGAAGTCATGCAACTGCTACTCTTAGTATAGTAGATAATAGTAGCGGTCAGTGCCGTGTAAGTTTACCAGGTGATTAATTTAGGGGCGCACCTTCCATTGAGGTTACCCGCCGTGTAATTCCTGAAGATGGCCGACATACTCTCCGTACCGGAGATGTTGCCTATGGTGGAGGCGTTCCTGCGCATATACTCCATGGCGTCCCTCATGGCCAGCTTGGAGTATGTCTCCAGGATCTTCGGTTCGGCGCCCTGGTGGTTGCGCAACAGGTAGGGGCGGATGAAGCTGTTGTCGAAACGTTTGAACCTGGAAAGAAGGGTAGTTTGCGAGATATTTCAAAATTGCTTGTGGCGCAATCTGTGTACAGGTAATTTCGTAGTAAATTTAATTTAAAAGAGCTCTATAGCAAATAGGCAACCAGCAATACATTATTATATATTTTATTACACAGTTTGTGTAAATATGGATCAATGCACAAATAATAGACTTTCCTCCATTCTAACGCAGATTTTCTATAAAATGGAGTAGGTTTGAATCTCAAACTACTTTCTGTTGTCAAGAAATTTGTAATTTGCATAGTAAATTACAAATTTCTTTACACCATATTGTTATTTGAGTTTCAAACTAAGTCCATTTTATAGAAAATCAGGGTTAAATTGGGGGAAAGTCTGCTATTTATGCATTAATTCATATTTAGACAAACTGTGTAATAAAATCTATAAAAATGTATTTCTGGTTGCTTATTTGCAATAGATCGCTCTTAAATTCGACAAGTGTTAAGGGAAAAACTTTTTCTGCCAACTTTAACACCATCTAGCGGACCAATTTGTATAGAGATAAGTTACGCAAAAACATTTTGTAATTCATATACAGCGAGAGTTGCCATACAACAGCCAAAATATTGCAGTGACTATAATCACTTGCATAAAACTATTTGCATATATTAATTCCACTCAGAGATCTTTGAGAAAAGATTTGTTATTTTGCTTTAAAAACGTAAATATTTATTCTGTTCGTAGACGGTTCAACCGAAAATTGTTTTCAAGTTTGTTTAGAAGATTAAGCGTAAGTTTTTGCCTAAAGAGACTTTATCTAAGAGAGGAGATCTGCACTTTGCACTATTTAGCTCGAAGAAGAAGAAGAATCTTATTGAAGTTCATGTAAAAAAAATTAATAAATATCTGATGTGACAACCGTTGAGTTCACCTGTTTAAATTATTTCTTAAAACGAAAGTTTTGGGTATATTCTTTCAAACAAATGCCTTATGTGGAGAAATCTTTAATGTTCCAAATACAGACAAACTCTAATAAGTTCTATTTCCCCAAATTAAAACCATTTCTCAGTGTAGCGCTATGTTTTCATTGCTTATGTTACTTAATCATAAGCATATCCGTAAGGAAATAGAATAATAAAGCTATAAATAATGTAAGGAAATAGTAGGCCATGACAATGATATATGAGGACACTTGCTGAAAAAAATGCACCGAGTATACCTGGCGCATGCACCATTTTTATCAATATTATTGTCGCTGTGTTTAAAAAATGTTATCTTTTCAAAAATAATTTAAAAATTACTAAGCTCTGCTTGATTATGGAATTTTATTGTTTAAACAGAGTTAGTTACATTTAGTTTTATATGAAATTTTATCCCATTTATTATAAAAGTATGTCTGCAATAAAAATAATTATCTGTAAGGCCAATTTATTCTATTTCTGGGTGATATCGCATAGAAAATCGGTAAATGGTGTACCATTACTAGTTATGCAAGTGACCTGATCAAATAAAAATGACATAAAAACAAATGGTTCACATTTATGTATACATATAACCATAGCAGTTGCTTTTTATGAGTTTCGAACATAAATCCATAATAAATAACATAGTAATAACGTCCACTCTAAAGGGTTAATGCAAATCGATTTTTTAACTTGAATTTGTAGAAATAATATACTCATTTATAAAGCTGATGTGGTACACTTATTTTTTTTTCAATTTTTGAAGTATTTAATGATATATTGTTATAAACTGTATAGGTTGTTCCAACTTCGACTTCAAGTTTAGTGTGAACGCATTATTTGCCGGTTACTAAATTCAGTCAGTGATTGACAAACTGTTTACTGTAAGCGAAAATAGCATTTTTTTGAGATACCACTCGGGAAATAGTGAAACATGATATTACTTTTGATAACGTTGCCATTTTTCTAATTACGTTATACATAGGTATACGTAAATCCTCACAAAAAAAAACAATTACAATACTACAATATTTACCTATCTCGCATATGGTAATTTCCATGTTGACCTAGAATGTCCTCCATGGCGGACATGGTATGATCCAGTAGCTGTAACAATACATGAATTAAAATATATTTTGATGACAAAAATAAATAATAATTTATGTAGTTTAAATTTCTGGCAATATTCACGTGATGCCGATGTAACCAAACACCAAACTAACAATTATGATGTAAAAAAAGCAGATGATCCTTAGAATCCTCAGAATCTAACCCTTTCCTGATATTGATTACTATATATACTATCACTATCAGTTTGTATATTCCTTTCCAACTAAACTGAACATAAATCTGTCCCAGGCTTTAACAGGATTTATGACCAAAACTTTGAGTTTATCGAATTTCCCTATTAATGTCGCAAAAGGAATGTTTTATAATTTATTAGGGGGAAACCAGATTGCCAAACCAAAACGTGGGGAAATTCCACTTAAACAGAAATTTCACTTCATTGTATTTCTCTGATTCGAATCGACGTTTCCATTATACGAATTTAATTATAAATTTATTAAGTGCAATTGCCCAAATCGGAATTAAACACGACGTGCTCTTGAATATTTTGAGGGCTGTTGTGTTTACAAAATAAATAAATTTAACTAAATATATCACTTCAAGTCATAGTCCTATTTCTTTGTTCAGCGTATGCCCGACGATAGATAAACCACAAATATAAAATAAATCACTCGTAAATGATTAATTAGGATTAATTAGTGTTAAAATTAATTCACTTCGCGGGGATGTCCTGGATGAGCCCCGTCAGCTGAGACCCGCAGCCGTCGGCTAAGGCCTGGTCTCCTTGCGATCCCGCTTTTCTGGAGCATCTAACGAAGCGATATGTAAGAGGTGCCATCTTCGTGTAATTACTCACTCTCTCGTGTATCCTCTCGTTCATCGTGGGCTTCCTCTTCTCTGCGGTCTTGACGTTGAGTATCTTCACCAGCGGCTTTATCGTGATGCCCTGGAAGAACACGGTGAAGTAGATCACTGCGATGGTGGTAGTCATGAACATAGGTTGTAGTTCCACTTTCTTGGGGTCGATGAGAAGTACTAGGGCGAAGGCTACGGCGCCCCTTAGGCCTCCGTATGACATCACGAACTTTTCCACTGTGCTCAACTGGTTGAGCCTGAAGTGGTTCGCTATCGCTGTAAATATTATAACGCCTGGAAAGAAATTGAAGTGTCAGTGAATGAATACATTAAGGCATTATTTTATTTAAAGAGAGCAGCCCCAAAAAACCTATAGCCCAAACTTTCAAAATTCAAATCGAAGTAGTCTCTGAAATATTCTAATGGACCGTCAACTTAATACAACCTGTATAATTCAGGTGTTGTCATATCTTTCATCGACGTATCATTTAAAGATTCTGGGCATGTTTACAAATTCTCTCTGCCGTTCTGTCTGTTAAAATAGTTGTAAATTTTCTGAAAATTAATTAAACTCCATGAAAATTCTGTTAAAGTTAAGAATGATTTTTATTATTGTCATAAAATAAACGGATAACTCGTTCTCACTAAACATTATTTCTTTGTTAAAATAGTTTGTTATGGAAAATAAATTAATGATGATAAATAAACTTCTGTAAACATGCCCAGAATCTTAGTAACTATAAGCTGCCAAAACCCGCTTTTCTAAGAAAACCCGATTAGTTTAGGAGTTTTATAAGCTAAATTTTATACCCAAAGGAATTGTTCTACTGAGGTATATTAACTCAATATTGAGATATATGAGACCAAGAAATTCTACTATCTTACAACATTCTTGTGATGAATGATATTGTAGAAATGTGTAATATTACAGACCAGTCATTTACCAGACAACAAAGGGGAAGTAAAACAATTCTCCAGCAGTCAGAATGATTAATAGTTTTTTTATTAAATCGTATATGATCCCTTTCGCCACCTGAATTTGTATCATGGGAAATATACAGGGTGATCCATTGTCAGAACTTTTAAATGCTTTTATCGATTTCCAAAAACGACTGCTCATTTTAAAAAACAATTAATAAAATATATTTTTATGGTATGGGAATAAAAATATTATTTTCCTGCACAACGGTAGACGACGCTAATCAGACAAGTTTTGTAATTGTCTCCGTTTACTAAAAAAATAAAATGCAACGATAGAGTTTTTTTTTCATGGCTTGATAGACCATTTATTAAGGAGAACAAATACACAAACCGGAGGTCGATATCTTTTTTCGTTTTCAAATTATTGCTAAAATGGTGGAGTTGTGCTAGAACATCTTCCATTCACGTATTTTTAATTATTATGTAATAGCATTCTCAATGTAGTAAAAAAATTTCAATCACTTACCTATAACTCTGTACACTGAGCAAAAGATAATGGTTAGTATAACGAACCACGCGTTCCAGTCGTGGATCTTGTTGACTGTCTCGACTCCCAGAAACATAAATATGATGGTTTCTGACGAGCTGCTCATCATCTTCATGGCATACTTTATTGTGGTGTGAGACTTGGTCGATATATTAGCCTCCACGTAGTTCTTCATGGTTATCCCACAAAATGTAATTCTGGAGCATAAATTAACATTAAATTAACATTGATCTTTAGAAAACACATCACAAGTTTGTTTTCTCATATTCCGTATTGAAAACTGATTTCTTTAAAGTGTTTTTTTCATAATTTTCATACCCCGCCGCTAGACAAGTTAGTGTGACCTCAAACAATGACACGCGTTAGTCGCAGTGCATACACACTTGGAATTGTCGTCAAATCTCATAATTTAAAGAAAGGTGGAGCATTTTATTACAAAGCACATCTCCACACCATCCACCGTGAAGTACTGCTTTTTGCTGTATTATTTTTATAGCCCAGAAGCCCTGTCATTGCTTTTCACGAGCGTTCGGATCAGGATCGCATTCTGATTAAATTTAAACTGTGCAGGGACTACCGTTGATCATTTGATTAATGGAATGCCCGTATCTGTTGAAATATAATAAACACTTTAATAATAATAATAATAATAATTGCTAGGTTAGTGTTTACACCGGCGTTTTCTTTTTAAAACACGAATTTATCATTCTCTTGTTGGAGTGTTCTGCTTATGAATTATGAGTTGAAACTGATAGAAATTGAAATATTTAAAATGTGGGGCGGTTTCGACGTAACACTTTGCTAAGTGGACCAAAAAAAAAATCATGATATATAGCATGACGCATTTTTCTTTGTGAATAATGCTGATTATCTCAAACTGTGATTAAATATTGATACAAAAATTTATGAATTAGCCTACGCAACATCGAGCAGCTTTTATAAAAGTCACCATCGACTTCCATTAGTGATTTTATTTTATTTTCTGGTAATGGGTTTATTGATGACGCAAATAGTCAGGCTCTAGACGTCAAGGAAGGTTCCTAAGGGGCACTAATTACTGATTAATATTGGGCACTAAATCTCATTATGTGGTAAATCGACTCAAGAACTTATGGGTGGTGGGAACTAATACCTTCAAAGTAGCCTGCTAGATATTTATGGGGATTTAGCCCCTTCACATGAGTAACTAATTATAGAACCTAGAATTGGGTAACTGTAGATTTTTAGTAAACAGCAACAGTAGTTATCTGCTCCCACTATAGTAAAAAAAGCGACTTCGAAGTATAAATGCATATTTTATGAACAAATAAATAGAAATATTTGATGAACATTACATTTTATTAATTATTATGAATGAATATTTATAGTAATTGTACAGTTATTTAGTAACATTTATAAAGTCTGGATAATTATTTCCCTCGGGTTTACTAATTGTCACATTTTTCTGAAAATAAATTGGACCGCTCAATTTCATTGACATTGTTAGTCAATTTCTGTTTCTTTCTCTTGGTATTTACCAGTAATTGATTTTATATTTAATGTTGTATATTGTTATGTCGAAGTTTTTAAGATTTTCAACGTTTCCTAAATATTTTTTGGTATCTAAAATTTAACGTAAGTAAAAATGTTTTGCCTTATATAATGTCATTTCAACCTCTTGTTGATATTTTAGGAATAGCTCCGATGATGACTATGTAGTCGAAAGCGCTCAGCTAAGATTTTAATAAAAATTTTATACACACTTTAACATACAAATTTCTTTGGCTCTTCTTTTATTTCATTTTTGTTACTTAAACTGTCAGCAACATAACTTTCTGCAATTGTGGCTGATGTCCACCCACCATGTCTCTTGATTGCTAATACATCAACTCCTGTATTAGCCAGTAACGTTACCGATGTTATTCGGAATGAATGGCCTGTATATATTTAAGGATGTTCTCGTTTCAAAAACTGTGCAATCTGTAAGTGACATACTATTTTTAGAATCTGGAATTCTAACTACAATAATGTCTTTACACATACTATTTATTATGAGAATAAATTCGAATAAATATTTTTGTAATTCTCGTGGCAGCGTTACAAGTTTTGTGCATTAATTCTTCTTAACTGATAGGTATTATGTATTAAGTCTTTTAACGTTTTCTAAATTGTCAGTTTGTTCAAGACACTGAATGATCGTTAATTACTTTGACATAATTTCAGCTGTTACTTTTTTTAGTAACAACTTTGTTATTAGTACAATTCCATTCAAAAGCCATGTGAGATCTAGGAAGCATTGTTTCAGTAACTTTTGGCATTACGTTTTGCGTACGCCTTTCATTTGTTCTCCAAAAGGGGTTAATGAATTGCTGAAAAGGTAAGGATTACAAATTACAATACGGGCGGAAATTTCTGTTTACTTTTGTCATTACCTCAGTACAAACTTATGTAATAGAAAAGTTTTCAGTAAGTCAGATCTAGGAATTTTATTTCGAAAGCTTCCATGTAGATACTTCCTAGAGTTCCTAGTTCCTAGAGTTCACAAGGGTACACTTCAATCACCACCTGTGACTTATAAGCAATTATACGATACAAAGGGGTCATTTTGAATGCGCCAACTACCAAGTCAGGCAAACGTTTTTTGATGAATGGAAATTTGATAATTTGGCTACCAAATTTAGAACATGTTTCTTTAATTATCGTAAATAATCAATTTCTAGTACTTACGCTAATATTCCTGACATGTGAAAAATTTCGGCGTTCAGATACGCCAGATAGGCCATCACGAATATAAAAATAGGTTCGATCACGCGCACTTCATTCGTAAATCTAGTCACGAGGGCAGTGCCAATGCCCCAGATCACTCCTATCACAGTACCACCAAAAGCGACCACAAAGAAGTTCAACAGACCGGACACCATGTCCACGTAGAGGATGTTATCGAGACCCATTTCCGAGTAAGACTCGAACAGGTGGTATAAAACAACAGTAACCGCATCATTCAACAACGACTCACCGAACACCACTATGTACAATATCTCGTTAACTTGTATTTCCTCGAATACCGCTAGCACAGCCACCGGGTCCACAGCGGATATCAGGGACCCGAACAGAAACATCTCCAGGAGAGGTGCTTCGCAGGAGAACAGACCCGTCAGTCCCACTGCCCATAAGGAAGCACCTGAAAAATTAAGAAATGTTCTCTTAAAAGTGGTTTCAAGGAAAGTGGAAGACAATCTTTCTTTACAGATTTGCTTAGACTCTTTTAAACCAACTTAGTGTTTCTTGAGACATCCGTCAGCAGTGGACAACAGGTCATCGTGACTGAAACTTCTTGAAATCTTGCCCTACTCAGTGTCCAGCCCAGGCGCGTCAGTGCTCGTCATAAGCGTACAAGTGAATGTGTTCTTCCACATTTAAAGACCAAAAAAATTGCTAACTAAGCGACTTACCTATAGTTAAAGTATTGAAAATGGTGCCGACCACGGCAAATAGAAGGATGGTTCCGAGGTGGTCGAAGAAGAGCCTGTTAGGCATGAAGTAGCCCGCGTCCAGGATGATCGGTGGAAGCATGTAGAAGAAAAAGATGTCCGGTGTGAGGGGGGACACGTGGACGGTGTCGGTGACGTAGACTAAGATCACACCGATGACGACTCCCACGAAAATTAGTAGGCACGATTCTGGAAATATTTCGCTTAACCTAGGAGCCATGTGGAAACCTGGAACAAAAAAAATTGTCATTAAGGAAAGCTATTCGAGGGTAAAAATATTGTTGTTTAACAAATTTTTATTTTAAATATGATTATTATTCTTTATTTTAAAAAAATGGGTAGCATATATGATGCTAAGTCAGTTTCTGTCTCTATATAAGGAGCTTTAAGGATCTTCGAACGTTTCATTCATGTCTGTCGTACTAAAAAAAGGAGTTATAATTTGCAAGTACAAGATTTATTGCAAAAACACTTTATATACTACTGAAGCTTATTTTACAAACGGTAGTAATTTATTTTGGAGATAAACTGAGTAGCGTTCGCCAACTAATCCACGCGGTAAAACGATTAGACCGATAATAACTTTGTTAATGATTTCTGCCCACAGGTAATCGTGAATTCATGTTGATAATGGGCTGTCTTTGTTGCGTGCAGATTTTCATCAACGTAAACGTGTCCCTTCTAGAAATTTATGCTGATAGAAGGTCCACTTGTGATATTTATTACTTTTATATTATTATTTATGTTATGTAATAGAACTTACTTGAAAAAATGAAAGGGTTACAATGGAATTTACTCTAAATTAGCGTAGATTTTCATCAAGATCGTAAAAGTATGTAATTAAGCAGCAAGTCTACATTTACACCTAATAAAACTCGAATGTCCTGAATAATGAAGAGCCAGGACTAAAGCGTAGTAGAATATATAAAAGCCTGTGTTTTTCCACATTTTATTTGTGACTCGCTAAATATTTTCCATAGAAAACTAATAAATGAAGTCTCGTTTTTTAAGAATATCTAGTTGAAACATCTAGACGAAATCAAAACTGCATAATTCACTTTTTTCCACGGGAGACCAAGTAAAAAGAAATTCTAGTCCCCCGAGTTTGTCACACAAGGAACGGCATTTCAACATCCAGACTAAAGTGCTTTTGAGAGCTTTACAGTTTGTAAGGGAAAAGGAAATACATATTAGTGTTATTCCCAGACATACATTACTTATGTCAATAACCTTAAGTGAGTCTGCTGCAGGACTCTATAGAAAAACAACTTTTTCTTTATGATACCTAATGCACAAACGCTTTGACTCCTTTAGGGTTGGATATTGTGCAAAGACTGGTTGTTTTAAAAAATTATTTGACGTTGTGTACGATATGTTGAACAAGTTCCTCTTAAAAACAATGAACAACAACAATTTATTTAGAAACTTTTGAAAAGACGGATTAACAGCAGATTGTTCCATATAGTTAGGTTATAAAAAGTCGACGATAAATAAAAGACTGGAAATCTAAAGGTGAAAGAAAAGTTTTGATTCTATCTGAAGATCACTAATTAACAATTCTTCTATATTATGTATATCTTTTTGTGTAACTTTTATATTGATCAAAAGATTAAAAGAAAATTACTTGTTCCCCGTTGAAACCCCTTTAAAATATTCAAAGCAACTAATACCAACCTTGTTCTATTTCTTATTCACATTATTACTCTGTTTGTATCGAACTTACCCGTACGGTACATTTTAAAGTACAAGGCTGGGAAATCGATTCCGATATTTCAATTTCTGTTTAATTTCAAGGCCATTCGATATTAACTTGATAATTTCAGAGGATAAATGCTCCTTTGCGGCAAGGACGAGAATAAGGATACAATCAAACCATTTTCCACTTGAATTTTCGCTCTTAATTTGGACTGGCATTGGACGACGTCTCCAAGGACATAAAACGAAATTGGATTATCGATTGCATCCCGTCATAAATTATAGCCACAAGGGCAATTTCAAAATCCTTGTGTTAGTAATTTTTTTTATTCCAACTCTTTAATTTGTATTCAGGGCTATGGAAAGGCTTCGGGAAGTGTGCTGCTTTTTATCAGTTTCGAAACAACAGGCGGAAGATGCTTTTGGGATATGTATTAGCCTCCACACTGTCATTTTTGAGTTTAACAAGGCACTTTCATGTTGCTTCCTCGTTATGCTGTTTATATTTCGACGTTTTAACATTTATGAGAGTCTGTGTTATCATGGTAACATAATTTCAGTAATTATTGAATACATTTGGGATAACTGGGGCACACATCTCAAAATGAAAGTAGGTGAGGCGGCACGCACAATATTTGTAAGAAAGACACGCGTCTTCTTCAGTTTCTATCAATCGGTAACCTCAGGAAAATTGAATAAGTTGAGTTACTGAACCAGAGTTAATTTATTTTTGATAACTCAAGTAATAAGTGATTTTTGATAACTTAACTGATAAATCAAGGCAAATAACACTGAAACTCTGAAAAAGTATAGGATTTGTAACACTCAGGGCATGTTAGGAAGGCTAACCTCTTTGAAGAACCTGAGCCGTTCTTACAAATAACCCTGACATCAACAGGAGATCAGCTTAGGGAACTACACACGAGCTAGCTTGGCTGTAGGCCAAAAACTTAGCTGAAAACTTAACAAGTTGTTAGAAATCGACCTTCACACTCGAACTTATATTTCGCCACTATCACATTTTATTTCAATCTACTAAAACGCGTGCTGTTTCACTGGGTTTTCTTTAACGGTTATTCATTTTCTTTCTAACTATGACTATTCCATGGGTGACAAATCTCATTTTACGATGTATCATCAAAAATTTTGCTGTGTTTGGAACAAAGAAACGAAGGAATTGTGCGGTGGAGGGGATGGTGTATTACTATTTTATCCAGTTATCAAATTCCGGCGATTTCGAAGACTTTCAAAAAGATTTTATTATGAACTTCATTGATTACATGTTTTGGATTCCATAGCTTGCGTGGAATGTTTACAATATCCTATAATTAATAACGCGAAATATTTCTAGTGTAGCAGAAATTCCTAAGAGGTTCCAAATACCTCACTTGCAATCAATGTATTACCTCCATATTGCGGTTTATATGGGATGTTTTATTGCAATTCCTTTTAGAAGAGATAAAATTGACTGGACAAAGATCATATCATGTTGCAAATGAGCTGTAGTTTGCAGCAACTTACTTATATTTAAAATAATTATTTTTGGTAGAAATAAATTTGATATGAACATAAGTTTCCGCTTAAAAAATAAGTCAATTGAAGGGAAATTGCGTTTTTTGATATACACATATGACAGGAATCAGAAATGAAGAATTTTTAACATGCTCTCGAACAAAGAATTATATCTCACTGCTTTGTAGAAGAAATCTTCCATATCGAAGTATTTCGTTCAAATACTACTCGTGTATTTCAACAAAGATGAACATATTAAATTCAATGGATATACAAATATTTCTGAATACAAATTCTAATACAAAGTGTTAACTGTTGCCCAGATAAATTTGCCATCCACATAAATGAAGGTATTGATGTTATGATTAGTTCGACGCCTTCAGATTTTAAACAACGAACATACAATTATTTTCCAACGACTACTTGATCCTTCCACTGCTAATGTGATTTTTTTGAAACTCTTTAGGACGATACTGCTTATAACTTTTAAACAGGAAGTAATGCAGAAAAATTTCTCTAATAAAAGTTTATTAGAAAAAAGAGAGCTCTTTAACAGAAAAAACATTTGGGTATGATTCAGGAAAAAATATAATTGATGACGTCATTAGTATTTTCTGTCAAATTCCAAAGATAAGATAAGATACTTATATGTCGATCAAAGTAGCCTGATAAATAATAATGATGTTTGCTATAACATCCTATGTCCTGATCAGTTCTGACAGACCTACTTATATGTTGATATAAAAAAATAATAAAGAAATTTAGATACAAAAAACACTTAAAGAACATCACAATACATCAAAATAGAAGAGGAGAAGGTCCGAAAATGGGCCATGTACTCCTTCTAGAAATTCATTGGAAATATTCAAAAATCTCGAAAGCAGCCCCTGTGACTTGCAGTGGTGTTACAAATTATATTTTATAGAATTATAATGCATAATATCCAATGCAACAAAAGGAAACCAAGTCATTAGCAATCGTGTAGATTTTTTTAATGAACTGACTTGGCGAAGGCCTTTGACAGAGTCAACCATAACATTCTATTATGGAAATTGAACTCTTATTCTTTTAGCGTAGATTTGATACAGTTTATTAGAACTTATCTGACTGATCGGATAAACTTTGTGAAATTTAACAGTGCAGAATCTTAACTTCCGGTGTACCTCAAGGGTCCATAGTGGGACCATTGCTTTTTATCTTATTTATAAATGACATCTCTGATTATATAAAGCATGAAAAGTTTTTACTCTATGCAGATGACTTGAAGATTTACCTTAACATAACATGTTGGGAGGATGTTGCAAAATTGCAAAGTCACAGCTGTTTCTGAGTTTTGTAAAAATAACGACCTAGCTTTAAATGGGGCAAAATGTAAACTGGAATCATATACACGGAAGAAATACCCTATATTGGAGTATATATGGTGAATGGTGTTGAGATAGAGCCTCTGAATAGAATCAGGGACCTAGGTGTAATTTTTAGCAACAATTTTACATTTAATGAGCATATTACAAGTTTAACAGCAGAATGCTACAGGAAGCTCGGTTTTGTTCTTAGGACTAGTCAAGAGTTTAAATCGAACCCAGTTATAAGGCTATTCAAATTGGAGTATTGCAGTGTGATTTGGAACCCACAAGGTACCAGTAACAAAGACACAATAGAGAAAATACAGAAGAAGCTTTTAAGGTCAATATATGTTAAAGAGTATGGACTGTACCCGTTCATGGTATCATATGAACATCAACGAGCAGAGTTTGGTGTGACCTCTTTGAATAGGAGAAGAGAAAATGCTCAGATTTTGTTCGCTTATAATATTTTACATAGTCAGATTAATATTAATGTTCCCGATATGAGAATGCGAACTAGATATAGACATTTTAAAATATTAATTAATTCTAGTTATTAGTTAGTTCTAATTACCGTTCTAGGGGTGATTAATTCACCCCTAGAACAGTGTCTGTGTACGGTGAATAATTTGTTAAGAACATACGATATTGATATTTTTAATATTAATCGGACTAAGCTGTGTTTTATGTACATTTTAATTGACATTTTTTTGTTTTCTTTCTTTGTTCTCTTTTTACATTGTATTTTGCATGTGTCTGTGGTTGTTTATACATAATTTTTAACTGGTTTTTATATTAGCTAACATTTCTCAACTGTATACATGTAATTGGACTGTCCCTTTGTCTGTATGTATGCAGTATAAATAAATAAATAAATAAATATTAACAAGCACTTGTAACAACACAGATTATCCCTTATCAGAGCATGCTTTGTACAAAAATAAAAACAAACATTAACATTCGGTACGGGTTAGTGTATCAAGCCGACGCGCCGAAATCGATATATCCTGACCTCAAACTCTGCAGTGGAAACCTTGTTTGGATACCACGGTATGTGCGGTGGGCAAATTCATAACTACAACTTCTTGCAAAAAAATATATCCACCTAGTCGTTCTGTGGGGCCTAGAGACCGTTCAGAAATTAGATTTGCGTTTATAGATATCGATCAAAATTTCTATTCAGCCCAAACTCTTCAAATGGGTCATATAAGCGCAGAGGCGAGCTTTCAGAGCGAGTTTTTCTTGAAAGTCGTTCTTTGTACGTGTCTTGAAAATGTTTCGGCATCAAACTGCGAGGAGTGAGGCTGAAGTAAACAGGACTTTTTAAAAATGAGAACAACAAGAGGTTTTTTGGCAAAACCGATTTATTTTATTCAAAATAGTTTCTTTCCGAGTCAATAGAGCGATATGCATGATCTAGCATGTCGGATGAGTGTTTTAGATCGTTGGCAGGGACGTCCTTCAGAATGTCAGTACAAGTCTTTTGGATGGCAGTCTATAAAACGCTTTCCTTTCCAATGAGATGGCATATCATCGTGCGACAAACACCAATTTCCTGAATACGATGAATACGATGCACCAAACGACAAGAAATAATTGTGCATTAACTATTTGGACCGGTGAAACGAATTCTTTGTAGACAATGCTCTTGGAATTGTAAAAACAAACCAACATTATCTCTTCTAACATCTCAAAACGAGACTTTTTGGTTATGGCTCATCTGGCGTCTTCATTCAGTATTTTGACACTTGGTTTCTGGATCATATTGACAACACCACACCACCAATTTCACCAATTAATTGAAACGTTTCGGTAAAAGTTTAACAAAGTTTTTCCCTTTGTTCGATGCTCATTTTTGTACCTATGACACAAACATACTGTCACTTGAGACGCAACGACTACGATATAGTTTTAAAATAAGCTTTAAATTTTGTGAAAGAAAGGGAAATAAATTATTGTTCACTGATAAATTTGAAAGAAAATGTTTCGAAACCTTTCAGGCTGTTTACTATCAGAGCGATTAAATTTAAATAATGAAAAAGTTAATGTTTGAACAGAGAACTATCAAACTCTTAGGAAAACACACTTCCAGTAGTAGTATAACTACCATAAATTAATTTTATGGTACATAAATAAGAATATTTATGTGGATAGCATACTCCCCAGGATTTTTAATTAATAAATTTTATTGTATATAAATTTACTATATAATTTTATCACAGTTCTTATATCTTAAACACGTTCTACCAAAATTAAAAATAAAAATATAAGTTTGTAAACTCAACTTTAACTATCATGAAAAAAAAGACAAACATTCCATTCTAAACTATCGATGTCTGTATAAGTTTTAGATAATTTTCAAAAAAGTCTCTTCTTCCCGGAATATTTTTACCAAAGTAATTGCCTTCCGTACACAATTCTACGTTTAATGAATTTATGCTATATATACAGGGTGATTCACAAATGGTGACCAAAAATGAAACCTCGTATATTTTGGTGAATTTTAAGGGGAGTCTTTCCTATCTAGGGCGCTTCATTAGAAAGATACAGGGTGTTAAACTTAGAAAAATATTTTAAATTTTTTTTAAATAGGTTTATTTTATTTTTTTATTTAGGTTATTTACGTTTATTTAGGTTTTTATTTAGGTTATTTTAAAAAATAAGAACTATTTTAGAAGATTTTTTATTTAAGATGTTAATGTTGACTTTCTTACATTATTGTTTATTTAAAAAACTAGTGGTGATTTTTTATTTTATTGATTGATAATACTAAGACTAAAAATGTGTTATTAATGTTTTTTTTTAATGTGATATTTTTTCATTATTATTCCCCGCTTTGAGGCAGTTGTAAATTATTTTTTATAATCGGATTTTTGTCTATATTTAATGTATACCAAGTTTACTCGAAATCCATAAACGATATCAAAATTTTGTAAGAGCACAAAAATTTTCTAAAGTAGTGCTTATTTGAAATATAAATTTTGGCGTCACTGGAATACACACCAAAAAAAAATTAAGGGATAGCCAGTGGTGCACAGGCACTAGAAAGAGAACATCCTGTATATGTATTATCACCAAATTTTTTTAGGTTGCTCTTATATAAGAAAATATGTGTACCAAATTTGAAGTTTCTAAGAAAAATAGTTTACAATTTATTGGAAAAAATTAGGTTATCTATTCTACAGGGTGGTCCCGAGGTAATGGGCCAAAATGGGTAGATTCCCCAATTAAAAATATTGCGATTTAGCCGAACTTACCTTAGTAAAATATTATTTCAGTTTATTTTAATTTATTCCTTAACAAATGCAAATATCCTCACAAAATTTCGAACTATAACTAAAATGTCAACAAATTTCAATTCCTCTATCCAAAGAACCCCAAACCCCAAAATTTTGTGTAGATATTTGCATTTATTAAGAAATAAATGGAAATAAACTGAAATAATATTTTACTAAGGTATGTTCGGCTAAATCGCAATATTTTTGCTTGGGGAATGTACCCAGGAATTTTGGCCCATTACCTCGAGACCACCCTGTATATTTAGACGGTTATATCTCAGTAGGCGTGCTGTTTGTACATAAGTAAGTTAGGTAGGCTAATAGTCTTATTTTCATCCAAGGAACCTGTGATCAAGCGTTGTCCATGCTTTTCAGGGACATCCTGTACATCCTGAAACGCTTCTTAAGAGACTCGCATTACTTTAAAGGGCTAAGAAAAAAATAATAAAAAGTTCAAAAGTTGGTACACTATTGGGTGCGATGCGAGTGAAAATTCACTCAATATTCTTTACAGTGTTTATCTTTTCCTCCACGAAAGACACCCTCACGCCTCACCCCGTACATGCATGCAACCACCCCTCAACTTACCAATTTTCGCCAAACTCGCAAAGAAAATCCATAACCCGATGATGAAAGGCGTCTCTACCCGGTGGAAAGAGATGGATATGACGGGGTACCTAGTCACCGTCTTGTTCAGCGGCTTGGGGGCCTCGGTGGACGCCACCTTCTCGACGGCCGGCGTCTCCGTGGAAGCGGCGTTCCTCGTGGGGACGACGGGCGTCGGTATGGAGTGGCGCAGGCTGTTGATGTCTACGGAGGTCTCGAGGATGGCGGGCGGGCGGCTGTCGCTGTTGGAGGCCTGGTTGGGCGGCATCGGCTGCCCGCAGCAGCCGCCCGCTAGGACCAGGAGCACCGCGGCGACCCTGCAGGCCCGCCTGGACAGGTTGACGCCGTGCTGGAGCGAATGCATCACATACGGTCTAAAGGCGCGGGAGGACTGCCATGGGGCAGTCTGTTGCCGGTCCGTGCACCTGCAAGACTGGGCGGCGGGCTCAGCTGACGGCGGCGGCGGCGGCGGCGGCGCGACGTCGGGCCGGGCGCAGGCGCGCTCGAAGGGCTCGTCGATGTCGGTCGACCCTTCCGCCGCCGTGTATAAATTAGTCCGGTAATGATCGTTTGGCTGGTACTGATTTTGACGTATTTTTTGGAGCTTCAGGACCCTAAGCTTAGAACATTTCTACGTTATTTATTCGATTGTTAATCTATTAATTTCTACGTTTGCTACGCAAATACGGCCTATTGAATAATAATATGCCGCCCCTCTCCCGCACAAATCACCGTCTTACGGACTAACGCGTGCGATTAGTGGCCCACTCTATCTTGTCATCTATGAGCAAAACGTGTACGTTATTCAGACTCGGAAATACTGAGACCTACATTTAATGATCTTACGAGTTGAAAAACTTTTTTTTTCAAATGGAATGACCCATATTAGTTGTCATGGATGAATGCAAAATTGAATGCTCTTTCGAATGATATAAGGTTGTCCATACTTATCTCTAACAGTTTTCCAGAAAAATCAGGTTCTTTTCTAAAGTCCGAAATATTAGCCATGTAACAGCGTCAATAAGGCCTTGCAAAACCACTTTTCTCTCACATTTTACCAGGGGACTGGACTTTTTAAATGAACGATAGCTTCATTTATTTGTTTAATAATAGTAAAATAATTCCGAAATTCAAATTTTAATTAATATTTCGTTTAACAATAATTTTTGTGACATTTTTGTAAATTAAAAAAAATTCAGTATAAAAGATGCATTTTTTCTGGGGTTCGGGGCTATTCTACGAATTTGTAAATATGCCCATTGTTATTTTTTCGTCGTGCCACCCCAGTTTAAAAAAAAGAAGTTTCTACGATGAATAGAAGCCGAGATATTGTAAAACCTTATAGCGCGCATCAATTTGAAATTTGGATTTCACTTTTCCGGCGCGCGCGTCTCGCTTGGACGAGCTTCCCCCACCACCACGCCGGACATTTTACTTAGCAAGTACTTTCTCTTTAAAGGCTCGCGAGTCGTTAATTTTCCACATTTTTCGATGCAATTCACGGGAAATCGTAATTTACATCGTAAACTTTATTTTGCGAAAAATTCAAGTCTTAATGTTTATAAACAATTGCGCTACGATTAAAAAAAAATATCTTGGCTCCTGTTTGTCGTAGAGGGTGCTTTTTTTTAAATAAAATTGTATTTTTTTGCCAGCTATCCATTGAATCTATTTTCGGTGAGGTAGCATAAATAACAACAATTTTATTCAAATTGTTTATAAGCGAAAAACGCACGGTCTTTTGTTAATGTCAAAAAAACGATGATATTTTTTAATAGGTCGCTTAATTACGTCTTTAAGATTACAATGACGCTTTCAGAGTCATGTTTGGTTGAAAATTAACGCCTGTACAGAGGCTTAAAGTTCATAACTTTTGGAGCCTCCGTTATAAATTGTGCGAAAACTATTGCACCTACAGCGCCCACTTTTGGCACACTTTTAAAGTATGACAAAACCCTCAACTTATCATAGGTTTTATAAAATTTTAACATAGTTATAAACAAATTAAAAAATGGGCACTTTTCTTGTTTCTTTGCAATAACTTTTTTGTTTATTAACCGATTTTAATTTAACAAGTCTCATTTTATAGATAATTTTACTCCCTAAAAGCTGTCTGCGAGTCACTTTTCGCTAAAATTGATGGTTTTCCCTGTAAAGTGAAAAAACTGTTTTCCTCACTTATTTGTTTAAATAGAAAAGTTAGCAAATAAAATTTTTTGGCTCACAAGACGAGAGATGTCTTGTATTATGCTTCTTTAGACAATTTTACAATAATCTCGCGGATAGGACTTTTTTCGAGTAAAAATTTTATTTGCTTGCCTATTTATCCCCCGAAACGAACCGTTAGGTTTGGTTTACGAAAAGAAATGATTTTCAAGCGGAAAATATACTCCCCTCTGTGAAAGTTACAGAGTTTGTCCTACCCACTCATGCGTGTAGATTTCACGAAATCAACCTTGAACTCGATAGGCTATCTGCAACGGATTGAGATTGTATATTTCCAGATAATTATCTGTTACTGACAGCGGAGGACGCTTTCTGGACCCAAATTACATTTAAATAATTAATAAAGCTCCAACTTGAAGAGTGTAAGACTTTTCGCAAATAAAGAACTAGCTAGAATAAAACCATTGTTAGAGGGCATAGTAAAAATATTTACTTCTGGATCTATAAAGTGTTTACAGTGGAGTGGGAGTAGCACATATTTACTATGAAGTTTGGGGCTCTGTTTAGTTCGCTGTAACCAAACAATCCCGCTTTATTTTCTTATTAAACGTAATTTGTTCACGTGTGGTATAAACCAAACTTTAATGAAAAAGTAATTGAATAATGGACTCTCACTACAAAAAATAATGTTGAGCACATTTTCCATATATTTCAATAGTACTTAAAATAACTGCCCTATTTAATTTTTTTTTCTTGTATCAAAATTTTTTCGTCACGCAGAATATAACAATATGTATTGTAGAAACAATTAAGAACTTTAAAAAATTAGTTACTCGCTTAGTCTCAACCTTACTTTCACTACTTGGCTATTATAAAATAAATACTATTCCATAAATAATTAGTAACATGGGCAATGCGTAAATAATAAGCTGTATAATTAGCTATGATTAGATACTGTATCGCAAAGACTATACAGGGTGTCAATTTAGTAGGTTTTTCAAGGATTATAACCTTATCTTTTACCAAAGACAAAAAAATCATTGTAACATTACATTAGTACATTCTAAAATTACGTATATAATCAAAAATTCTTAATGTATATTTGTTTAAAGGGTGAAACGATAGAAGGGACTGTTGAATGGAATCGCAAGAAATATGAAGTATCAAAAGTTGGAGATATCTTCTTTTAGCTTTCATATAATGATTTATGTAAAGTAAGAATATGCTTTGAAAGGTGATTTTTCCATTATTCAGTCATCAGAAGCAATATGTTGATACAAAATTTATGTAAAATTACACACTAAACCATTTTTTATTTTGATGCCACATAGACTCAACGATTGGGGATAGGAGTGGGTAGAGCTGCTTCAGACGCAAACTTATTTGTGAAAGTCTGTACCTTATTTGTATAAAGAAATATTTCATTATGCAGTATCAAAGCAATTAACGATTTCGCGTGAATTTAACATAAATTTGCATCAATTTAAAAGACAACCACTCTGTACATAATGAGCGATACACAGCTTCCACGTGACTGCGAATTCAGGTGGAAGCTTTTCCGTCTGTAACTGAGAAGGCGCAATCGATCCGGGATATTGTCCTCTCATCAGGCCATGTGATGCCGTTACGTGGTGATGATTTGAGCAAACAATCTTTTATTTGTCTGTAACAATCTTAATTGTTTTCCTGGGTGTTTACGCACGTGAAGGTACACCATTTACGTAAACGACAGGTAATCAGGATTCTAAAATAACAAGTCTGTTTAAATTATGTTCTCAAAGAAACAAGCAAAGTTTGGGGAACAATTTCAACCTGTGTCTATTTTTTTGCTGAGCAAGAATCCTTGTGGACAAAGACGCATGAAGGCAAGTCGGGATTGAAATAAGACAAGACCATGGGTGTGATTAAATTAGACACTTCTAATAATCCCCGTGATTAATGGGTATCACTGTTTCGTTAGTGGAAGAAATAAAGACAAGTAGAGAAGTTACGAGAAAGACATATATTCTGAATTTAATGAACACGAGTATCTAGCAAGCATTTTTCCAGTACGTTCCAAAGTTGACCATGCAATTAATAGTAGTTAATTTACTTGACAGTTTTATAAAAAAAAAACGTTTTCTTATCAATTTTAATGACCTACTTGTCTATTACGCAATGTGGAAGCAGTTAGAAAACTCATTTACTTGAATATATGTACCTACGTTTCCTTAATGATTTATTGATTATAAAATTTATAACTAAATCAAAGTTTCTTGAATAATAAGAAAGTAAGATGTGGTACACTGAAATGAAACTTGTCCCTTTGCAGCTAAAAATCCCTGGATAGTTTAAGAAGGATGGAAAACGCAGAATAAATACTTGAAGATTCGATGTCTCGAATTGAGGCAGATCATTCTGGCTCTAAGACTTCTACATTGAAAACTTATCACACAAGTGCTCCTAGATGCAGACGCATTACTTTAATATAGTTGGTTGCAATAAGACCAATAATTCTTAGAATACTTTAACAAGCCCATTAAATATATAACCAGCGATAAACACTACAATTGCCCCCCCTTTATATTGTACAATAATTATTACACTCGCACTATCTACATAAGCTTTCGAAGTGTATTTTTGTAGTGTTCGAGTATTTATAACGGAGATGATTTATTTACAGTTATGTGCGTTGTTGGTTCTTCCTTGGAGCTTTTCGGCTGAAACGAACAATGAGACGTTCCAAGCGTTTGTGGACATGGTCGTCAGCAACTTAACTGCTTGTGACAATTACAAATTGCCTGTGAATAACGAAAATCTATGCTCCGTTCGATCCTCGAAAGGAGAAGAGTTTCGTGGTAAGTAGCGTGGTGACTTTTTTCGACTTGAAAAGTATGCGATTGAGAATATTCAATAATCTAAATAGTTTAAAATAATAATACAAGGATACAAAGAATTGGGAAGTAAGCAATGCAAGATCTTATTAAATAAAACAAAGACAAGATTGTTTCCGCTTTTTATTCAGGAATGTTTCATAAAGTATGACTGGAATTAATATTCATTAACAAAACATTTTTGTAATTGTTGAAGTCACAGACATTTTCTGCTTTTGTGTAGATTTTGGGTCATTCGACTTTATCATAGTCGGAGCTGGTTCAGCTGGCACTCTGTTGGCCAACAGATTGACCGAAATCAAAGAATGGAAGGTTCTCTTACTGGAGGCTGGAGGCAAAGAAAATGACTTCAGCGACATCCCAGGGATGGCGTTGCCACTTTACCTGACTGACATGAACTGGGGCTACTTAAGCACACCGCAGGAAAGAGCATGCAAAGGTGAGTACCGATAAAAAACTGGAATATAGCAAAAAATAATGTAAATCAAATGTTTTTTCAGCAATGAAGGAAAGTAAGTGCGTTTGTCCTAGAGGGAAAGTAGTTGGAGGCAGCAGCACTATAAACGCAAAGATGTACTCGAGAGGTAACAAAGATGACTTCGATGCTTGGGAAAAACTCGGCAATCCTGGATGGTCTTACCAGGACGTGTTACCTTACTTTAAGAAAACAGAAAATTGCCATATTTACAACCCAGATCCTCCTTATCGCGGCAGCGGAGGCCTGCTAGATGTCAACTACACTGCTCCTACTGTATTCACTTCCATATTCCTGAAAGGTAAAGAAGAGCTAGGATATCAACTGAACGACTACAATGGCAAGCAACAAATAGGCGTTTCTCAAGTTCAGTTCACCATTAAGGGTAACAAGATAGCAAGTGGCGGGAGAGCTTTCATAGACCCTTTTATGAACAGAAAGAACCTCAATGTTACTATAAATGCTTTCGTTACCAGACTGATAATAGATAAAGAAAAGAAGAGAGTTCTTGGTGTTGAATTCGTACAAGACGGAAGGAAATACGCAGCCAAGGCTAAGAAAGAAGTTATACTCTCCGCTGGAGCTATAAACACCCCTCAGATATTAATGATATCTGGAATAGGCCCCCAAGAAGCGTTAAGCAAAATCGGTGTTGAAACTCTAGTAGACCTACCCGTTGGATTAAACATGGAAGACCATGCAGCGTTCACGGGTTTAAACTTCAGAACCAATCATACATTGTTCAATGACTCCATAGAGGTACTTCTAGAAAGGTACTTAAACGACCAGCGACCCTTGACGGCGGCTTTTAATGCAGATTGTGTAAGCTTTATTAATGTAAACGACAGGAAAAGTTCAGTACCAAACATTGAACAGGTGCTCATGGTGCCTCCATTCGAAAATAGCCAAGCAATTAAAGTTTTAAATCTAAAAGATGTAAAACCATTATCGAATCCTTACACTGACATGCACGTGTGGTTAATATTACTACATCCAAAATCCAAGGGTAGTGTTACATTGAAATCGAAAGATCCCTTAGATTTCCCCAACGTCGATTACAACTATTACGCTGAGGAAGAAGACTTGAGAACCATGCACAAAGGTGTAGAAGAAACCCTTAAGCTACTGGAAACGAAGGCTTTTAAATCGATCAACGCTACTTATATTCCAGTTATAGAAATCTGCACTGAGCATAAGGAGGGTTCTCACGAATTCTGGCACTGTATGATCGAACATTTGACTTCGACCATGTACCATCCGGTAGGCACTACGAGAATGGGTAACTCAAGTAAAGACGCTGTAGTAACTCCCAAGCTGACTGTATATGGTGTGGAGAGATTGCGAGTGGTGGATGCTGGAGTTATTCCCAGAATAGTTTCTGCTAATACTAACGCTGCGGTCTACATGATTGCGGAGAAAGCTGCTGATGAAATTAAGGGATTGTACCATAGGTCTATTGCCACGGGGAAACAGCTATGAATAATTTACTTTAAGTTTATAAACAATAATAATTTATAACATGGTTTTGGAAACTAGTAAAGTAGGCTATTGATTATATCTAAAAAAACAGGGTTAAAAGGAATTTTATTGTATGAATCGTTCAAAGGGTCATTGTAGATGAAAAAACCGCGGAGTGCTATTAAATTAGAGGGTGGAAATTGGAGATAGGGGTGAAAATGCACCCCTTTCAGTTTTTTAATTGTAGCTCTTTGTAGAGAATTGAATTTCCCATCGAAATGGCTTATTTAAAAAATTGAAAAGAAAAATTGTATGCAAAAAATCATTATTAAACAATTTAAAAAAAAGCAAAAAATAAGATTTTTTTTTACTTTTTTGATTCTATTTTTTTTTTTAGTGGAAGTAGGCAAAGGAAATTGCTGTACGAAAAAAGTAGATGAGATTCCCTTCAAAACGATGCGTTTCCAAAAATTTTTGGACTAATATTGACTGAGTTATAACCGGCCAAACTTAAATATTTTTTAGATTTTCGTCGTTTTTAACATACGGGTAATAATGATTATAATTCTTATTATTTTTACAACAAATTGGATCTTTACATAATAAAAAATTATCTCAAAATTTTATTTGTTAATAATAAATAAAGATTTTCACAACTTAGAATCAAAAAAGTAAACAAAATCAAAAAAATCTAATTTTTTGCTTTTTTTAAATTGTTTATTAACGATTTTTTGCACAAAATTTTCCTTTTAAATTTTTTAAATAAGCCATTTCGATGGGAAATTCAATTCTCTAAATATTTTTTCCTATGAACTATAGCGAAATTTTGCTTCGTTTTCGAGCTACAATAAAAAAACTGAAAGCGGAGCATTTTCACCCCTATCTCCAATTTTAACCCTCCAATTTAATAGCACTCCACGTTTTTTTCATCTAAAATGACCATTTGAACGATTCATGTAATAAAATATCTTGAACGTCATAGGGTATCTGAATCATAATTACTTTAATTTGTGGTTAAATTAAAAAAAATGGAGATGAGGAAAATTTTGCCTTTTTACTTAAAGTAAAATGAAAATAATTTAACAGTTATCACTTTGAAATAATGATTAGAGCAAGAAAATTAGAAAATTATCTCAACACCAAATAGCCAAACAATTTCTATAAGAAGAAGCAGTTTAAGTGTAGAGCCCTCATATAAAAAAGATGTGCAATTACTTATATTTTGGCAAACTTTTCGTGCTAATTGATCTTATCTATGTGCAATTATTTCATAATTTATGCCAGTTATGTATGTAATCACTACTTATTTTAAATAAAATATTTAGTACTGCATTACTCTACTTTATTATCTGAGATGCAAATTTACTGCAAAAAAAGTAATTAATAGACAGTTAATTATACAATAAAATCTACAAGGGTAAAAAAATATTTTTAATAAGCATGTATTATTTGTAGTATGTATTTGTAATATTGTATTCAGTCGATTTGGATATTATTTTTTGTTTTAACTGTTTCGATTTAAGCATACAAAATGGAAATTTTATTACGCTTATATATGATCTTGACGTGATATAACTATTACCATGACAACGCATTTGGCTTCCGTATCATTCGCTCAATATATTTGAAAAAAATTTCATATATTTGAAAAGTATACTGTATTTTTTATATGTCTTTCTCATTTCGTAATATTTAAAGTGCTTGTAATGTAATTATTTCATAAATTCCACTCAGTTTTAATTGAAAAAGTTTATAAATGATATAAAAAATGTAATACCTACGTTAATCGAATAACCAATAACTGAAATATTCGAGGATTATGAAACTGGAAAAATATTATTATACTGCTATTATTTTAATCCATAGAATAACCTCCCGTAGTTTCCTGACGAACTTTCAGAACACCCTGTATGTTTCAAAATTCCAATTTTATGAAATTCTAAATAAAATTTGATATAATAATTTTTTTTTCAAAATCAAAACCTTTAATTTATTTTTTTCTGCGCTGGTTTAGAATATGTAACTTTTATTTTTTTATTCTAAAGCATACAATGGGTTTAAAAAGTTTGTTACTACTATTATTTGACACCCCGTACGCAGAAAAGTTAACTACATTCAGCTCAGTCCCCTCTATATGCAAAAACATGATACGGGTTCATTATAAAAGCCGCCGAAAAACGCTGTTTAAATTGTTAATATGTATACTTTACAACTATGCTCGCTAATGATTCTTCTTTGTTACCAACTGGCGCATTCCTCCAGCACCGCAAATAACACTGTCGAGGCCTTCATCGACATGGTGCTCAGGAACTTAACAGCTTGTCACGAATACGTTATACCCGTTAACAATTCCAAGTTGTTGTTCGTTTCTCCAGACCAAGAAAATGAGATCTATAGTAAGTATCGATTTTTGAAAGATATCATCGACTTCAAGCTGCTAAGGAGTCAGTATTGACCTATAGCTCAGAACCTGTACGTTAACTTTAGCAAAGAACACATTATAGAAGCTTGCTAATCAAATTAACAAATTTTTTTATTGAAACAGACTTTGGGACATTCGATTTCGTGATAGTTGGAGCAGGATCGGCTGGTACTCTATTGGCCAACAGACTGACGGAGATCAAGAAGTGGAAAGTACTCTTGCTAGAAGCCGGGGGAATAGAGAACGACTTCAGCGACATCCCTGGAATGGCTCAAGAACTCTACTTGACCGACATGAACTGGGGTTATCTATCAACACCTCAAAAGCGAGCGTGCCAAGGTAAGAATCGTTTTTGTAGCATATTTCTGTTCTGGTCATGTATCTTCTTTCAGCGATGGAGGAGAATAGATGCGTCTGCCCAAGAGGTAAGGTTGTGGGGGGCTCTAGCACCATCAACGCCAAAATGTACGTAAGAGGCAACAAAAAGGATTACGATGGTTGGGAGAAGATGGGTAATCGTGGTTGGTCCTACAAGGATGTGTTGCCATACTTCATCAAAACGGAAAATAGTCAAATCGACGATGGGGAGATTGGTTACCACGGTAAAAGAGGTTTATTAGACGTTAATTACACTGATCCAACAGTCTTCACTTCGATGTTCCTAAGAGGTAATGAAGAACTAGGTGCTAGAATAACTGATTACAATGGCAAACACCAAATAGGAGTTTCACGAGTTCAGTTCACCATAAACGGTAACAAGATAGCGAGTGGTGGAAGAGCCTTCATAGAACCATTCCTAGGCAGGAAAAACCTTAATGTTACGACACACGCCTTTGTTACCAGATTAATAATTGAAAGAGAATCCAAAACCGCGCATGGGGTTCAATTTATAAAAGGTGGGAAGAAATACCTGGTAAGAGCAGCCAAGGAAGTTATACTTTCTGCTGGTGCCATAAACACTCCACAGATTCTAATGCTTTCTGGTATAGGCCCTAAGGAAGAGTTGGACAAAATTGGAGTGAAGACTCTAGTTGACTTACCTGTTGGAAAAGCCATGCAAGATCACGCGGTGTTCGTTGGTTTGAACATCAGAACGAACCAGACGTTATTCAACGATTCCATAGAAATTCTTCTAGAAAAGTACTTGAATGATCAAAGACCCTTTACAGCAGCGTTCAATGTCGATTCTATGGGTTTCATCAATGTGAAGGATAAAGTAAGTTCGGTGCCAGATATTCAGCAAATCGCCATGACGCCTCCAGGGGTTGGTCGCGACGGATGGAGGATCTTAAATTTAAGGGAAGAATATGAACAACAGCTTGAAACGTTAGCAAGGCCCTACAACGACGTAGTAATATGGCTGGTATTGCTACACCCAAAATCCAAAGGCAGCGTGACTTTGAAATCCAGCAGTCCTCTAGATTTTCCCGAAGTAGATTACAACTATTACCATGTGGAGGAAGACATGGTATCAATGCACAGAGCTATACACGAAACGCTAAAACTACTAGAGACCGATGCCTTCAAGTCTGTTGACGCCAGATACGTACCAATTTATAAAATTTGCACGAATTATACCGAGGGTACGGAGGAATATTGGCACTGCATGATACAGCACTTGACAACGACTTTGTATCATCCTGTTGGAACCACAAGGATGGGAGTGTCGAGGAAAGATTCCGTTGTATGTCCCAAGCTGCACGTACATGGTATGAAGAGGTTAAGGGTAGTAGATGCCGGGGTTATGCCTAAAATACCTTCTGGAAATACCAATGCTCCTACTTACATGATTACGGAAAAGGCTGCTGATTATATTAAAAGAGACCACCTATGAGAGAACTGTTTGCTAATTAAATAAATTGTATTTAAAATAAAGAAAAATTTGATTTATGCATGTTTATGCTTTGCAACGCTTAACGTATTTAAGTTAATGCTTTTAGATCTTTAACTAAACAATATTCTGCAGTAAAAATTTGCGAATATCTCACATAATTACTACTAATCCTTTTTTATTTAAATGAAGTTACAGATATTCTTTATCTTATCTACTATCGTTTTTATTTGCGTTTTTAAAAAACTAAAACACTTAACCTAAGCCTATCAAAAAATGTTTTTATTCAAATTTGACATAATATAAGATTAAAAAATTTTGGAGTGATTCCATACAGTTATTAGCGAGCTTCTGAATAAGCTGCGATGTTATCAGAGACATCCAAACAGACAAATTATAAAGTTACGAAAATAACGTTTAACATCTAGGCTATTGATTATATAAAAAAAAACAGGGTTGAAAGGAATTATGACGTTCAAGCAATTTTATTGCATGAATCGTTTAAAGGGTCATTTTAGATGAAAAAACCGCGGAGTGCTATTAAATTAGAGGGTGGAAATTGGAGATAGGGGTGAAAATGCACCCCTGTCAGTTTAGAGAATTATTTAAAAAATTTAAAAGGAAAATTTATGCAAAAAATCGTTAATAAACAATTTTTAAAAAAGCAAAAAATTATATTTTTTTGATTTTTTTTACTTTTTTGCCTCTAGTTCTTTTTTAGGTAAATAGGTATAAGTATATGTATTGCTTCATAGAAAAAGGGTGATAAAATTTTCTTCAAAAAAGAGGTACAATATTTTTGGATGAAAATTGACTGATATATGTCTGCTCAAACTTAAATTAGCCAATTTTTCGATTTTCTTCGCGTTTACACTTATAAGTTATAATTATCATTATTATCAAAAAAGGAAGAATTTGTTTAAGGATTTTCATCACAGGAACTTGTTCGAAGGGTCATTAAAAATGAGAAAACCGCGGGGAGCTATTAAATTAGAGTTGAAATTGAAGATAGGGGTAAAAATGCACTTTTGCAGTTTTTTAAATTTAGCTCGAAACGAAGCAAAATTTCGTTATAGTTAGTTCATAGGAAAAATTTTGTGGAGAATTGAATTTCTCATCAAAATGGCTTATTTAAAATAATTAAAAAAAAATATGCAAAAAATCGTCAATAAACAATAATTTTAAAAAATTAAAACAATAAGATTTTTTTACTGTTTTGGCTCAATTTTTTTTTTTTTAGTAGAAGCAGGCAAAGAAAAGTGTTGTACAAAAAACTAGATGAGATTCCCTTCAAAATGATGCGTTTTCAGATTTTCCACGTTTTTAATGTAAATTAGTAAAAAATTAAAAAAAATAAAAAAAAACTAATTTTTTTAAATTTATTTGCTTTTTTAAAACTGTTCCCATTTTGATGAACTACACCGAAATTTTGTTTCGTTTTCGAGCTACAATTAAAAAACTGAAAGTCGATATACTTTCTTATTATTGGTTTTATGAAAAAAAGATTCTCTTGATAAAAAGTTCTGTGTGGCCTAAAACCCAAAATGAAATAATCAGATTTCAATTTTTTTGCTATCGTTACGGAGTTTGTCGAAAAATGAAAATTTTGCTCAAGAGTACCTTTATTTTTTACAATATCGACAATCGTTATTAAGAAAAGTTGATCCTAATAGAAAACTACGGTCAGTTATCTAATATTATTACCATTAAAAAAACAGATTTTGTTATTTTTTCAAACTTTCCTTTGTATTACCAATGATAATAATTTACGTCTAGAAATCCACATAAAATCTGGGATGCACTGACAAACTGATAAATGCTTTATGATTTGCAGAATTAAAATATAATTTATTTGTTTATTTCCTACTATGTTTATACTCAACAATTATTAAAGATTATGCATTTTGATATTTTAAATTTGCCTCCCCTTAGATTGCATGTTAACAATGAACAGTATAATGTACATTTTTCTGCCTAAATTATAAAGTAACAATAAAAATATTCCATTTCGAGCTTAAGATTAAAGTTGTTAACCCTTTGTTTGCATAATAATATTTTTGGAATATTTTTTTATTTAAATGTAGATATGACATTAATTATATCCTCCGTATACTTAACAGTAACACTAAAGTAAATAGAAAACAATTTTTACGCTAATCTATTCAATTTTTACTATTCTTTGCAGATGGATATGTAAATATAAAATTTTATTTTACCAACTTTTTACATCGAGGTCACACGATCAGTCGAGTATCACACAAAATAACACCTACCAGTGCTAGACCGATTCTATATAAAGTACAGTTTTACCATTCGTATGTTGAGTAACGAGTGCAAGTTATAGAATAGTAAATTCCTTAGCCCAGAGATAACGCTGAACACCCTGTATATACAGAGATTTTTATTACAACGTATCCAAACGTTTATATAAACCGCGAATCATGTTTTAAGAGGATTTCATTTCACATTTTATCGGCGAGATGAATTATTTAAAATTATGTGTATTCCTGATTCTTCCCTGTCAGATTTTGACAGAGCGAAGATGCTTCTCGAACCAGACAACCGAGGCTTTCATCGAAATGGTTCTGGGCAATATCACAGCAGGTAGTAGCTATGTTTTGCCAGTGGACAACTCGAAGCTAGTTTACGTTTCTCCCTCGCAGGAAAATGTTACCTATGGTGAGTTAGATTTTATTACAAAATAAATATAAAAAAATTACATAATTTATTTTATCCTCACATATGAACCATAAACCTATAATAATCCAAATTTAATTTATTTACTTATTAACATTAACATTTACATTTATAGTAATAGACATTTCGTTTTTTGTTTTGTCACATTTAACTTCCTTTCCGTTAATAACAACCCTTGTAGAATTGTCGCCATCATTTTCGAAACGCATAACATCTACCGAAGTTTGTGAGGAATATGCACAAGTTATGGATGTCTATTCTTGTAACAGCTACATTTTCCTTATTCCTTTATTCGCCAATAAAGTTGTCGAAGTGCGCCTCATACAATGGTCAGTATATGCTTCTAGATTTGCGATATTCAGGAATGAAGCAACTATTGAGGGTACCTTGATTCCAATAGACTGAAAAGTACATTTTTGATTGATGTATCTTAAAAAGAATATGTCTTGTGTTAGGCGAATTGAGCACAGAGAAATATATTTTCTGCATATTTCAACAGCATTCACGCAAAATCCTTCTTCTATAATTACAAATCTTCTTGAAATGCCCGTCTTGGTGTCAGGTATTGGAACAAACAAAAATGATTAAATGAGATTAAAGTACATTCTTCAAATTTGCAATTAAATTAATTATTTCTTATGAACTAGGTATATTCTATATATTCAAATGATTATAATATGTATGTCAGTAGACTATATAGTTTTATTTATACTAATAGGTAGATAGTTAAAAATCTACTATGTCGGAAAATAATTCCGAATTGTTATTAAAGGCTCTAAAAATATCAATCCTAAAAAGTAATGATTGATACAATATTATTTTATTTCATTAAACGACTATAGAAAAATTCTTGCATGTAATATAAGGAAAAAGTTTTTTAGTTTGGATCGATACTGTATCACCTTTCACATAAATAACTATTACTACTTTATCTGTACAGATTTCGGAACATTCGACTTCATCATTGTTGGGGCGGGATCGGCAGGCACTCTCTTGGCGAACAGACTGACAGAGATCAAGAAGTGGAAAGTACTCCTGTTAGAGGCTGGAGGTGCAGAAAATGACTTCAGTGACATTCCAGGAATGAGTTCAGAGCTTTATTCGACTGACATGAACTGGGGATATCTAAGCACGCCTCAAACGAGGTCGTGTAAAGGTAACTAACTAATTGAATTATTTTGACAATTGTTACCTGCATTTTTATCATATTAAAAGAAAAAAAACTAAGTAAATAATATAAAATCCATTAAAATTTTGTCATGATCGTTTTGTAACTTTTTTAGCAATGGATCAATATCAGTGCGTCTGTCCAAGAGGTAAAGTCCTAGGCGGAAGCAGCACTATCAACGGGAAAATGTACGTGAGGGGTAACAAAGCAGATTACGATGCATGGGAGAAGATGGGCAATCCTGGCTGGTCCTACAAAGACGTCTTGCCTTATTTTATAAAGACAGAAAATTCCCACATCGACGACGGAGACCCTGGGTACCACGGTAAAAGTGGTTTGCTAGATGTCAACTACACTGATCCAACTATATTTGCTTCAGTGTTCCTAAGAGGAAGTGAAGAATTAGGCTACAAAGAATTAGACTATAATGGCGAAAATCAAATAGGCGCGTCGAGAATTCAATTCACAATCAAGTGCAACAAAATAGCCAGTGGAGGAAGAGCCTTCATAGATCCATTTTTAGACAGAGCAAACCTCAACGTTACCATAAATGCATTTGTTACTAGATTAATAATAGATAAGGATACAAAAACAGCACTTGGTGTTGAATTCATAAAAGATGGGAGAAAGTATGAAGCCAGAGCCAAAAAGGAAGTTATACTTTCTGCTGGTGCTATAAATACTCCCCAAATATTAATGGTATCTGGAATAGGTCCCCAAGAAGAATTAACCAGAATCGGAGTTGAGACCTTGGTGGACCTACCTGTCGGATTATACATGGAGGATCATGCCATGTTCATTGGTTTAAACATTAGAACTAACATCACTCTATTTAACGAAACCATAGAAGTATTACTTGAAAGGTATTTGAATGGACAGAGACCATACACAGCATCAATCAATGGAGAAGCCATGAGTTTCATGAACGTAAACAATAATAAAAGCTCAGAGCCAGATATCCAGCAATTAGTAACCGTACCCCCAGGATTCACACCGATTGGAGCGAGAATATTAAATGCGAACGCTGAAGTAACGGAGCAACTTGAAGTTCTAGCAAAGCCTTATAATGATATAATCGTATGGATCATACTGCTACATCCAAAATCTAAAGGAAACGTTACATTAAAATCGAACAATCCTCTGGACTTTCCCAATATCGACTATAATTATTACGCAGTGGAGGAAGACAAGAACACTATGCTCAAAGCCATTAAAGAATCTCTAAAACTACTAGAAACTGATGCTTTCAAGTCGGTCAACGCTACGTATGCGTCACTATTTAATGTTTGCACAAATTATACCGAGGGTACTGACGATTACTGGCAATGTATGATAGAACAATTGACCACGACTGTTTATCATCTAGTTGGCACTACCAGAATGGGTAGATCAAGGAAAAACTCCGTGGTAAACTCGAAACTGTTTGTGCACGGCACGAAAAGGTTGAGGGTAGTGGATGCTGGGGTTATGCCCAAAATACCTTCTGGAAATACCAATGCTCCGACTTATATGATTGCAGAAAAAGCGGCAGACGAAATTAAAAGTTACTGGCTTCTGTAGTAACCCATATATTTTTAAAATGCATTTTCTAGTATATCATTATAACTATTATTTTTCTAATTTTGTTATAAAGAAAAAATATTAAGATATTAAAAACTGCACATAGGTACGCTTTAAAAGAATTTATTAATGTCATTCTTATTTTTACTATATTAGATGATAGTATCAAAACATTATACAAAAATATAATTGTTTGACAGGTGTTGTATTGTTACTTTATCAGGCCTTGAGATGCGGACAAAAATTAGTATTAGTCAAATTCACCGTTTTATATTATTGTAGTCTTATTGACTTAAATATGAATTAAACTTCTAAACTTGATTATGTAATTTATATAACTTAAAGAAATACAGTAATAATGCTGAATATATTATTATGTTTTCAAAAAACGTCAATCAATTCTAAATCTGACTCTCGCCTTCTATATAACTGTTCGCAACACACATATCGTCACTTAGTAACTGGACTCGGTCCGCATTATATTATATTACTTAGACATAAGACATAATCTCCTGAAGAAGGAATCTATTCCGAAAGCTCGAGCAATAAAAAAGGGTTTACATTTTTATGTTGGCTTTGAATGCATACCCGACTATATGTTTAGATTTTATATAATATACAATATATCTCACACGAATGACACTAATTTCGCACGAAGTAAGAGCTGTCATGTATTGTTTGACATAATTTTTAATTTGTCTATTTTCATAGGACATAGCCTGCCTCGTTATGGAAACAATAATCTTTACTCAATTATTTGGAATTAATAAAAAAATTAAACATTGCAATTTTAAAAAAATTTTTTGTTATTTTATATTTTAATTAATATCAAATATATAATAACATTGACAGAAATGAACATCAGGGTTGGCCTAAGGTTCTGATAGTGGATCTGCCCCCACAGGACTTAGCCTGAGAACAACAATCAGAACTGTATGTAACAGATAAGGGTACATCAAACGAATCTAATCGCTATTATTTTGCTGTAAAACGACCTTGACAGTAGTTTGTGTTCGTTACTTCTTGAGATTTCAATTGCTGCAGTAGCATATTCGTGATACAAAGATAAATATGATTTTATAATGCAAGAAAATGCTATAAAATTTTTCTACTTTCCATGAGTAGTAATTTTATTTTATTTTAACAAGTCCATTTTTATTTATGTGAAGTATTAATAAAAGTTTTCGTAACTGGATTTTCTATACATTATGCCGTATATAATCTACTTTATTGTTCTTTATTTTGCATATAATTTTAAATTTAAACACACAACACATATAGTCACAACTGTACATGTTTCTTTCTAAACTATAAAGTAATTACACAATAAAAATATTCCATTTTTGAGCTTAAGATATCAATTATGTTGTTAACACCCTTGTTCGCATAAAAATATCTTGGATTTTTTTTAGTTATATGTAATGTAATCTGTCTCCTTATACTTAACTTACTTCTATTTTTACTATTATTTGCAGATGGATATACAAATATAAAACTTTATTTTACCAACTATAATTAACAATAATTTTTTACATCGGGTTCACGCAAATAACGTGATTAGTTGAGTGTCACCCAAAATAGCACCTACCAGTGACTAGGTAGGTTCTATAAAACGTACGGTTTTACAATACCCATGCTGTATAACGAGAGCAAAATTATAAATTGCTTAACCAAGCTGGACACATATACAGAGATTACAACGTATCCAAACGTTTATATAAATCGGGAATCATGTTTTAACAGTACTTCAAATTCAATCGTCGAGATGAACTATTTAAAATTATGTGTGTTGCTTATTCTTCCCTGTCAGATCTTCGCAGAGCAAAACTGCTTCGCGAACCAGACAACCGAGGCTTTTATCGAAATGGTTCTGGGCAATATCACAGCAGGTAGTAGCTATGTTTTGCCCGTGGACAACTCGAAGCTAGTTTACATTTCTCCCTGGCAGGAAAATATTACATATGGTGAGTTGGATTTCATTACAAAATCAATATTCTTTTGCTACTAACAAATGTAGTTTGACAGTGCTTATACTATTTTAGAATTACTGGATCATTCGACTTTAATAGTTAAAAAAATTACATCATAATTTATTTTTTAAAATCTTAGCTCTCATGAAACAACAATACAACAACAAAAATAAGTGTATAATTATTATTAAATGAGATTAAACTACATTCTTCAAATTTACGATACATTCTAATGATTATATCTCAGTAGGCTATATATATTTATTTATACTAAATGGTGTAAAAATAGAAATCCTGAAAAGTATATTACTTGCTTTAGTTTACCGTTCTGCTACAATAAAGTTAATGATTGATAAAATGTTTGCTTTGTTTCATTAAACGATTGTAGAAAAATGTCTGTATGTGTTGCAAGGAAAAAGTTTGTCAGTCTGGTTCACTGACGTATCACTTTTCACTTTTAACACATAAATAACTAGTGCTGCTTCGTCTGTACAGATTTCGGGACGTTCGACTTCATCATTGTTGGAGCAGGATCGGCAGGCACTCTCTTGGCGAACAGACTGACAGAGATCAAGAAGTGGAAAGTACTCCTGTTAGAGGCTGGAGGTCCAGAAAATGACTTCAGTGACATTCCAGGAATGAGTTCAGAGCTTTATGTGTCAGATATGAATTGGGGATATTTTAGCATACCACAAAAACGAGCGTGTAAAGGTGAGTCATCGAACAAACCTAAATTTCGATAATGAGCATATTTTTTTATAACGCTCTTTTCTTAATACGATTTCTGTGGGGGAGTTCCTTTATCTGTTTTTTCCCTTCGAATTACCTGATTTGTCTTAATATAAAACGTTGGTGGTAAAAAAACAAATGGTGGTGAAAGTAATCTGAGGAAAACAAGTTATCTAGCTGACTCTTTTCCATCAATCAATTTTTTTTTCAGGAATGGATCAAAGTATATGTGTCTGCCCCAGAGGTAAAGTTGTAGGAGGTAGTAGCACCATCAACGGAAAACAGTACGTCAGAGGTAACAAAGCCGACTACGACACATGGGAAGAAATGGGCAATCCTGGCTGGTCCTACAAGGAAGTTTTACCTTATTTCATAAAAACGGAAAATTCCCACATCGACGACGGAGACCCAAGGTACCACGGTAAAGGTGGTTTGTTAGATGTCAGTTACGCTGAACCGACCATATTTACTTCGGTATTCATAAGTGGAAAGGAAGAATTAGGCTATGAAGTAGTTGACTATAATGGCAAAAGTCAAATTGGTGTCTCACGAGTTCAGTTTACGATCAAGGGAAATAAGGCAGCCAGTGGTGGAAGAGCCTTCATAGATCCATTCTTAGACAGAAGAAATCTTAACGTTACCGTAAACGCATTTGTTACTAAATTATTAATAGACAAGGATACAAAAACAGCACTTGGTGTCGAGTTCATAAAAGATGGGAGAAAGTACGAAGTCACAGCTAAAAACGAAGTTGTACTCTCTGCCGGTGCTATAAACACCCCACAAATATTAATGATATCTGGAATAGGCCCTAAAGAAGAATTAAATAAAATTGGAGTGGAGTCATTAGTTGAGTTACCAGTTGGAAGAGCCATGGAAGATCATGCGGTTTTCTTTGGTTTAAACATCAGAAGCAACCAGACGTTGTTTAACGAGTCTATAGAAATATTTTTACAAAATTACTTAAACAACCACAGGCCTTATACGGCGCCGTTTAATGTAGATTCTTTCGGTTTCATAAACGTAAACGACAACGAGAGTTCAGTACCAAATATTCAGCAAACAGTAGGCACACCTCCAGAAGGCACACCAAATGAATGGAGAACAACGAATTTGAATATGGAATTAATAGAACAGCTTGAGGAACTATCAAATCCTTACAACGATTTTATTATATGGTTGGTGTTGCTGCACCCAAAATCTAAAGGAAGCCTCACATTGAAATCCAACAATCCTCTTGACTTTCCCATTATTGATTACAATTACTATGAAGATGATGAAGATGTTGAAACCATGCTCAAAGCCATTAAAGAATCATTAAAACTACTGGAAACTGCCGCTTTCAAGGCCGTGAATGCCACATACGTTTCAACGTATAATATTTGCACTAATTATACTGAAGGGACAGACGACTACTGGCGTTGTATGATCGAATACCTGACCACTACTCTCTATCATCCTGTTGGAACTACGAGAATGGGTAAATCAAGCAATGATTCCGTGGTAAGCCCGAAACTGTTTGTGCACGGTATGAACAGATTGAGAGTAGTGGATGCTGGGGTTATGCCCAAAATACCATCCGGAAATACTAATGCACCAACCTACATGATTGCCGAAAAAGCTGCAGATGAAATAAAAAGTTACTGGATTGGAAACGAATTTAAACCCTAACTTTTTTCCGTTCTTTTGCCTGTTTGTTAATAATTCTGCAAAAGCATCAGGCAATTGTTACATATTTTTATTAAACTATTCTTATTTTAACTATATTAGATGAATGTATCAAAGCATTATACAAAAATATAATTGCTTGACAGCTGTTGTATCGTTACTTCATCAATCCTTGAAGATGCGGACAAAAATTATTCACGTTCACCGATTTATATTAACGATATGTAGACATAAGACATAATCTCCTTGGGTAGGAATAATTCCGAAAGCTCGAGCAATAAAAAAGATTTTAGATGTTTATGTTAGCTTTGACTGCATACCCGACCAAACTTTAAAAATTTTATTATATATGACATTAATATTTCGAACTACTTAGTAGTAATACCTAGGTGTATTTTCTCTTATCTCTGTTTTTTAAGTACTACCTTAAAACGTTAAAGTATTCAGCAATGACATCTATAAAAAAAATGTTTCTATGCTGATCTGTTGACCTTTATTTTTACTATTATTTGCAGATGGATATGCTCATATAAGACTTTATTTTACCGACTATAATTAACAGCAACTTTCTACAACGGGGTCACGCAAATATTGTGAAGCACTTGAAATAATCAGAGTATTACCCTAAACAGCAACTGTCAATGACTAATCAGGTTCTATATAAAGTCCGGTTTTACCATACGTATGCTGTGTAACGAGCGCAAAATTATAAATTCCTTAACCGTAAGATAACGCTGGACACTCTGTATATACAGAAATTTTTATTACAACGTATCCAAACGTTTAAATAAACCGCGAATCACGTTTTAACTGTATTTCAAATTCTGTCGTCGAGATGAACTATTTAAAATTATGTGTGTTGCTCATTCTTCCCTGTCAGATCTTGACACAGCAAAGCTGTTTTGCGAACCAGACAACCGAGGGCTTTATCGAAATGGTCCTGGACAACATCACGACAGGTAGTAGCTATGTTTTACCGGTAGACAACTCGAAGCTAGTTTTCGTTTCTCCCTCGCAGAGAAATGTTACATTTGGTGAGTTATATTTTATTACAAAAAAAATATTCTTTTGCTACTGACAAATGTAGTTGATTTATACTGTTTTAAAATTACTGGGTCATTTGACTTTAATATTAAAAAAATATATGTAAAAAATCATAGTCTTCATGAAACATAAATTGTTTATTTTAAACACGCTTTATTACAGACATATAAAAATAAGTGTATACTGTTTCATGTCACCTGTAACGGCTACAACTGAATCAGGTGTTCTTCAGGAATCTAATCTTAGACACCTTATTACCTTTGGCATTTATTAATGACCATAAAAAGTTATCAATACTATTTTAAATGTAACATTTTGTTGTTGTTCTCAAATATTGTCCTGCAAATTGATTTTTTTCATTTGGCCAAATGTTCAGTTGCTCGTCAAATACTTAACTAAATTAATTATTTCTCACGATTTAAACCAACTAACCTATATTCTATACATTCAAATGATTATATCTCAGTAGGCACTGACCAGGTTTTTTCCATGTCAGAATACAATTCCTACATGCCCAAAAGATCAAGAATTGTTATTAAAGCCTGAAAAAATATAAATACTAAAAAGTAAATTACCTGCTTCAGTTTACCGTTCTGCTACAATAAAGCTAATGATTGATAAAATATTGCTTTGTTTTACTAAACGATTGTAGAAAAATGTATGTGTTACAAGGAAAAAGTTTATCAGTCTGGTTCACTGACGTATCACTTTTCACTCTTAACACAAAAATAACTAGTGCTGCTTCGTCTGTACAGATTTCGGGACGTTCGACTTTATCATTGCTGGGGCAGGATCGGCAGGCACTCTCTTGGCCAACAGACTGACAGAGATCAAGAAGTGGAAAGTACTCCTGTTAGAGGCTGGAGGTCCAGAAAATGACTTCAGTGACATTCCAGGAATGACCACAGAACTTTATTCGACTGACATGAATTGGGGCTACTTAAGTACGCCGCAAACAAGGGCCTGTAGAGGTAACTAACTAACTAAATCATTTCAGTTATTGTCTACAACTATTTGCCAAATCTATCTCTATCTCTATCTCTATCTCTATCACTATCTCTATCTCTATCTCCATCTCTGTCCGCATTTCTCCCCATCTCTATCTCTACTTCTACCTCTTTATTCATCAAAAAAGCATGTATTTATTTTGTTAAACGGTGACAATTGTTAACTGCGTTTTTATCATATTAAAAGGAAACTATGTAAATAATCTATGACGCCAAAAGGGTCAGTCAAGAGTATGATTTTATAGAGTTAGTTTTGCCAAACCATAATTCATTTTGATAAGAAACCTTCGACACGTTAACTTGCTGTTTGTTTCGAATTTTCTTTTCTCAGTGCAAGATATTTCTTGTTGGGCAAAATTGATCTATGAACTCAATTCTTGACCCATTCTTTTGTATATTTATTTAAATTTAGATAAGATAAACCACAATTAATTAAACTATGCTGACTGTCCCATAAGAAAACATCCATTAAGGTTTATTTTCTGACGGTTTTATAACTTTTTTAGCAATGGACCAATATCAGTGCGTCTGTCCAAGAGGTAAAGTTCTGGGAGGAAGCAGCACTATCAACGGAAAACTGTACACGAGGGGTAACGAAGCCGACTACGATGAATGGGAGGAGATGGGCAATCCTGGTTGGTGCTACAAAGACGTCTTGCCTTATTTTATAAAGACAGAAAATTCCCACATCGACGACGGAGACCCAGGGTACCACGGTAAAGGTGGTTTGTTAGATGTCAACTACACCGAGCCAACTGTATTTACTTCAGTGTTCTTAAGAGGAATGGAAGAATTAGGCTACAAAATAATAGACTATAATGGAGAAAATCAAATAGGCGTTTCGAAAATGCAATTTACAATCAAGTGTAACAAAATAGCCAGTGGTGGAAGAGCCTTCATAGATCCATTTGTAGACAGAACAAACCTTAACGTTACCATAAATGCATTTGTTACTAGATTGATAATAGATAAGGATACAAAAACAGCACTTGGTGTTGAATTCATAAAAGATGGGAGAAAGTATGAAGCCAGAGCTAATAAGGAAGTTATACTTTCTGCTGGTGCTATAAATACTCCCCAAATATTAATGATATCTGGAATAGGTCCCCAAGAAGAATTAACCAGGATCGGAGTCGAGACCTTAGTGGACCTACCTGTCGGATTATACATGGAGGATCATCCCGCGTTCATTGGTTTAAACATTAGAACTAATATAACTCTATTTAACGAAACCATAGAAGTATTACTTGAAAGGTATTTGAATGGCCAGAGACCATACACAGCAGCAATCAATGGAGAAGCCGTAAGTTTCATTAACGTAAACAATAATAAAAGCTCAGTGCCAGATATCCAGCAAATAGTAACCATACCCCCAGGATTCACTCCGAATGGAGCGAGAATATTAAACGCGAACGCAAAAGTAATGGAGCAACTTGAAGTTCTAGCAAAACCTTATAATGATATAATCGTGTGGATCATACTGCTAAATCCAAAATCTAAAGGAAGCGTTAGGCTAAAATTGAACAATCCTCTGGACTTTCCCAATATCGACTATAATTATTACGCAGTGGAGGAAGATAAGAACACTATGCTCAAAGCCATAAAAGAATCCCTAAAACTACTAGAAACTCACGCTTTCAAGTCGATCAACGCTACGTATGCGTCAATATTTAAAGTTTGCACAAATTATACCGAGGGTACTGACGTATATTGGCAATGTATGGTAGAGCAAGTGACCACGACTCTGTATCATCCGGTTGGCACTACCAGAATGGGTAGATCAAGGAAAAATTCCGTGGTAAACTCAAAACTGTTCGTGCATGGTACGAAAAGGTTGAGGGTAGTGGATGCTGGGGTTATGCCCAAAATACCTTCTGGAAATACCAACGCCCCAACTTTTATGATAGCGGAGAAAGCTGCGGATGAAATTAAACGCTGCTGGATTCGATTTTATAGTGAGCCATACCTTTAAATTAATGTCATTCTTATTTTTATTATATTTATCAAAAACAAAAATACAAATGTTTAACAGCTGTTTTGACGTTACTTCATCAGCCCTTGAAGAAGCCGACAACAATTAGGATACAGCCATATTTCACCATTTTATATTATACAGGGTGGTTCGTTTTCATGGCTCACCATTGGCATCTTGGAAACAGTAAGATATACAAGGTGGCTCAAATTAGAAAAAACTTGCGCCTTTCCTACCACCAAACCAAACCAAAATCAATACTCAATAAAACAAAATACACAAATATTCCACGAATCCTACATAAATACTTCATAGTGTCGTCCATTCTCGTACAGACAAAGCTCAATCATCAATCTAATATGTTTATAACGTTTTGAACTGACTTTGTGGTGAAATATTTCTATATTTTCACATGGACTGTAATAAATTTTATCTTTTAGACAACCCCATAGAAAAAAATCTAAAGGGTTGAGGTATGGAGACCGTGGAGGCCAAGCTACAGGTCCATGAGTACCACTGCAGAATTATGAGGCCCTGCGCCACAATAGGACTTAGGTATGAAACATTTTTTGCTTGAAATTAGTTGCTCTATTAATTTCCGATTATTTTGACAAAGAGTAAAAATATAGTTATATATATAGTTTCTTGAGCTATTCCCCACCTACTGTCTTAATTACAAGCAAATCGATGTACAATAGCGGAAATCAGAGCTAAATCTCAATCTTCATCTCAAAAACTATAAAAAAAATATTTTGTATCATTTGAAAAAAAAAAAAAAATTTCAAACGAGAGAGCAAAAAATGTAAATTTTTTCCAAAATTATAATTTTGGGGCTCAATTTTGAGGGTGTAAATGGGGTGCTGGTGAAATGTGATCAGTTTTCCCTTAATCTGTTCCACATAAGCTTTAAAACGCTATTTGTCTTTTTTTTATCTTTATTCTACAAGGCGCTACTTAATATATCCATATCTAAGTCCAAAATGAATTATAGTGCGCCATCTTTCTAATGTAATGTAAGGAAAGATTATCCAATGCATCCTCTATTTCTATCCTTAAAATATCTAAATACTTCTGAGAAGTAAGGTTACCCTCAATAAGAAACGGTCCTATTGTACGGTCATTTAATATTCCACACCAAATCTTAGGGGAAAATCTAAGTGAGTAGCTAGTCTCTTAAACCAAATTTGGATTTTCTATGGCATAATAATGCTTATATTTTCTATTAAAACTCAGTTATTTGTAAACGTAGTTTTGGAATTGATATTGTCATTATTTTTAAAGTATCGGGTTGGTGACAAATCATTTTCAGCCGTAAATCAACGTTTTTTTTTTCCTTGGGGTTCTTGACAATACCAATCACGTGATAAATCCTAGCAACTTTTAAAGTGGGTATGAGCAAAGGCAATTTTATATGCGTACCAAGAATGTGAGTGTATGACCAGCTAATTCTAATTTTACTAATGCAGTACGATTAGAAAAAGTTGATAGATAATAAAGCCATTACCTAATCATGTAATTTCAGTAAGTATAAGTGATTAACCAGAAAATAATTGAAGTGCAAGTATAAAAACTGCACTTACTGAACTCCAAATTGAAAAATAATACTTAGCATGCAGTAGGTACATGCAGAAATTTAAGTAAACCACGAATAATATTTAAAGTCTTCAGTATGAATCGTTTAAAATTATCTGCGTTGCTGATTCTTCTCTGTCACCTCTTTGAGCTGTACTGCTCAGCAAATGACACCGCTGAGGCCTTCATCGAGATGGTTCTGGGCAAAATCAAGGCAGATGAAAGCTATGTCTTACCAATCGACAATTCGAAACTAGCTTATGTTTCTCCCTTGCAGGAAAGTGCAACATACGGTGAGTGTTACCTCCAATAAATATTATTTTCCTACTGACAGACCTGATAGGGTTCATAGTAGCATAAATTGCAACTTCGTTGACCAACGAGTTCAACGATGTGTCATCAAAGAACTATAAAATTGTTTCCTCCTGAATCGTGTTTAAATTTCTCCTTTCTACAGACTTTGGAACCTTCGACTTTGTCATAGTTGGAGCAGGATCAGCGGGTACTCTTTTGGCCAACAGACTGACAGAAATCGAGAAGTGGAAAGTGCTCTTGCTGGAGGCTGGAGGTCCAGAGAATGAGTTCAGTGACATTCCAGGAATGACAGTGGAAATTTATTCGACCGACATGAATTGGGGATACTTAAGCACGCCACAGAAGCGAGCATGTAGAGGTAACTAGTTAGATAATTTCGAATAGAAATGTCGGCGCATATTAAAATTATTAAGAGAGATAATTTTTTTAGCAATGGACCAGTTTCAGTGCACCTGTCCTAGAGGTAAAGTCCTAGGAGGAAGCAGTACTATCAACGGAAAAATGTACGTGAGGGGTAACAAAGCCGACTACAATGCATGGGAGAAGATGGGCAATCCTGGTTGGTCCTACAAAGACGTCTTGCCTTATTTTATAAAGACAGAAAATTCCCATATCGACGACGGAGACCCAGGATGCCACGGAAAAAGTGGTTTGTTAGATGTCAACTACACTGATCAGACCATATTTACCTCAGTGTTCTTAAGAGGAAAGGAAGAATTAGGTTGCAGAGCAATTGACTATAATGGCAAAAGTCAAATTGGTGTCTCACGAATTCAGTTTACGATCAAGGGGAATAAGGCAGTCAGTGGTGGAACAGCTTTCATAGACCCATTCTTGAAGAGAAGAAATCTTAACGTTACCATAAATGCATTTGTTACTAGATTGATAATAGATAAGGATACAAAAACAGCACTTGGTGTCGAATTCATAAAAGATGGGAGAAAGTATGAAGCCAGAGCTAAAAAGGAAGTTATACTTTCTGCTGGTGCTATAAACACCCCGCAAATATTAATGATATCTGGAATAGGTCCCCAAGAAGAACTTACCAAAATCGGAGTCGAGACCTTAGTGGACCTACCTGTCGGATTATCCATGGAGGATCATGCCACATTCGTCGGCTTAAACATTAGAACTAACATAACTCTATTTAACGAAACCATGGAAGTATTGCTCAAGAGATACTTGAATAACCAGAGACCTTACACAGCCTCATTCAATGCAGATGCTATAAGCTTCATCAACGTAAACGACAACAAAAGCTCAGTACCAGATATCCAACAAATATTAGCCACCCCCCCAGGAGTCACTCCAAACGGATGGCGAATGTTTAATGGGAATAAACAAGTAACAGAACAATCTGCAGGATTGCCAAAGCCTTACAATGATATACAAATATGGACAGTGTTGCTACATCCAAAATCTAAAGGGAGCGTCAAGTTAAAATCGGGCAGTCCTCTAGACTTCCCCATCATCGACTATAATTATTACTCAGTAGAGGAAGATAAGAAAACTATGCTCAAAGCCATAAAAGAATCGTTAAAACTACTAGAAACAGATGCCTTCAAGTCTATCAACGCTACGTATGTATCAATGTACAAAGTTTGCACAGATTATACCGAGGGTACTGACGAATACTGGGAATGTATGGTAGAACAACTGACCACGACTCTGTATCATCCTGCTGGAACGACGAGAATGGGTAAATCAAGCAGGGATTCCGTGGTAAACTCAAAACTGTTTGTGCACAGCACGAAACGATTGAGAGTGGTGGATGCTGGGGTTATTCCCAAAATACTTTCAGGAAATATCAACGCTCCGATTTATATGATTGCGGAAAAAGCTGCAGATGAAATTAAAAATTACTGGATTGTATAATATAATATAATAATATATCTTTATAAAATAGTTAATTATTATAATTATTATTACAATGAGATAAAGAAAAAATAAAGCTGTTGTGTCATTGTTGTGTCGTATCGCCTTACCAACCCATAATTTATTAGGAGTTCAAGGTGAACAATAGAGGATATAATGGAACTACACTCTGATACCAGATGGACCACTGACAGATGTCTATAATACAAACAATCTTGGCACAGATATCAAATGCAATATATTCCATTTTCTTCAATAACACAGCACCACGAAAAAATGTGGATTGGACTTTGGATCAGACCCAAGTATCCAATAGTATTTTGACCTGCTGAATCAAGAAACTCCCTTAGAAAGAAGTTTTAAACCGCTTTCTAGAGAAGTGTATTCTATGTGTCTCTCTGAATATCGATGAATTACAAAACGAATTATAATAAATGTATATGCTTACTTACAAGAAGAGACATCCGTAACTTGTGCAAATTCTTCACAAACTTCGGCAGATGTTATGCGTTCCGAAAATGATGGCAACAATGCTGCAAGGGTTGTTATTAACGGAAAATATGTGATAAAACAAAAAACGAAATGTCTGTTACTATAAATGTAAATGTTAATATTAATAAGTAAATAAATTAAATTTGATTTATTATAGGTTTATTATTTTTTCATTATTCTACTAGTGAAATAAAGTTACTTTATTCCACTAGTTGATAAAGTATCACTTTAGACGTTTCATATGTGTGGATAAAATATTTTTCTACGTATACGCTCAAAGCAACTTTTTCCGTTACTTCAATAAGTATTACCCCAAAAGGTTTGTACGTCTTCACTGGTATTACCAGGTCTTTATGTTGTTACACTATTTTCTTTTAACAATCTGCATCAAAACAGCAACGTGCGTAAATTAACAATCTTAAATAACAATTTTAAATAAATGATTAGATATACAAGCTGATTCACGCAAATGGGCAATAAAATTTATAGCTGTGACGATAATTTTTTACCAGACGCAATTCTACACGTATTATTGTTATTATTCTATAGGTTTTTAACAATATAAAACGCTATTTGTGAAATAGAACAATTCGTGTTTTGCTAAAATGTATTACTTACAAGCTTGTGTGTTGCTGATACTTCCTTGTAACCTTTTGGCCGATTCCTCCAGTTCTTCAAATGAAACAGTTCAGGCTTTTATTGATATGGTTCTGAATAACATTACGGCAGGTAGCAATTACGTTTTACCTCTCAACAACTCAAAGCTGGCTTACGTTTCTCCCTCGCAAGAGGATATAATAGACGGTGAGTATTCATTTTTATTGCATAATAAATGACTTTTAGTTGTCGAAAATAGAAGATATGAATAAAAAAGCAAAATTTAAAATAAATATGCATGAATTTTTAATAGACAACAAATAAAAACATGCTATTATACTATTAGATGGATTTTTTTGTTATTTTAAGTAGCTGCTACTAAACATTGACGCCAGGAGACGAGTAACCCCCCTAGAAATTTTGCAGAATCCTCACTTTGTCGTAAGGACTATCCTTTAATGTTTAGACATGGGGCCAACGGTTTTACATTCTTTCCGAGAGATGGCATGTCTTCCTATACAAACCTCGCATATATACAGCTGACTAGAAGGCGGACAAGCATCGCGAGCATCTCCCATCCGAGTACTAACCTCGATCAGCGTTGCTTGATACATATCAATGACATGAAGTCGCTAGGCCACACTCTCCTAAAGCCAAAATAAGGTTAAACTGTTAAAAATTAGTTACTGTTAAAATATGACCTCATTTGTAACATTTCATTAATAAACATTTTCCTCGTACAGATTTTGGGACCTTCGACTTTATCATAGTCGGCGCTGGTTCAGCGGGCAGCCTGTTGGCCAATAGATTGACCGAGGTCGAAGAATGGAACGTTCTTTTGCTAGAGGCTGGAGGTCTACAAAATGACTTCAGTGACATTCCAGGAATGACTGCAGAACTTTATTCAACTGACATGAATTGGGGATATTTCAGTACACCACAAACACGGGCATGCAAAGGTAAATTATCGAAGAAAACTAAATTCGGACAATGAGCATAAACTTTTCCTCCACTTTTACCTTCGAACGATCTGTGTGAAGGATTTGTTTATCTCTTTTTTCCTTTCTTAATGCCTGATTTGACTTAATATCAACTCTAAGATAGAAACCTAGGATCTGTATTTTTTCAGGGATGAATCAAAGCATGTGCGTCTGTCCCAGAGGTAAAGTTGTAGGAGGTAGTAGCACCATCAACGGGAAAATGTACGTCAGAGGTAACAAAGCCGATTACGATGCATGGCAAGAAATGGGCAATACTGGTTGGTCCTACAACGATGTTTTACCTTACTTTATAAAAACAGAAAATTCCCACATCTATAATAAGGAATCGGACTACCATGGCAGTGAAGGTATGTTAGATGTCAACTACGTAGATCCAACTATATTTACTTCGGTGTTCTTAAGCGGAAAGGAAGAATTGGGCGACGAAGTTATTGACTACAATGGCAAAAGTCAAATAGGAGTCTCACGAGTTCAGTTCACCATAAACGGCAATAAGGCAGTCGGCAGTGGACGAGCTTTCATAGACCCGTTTTTAAACAGAACAAACCTTAACGTTACCGTAAACGCTTTTGTTACTAGATTATTAATAGACAACGATACAAAAACAGTACTTGGTGTCGAGTTCATAAAAGATGGGAGTAAGTACGAAGCCACAGCTAGAAATGAAGTTATACTTTCTGCTGGTGCTATAAACACCCCGCAAATATTAATGTTATCTGGAATAGGCCCCAATGAAGAACTAGATAAAATTGGAGTGGAGACTTTGGTTGACTTACCAGTTGGAAGGGCCTTGCAAGAGCATCCAGCTTTCATTGGTATAAACATCAGAACCAACCAAACTCTGTTTAATGAATCGATAGAAACATTTTTACAAAATTACTTAAACAACCAGAGACCTTATACAGCTCCTTATAATGAAGACGTCTTAGCGTTCATGAACGTAAACGATAACGAGAGCTCAGTACCAAACATACAGCAAATTCTAGTTTCACCCCCAGGATCCACTCCAAATGGATGGAGAACACTGAATTTTAATAAGCAAATCTTAGATCAATTTGCAGAGTTATCAAGTCCTTACACCGACATTAATATATGGTTGGTGCTGTTGAACCCAAAATCCGAAGGAAGCCTCACATTAAAATCCAACAGTTTCCTTGATTTCCCCAAGATTGATTACAACTTCTACGCTGAGGAAGAAGACGTAGAAACCATGCTCGCAGCTATAACAGAGACTCTAAAACTACTAGAAACTGACACTTTTAAATCAGTCGACGGTAAATACGCACCTACTACTACAGTTTGCGCAAATTATACTGAGGGTGCTGACGAGTACTGGCGATGTATGATCGAACAACTAACGACGTCTGTCTATCATCTTGTTGGAACTACGAGAATGGGTACATCGAGCAATGATTCCGTGGTAAGCCCTACACTGTTTGTGCATGGCATGAATAGTTTGAGGGTAGTAGATGCCGGGGTTATGCCTAAAATACCTTCTGGAAATATCAATGCTCCTACTTATATGATTGCGGAAAAAGCTGCAGATGAAATTAAAAATTACTGGATTCAATAATAACATATTACGTTTTTGAATTATATTATTTTTATGATTTTACTGTAAAGACAAAACAAAGTTTAGATTATTTGGACTACCAACGGATGTTTTTAGCACAATTCTTTCTAATATATTTTATTGCTTTTATGTTTGTGAGATATCTTCCTCTACTCGCACTTATTTTAGAAGGTACCTGGAAAAAATTACTATGATTATCTCGTATTTTGTACAAAAAAGCTGTCAGAAATATAATCATGTATAAAAAGTATTTTATCTGCTCCCACTATAGTAAATATACTATTAATACATTGTTTTTAAGGAGGTAAGTGGATTTCACCGTAGAAGTGGAAATTGATTAAGAAACGTCAAAAAATAAAACCTAATCTATATTTCATGAACCATAAAGAACTGTGGGACCTTGCAGCAGTTAAGTATAATTTACCAGTCTCGGACTCTATTGCCAGCCCTCCCTCCGCTCGGGCGCAAATAGGTACCCTCCTTTATGGTGTAAATGATTATTGATACAAAAATATAGATCTGTGGCTTTTACTTTCTGTTATCTAATACACTTTAGATCTACCACCAACGAACGCAAGCGTGTTAAATGTCGTTGTTATTCATCCTGGTTGTGAATAATTATGAAACGAATAGAAGTATCGGAAGATACCAATACGCTGTTAAATTTTTTTATTTATTGGCAATTGACAGCTGTAAAACATTCGTAACTGTAAAGACATAAGATTTGTATATCATTTGTGACACCATCGCTTGCAGTTTGCTGCAATATTTTCTCTGACAATCTGCATCAAAACTGGACACGTGCGTTACTCTTAAATTACTGTTAAAAAAATGATTAGATATTCAGGCTGAATAGCGCAAATGTACCATTAAAATTTTACAGCTGCGATAATTTTCTCCAAAACTCAATCCTGCACGTTCAATTTCAATAGGTAGTTGACGAAATATTACACAGAACGATTTGTGTTTTACTAAAATGTATTACTTACAAGTATGTGTGTTGCTGATTCTTCCTTGTAACCTTTTGGCCGATTCCTCCAGATCTTCAAATGAAACCGTTCAAGCTTTTATTGATATGGTCCTGAGTAACATTACGGCAGGTAGCAATTACGTTTTACCCATCAACAATTCAAAGCTGACTTACGTTTCTCCCTTGCAAGAAGATATAATAGTCGGTGAGTATTAATTTTTATTGCCTATGAACCTTTTGTCTTCGAAAAGGTTGAAATTGTTAAAAATGTGTTGCTGTTAAAATTCGAAATCATCTGTAAAACATTTTCCTCGTACAGATTTTGGGAACTTCGACTTTATCATAGTCGGTGCTGGTTCAGCGGGTAGCCTTTTGGCCAATAGATTGACCGAGGTCGAAGAATGGAACGTTCTTTTGCTAGAGGCTGGAGGTCTAGAAAACGACTTCAGTGACATTGTAATCCAACAATCCTCTTGACTTTCCCATTATTGATTACAATTACTATGAAGACGATGAAGATGCTGAAACCATGCTCAAAGCCGTTAAAGAATCACTAAAACTTCTGAAAACTGATGCTTTCAAGTCCGTCAATGCCACATACGCTTCAACGTATAAGATTTGCACCAATTATACTGAAGGGACAGACGACTACTGGCGTTGTATGATCGAATACCTGACCACTACTCTCTATCATCCTGTTGGAACTACGAGAATGGGTAAATCAAGCAATGATTCCGTGGTAAGCTCGAAACTGTTTGTGCACGGTATGAACAGATTGAGAGTAGTGGATGCTGGGGTTATGCCCAAAATACCATCCGGAAATACCAATGCACCAACCTACATGATTGCAGAAAAAGCTGCAGATGAAATAAAAAGGTATTGGAAACGAAGACTAACACTTTTCACACATGTTTCCGATAAAACGATTTAAATTTTTATTACATAAGTGTTTTTAATAATTAATATATTAATAACTCTTGTAAATATTTATGAGTTTTTTACTTTATACAGGTTGTTACAAATTCGCTTCTCACTACAGGGATCTCAGAAACGGTAAGAGATACGAAGTAGCTTAAATGGAGGCAAAGTTGCATAATCAGGGGACCTACATTATGTCTCCAAAAAATCAAGGCTAACATTATTAGTTTTAGAAATATTTGAAAAAAAAGGAAATTGTTCATTTCAGCCTTGTTTGAGGTGATATTGAAAACAGAAGAATACTTTCTCGTTGCAACTTTTTGCTCTCTATCGAATGGCATAATCAATTGTTATATGTAACGTTTCGGGATCATCATCAACTTCATTTTTTTTAAATACGAACCTGGAACATTTTTTGCAAGCCTTTTTGACCCTCAATACTGTACTGTATCAGCCCGAAAAAGATTCAGACGTTTTGTCTCGAAAAATTCATCTTGGTTCCAGTTGAGGGTTATTTTTATTAAACTATTTTCGCCTAAACCAAAATCGCGCGCAGAAAATTGCAGACGAGTGAAAAATATGCGCACTTTGATTGAAGGCTGATGCAAGAAGGGAAAAATCTATATTTTCTGAAAAATGAAATATCAAGTATTGTAATGTAATTGAATTTTAGGATTTACTCAAACCTCACAATTTTCTTAAAAAACTTAAACTGGCTTCAGTTCTGATTAAATCACATCTCGTTTAAATTCATTTTGATTTAGATCGACAGAAACTTACAATGCCACCAAATTATATCTGAAATTCTAAATGTTATCCAGGGTTCTTCACATTATTATTGCTACTAGTTTAAGTAGGAAAATATCTACATACAATAGATAACGAAAATTGGCGTGTTTTTCTCCAACCTTGAATACAGCACGCAAACTTTTCAGTTAGTAATACAATTATTTTATCCAACACTTGTATATAAAGATACTATAATTTATTTGGTTTTAAAGGAATAATGTGGCCTATAACTCACTAGTGAGTTACAAGTCATAAGTCACTAGTGAGTTATGAAACCCTTGGTTACAGACACAATTTAGGTTGACACTCCATCCTTTGTAAAAAATACATTCTTTTCGTTAATTAACTTTTTCTGACATTGACAACTTGAAATTTTAAGTTGCTTTTATTTATTATTGAAACAAAATTCTATGAAAGTGTTGGATAAAATTTTGTATGGCATTTGGAAAAATTAACCCTCTCGGCCTACAGCTTCGAGGACTAAACATTTCCCAGCGTGACTTATACAGGATGACCAAATGAAAACGAAACAGTCAGAGATCTTGACGCAGTTCCTGAAAATTACTCTGTTAGCATTATCTAAGAAAATTATAATTTAGCATACATATTTTGCTGCTTTAATTTTATAAAAATCTTAAACTCGCTTCAGTTTTGATTAAATCACTTCGTTTAAATTCATTTAGATAGAAACTTGCGACGCCACCAAATTATATCTAAATTCTAAATATTATCCGGTGTTTTTCACATTATTATTTCTTGCTATTAGTTTAAGTAGAAAAATATCTACATACAATAATTATCGGAAATTGGCGTGTTTTTTTCCAACCTTGAATATAGCGGGCATATATAAACAAACTTGACTCAGGTTGCCTTAAAAAAAATCCTGTTTATTAGAAATAATATATAGTTTTGCATATCCTTTGTCACAATGAGGTACCATCTGGTTTTAATTGCATTATTAACGAATAATGTTATTGTTATTACACGCGGTTACAAAACTAATTCGACTTTCGAAAACTTCGTTAAGATGGTTAGAGGAAATTTGTCAAAGGCAGCTGCTTACGAGTTACCTGTGAATAACGAAAAATTATGTTACGTTAAGCCAACTGAGAAAAACAAAATTTATGGTAAGTAATATGATCTTCATAAGGTGGCTTTGTTTCTTAATGAATTTGTTTTGTTTAAACTAATAAATCTCTATTTAAAAGTCGATAATGAAAGGTATTGTAATGTCCTCTGAAATTTTTTCCTTTATCCCATTTTATTTAAACATTTTTTTAGTTCTTAATTATATTACAGCTTACGGTACGTTTGACTTCATTATAATTGGCGCTGGCTCAGCTGGTACTTTACTAGCCAACAGATTGACAGAGATCGGAGAGTGGAAAGTACTTTTACTGGAGGCTGGAGGAGAAGAAAACGACTTTAGCGACATTCCTGGAATGAATTTTGAACTCTATTCGTCGGACATGAACTGGGGCTACTTGACCACGCCACAGAAGAAAGGTTGTCAAGGTATATTTATACATTAATCCATCTGATATCGTCTTCTTGTAACATCATCGTTTCCTCCTGACAAAAAGTAGGTTCTCTAGTATACACTAAACATTATTTTTTTACCCCGTTTACCATCCCATCATACCATACCAGGTGTGAAGTTAACTGACAGTAGTGGCATTTTAGAGGCGACGATAAGGCACTTTAACTAAACAGCGTAGGCTAATCTCCGTTGCTTCTCGTAAGCATTCAGAACAAAATTGCATTCTGCTTAAATATAAACTGTTCACGGTTTAATTTTGTTGCCGTTTCGTTTATTTTGGATAGAATGAGACGAAACATTAGAAACATACCGTATTTTGTTTAGAATTCTATAACTTTTTAACATTACCTGTTTTAATTTTCCTAAGTGGGTCCCTATCTACTTTACGTAGTTATATAGTATTGCAGTATTGCTTATTGAGACATCTCACGCTCTGTAATTTTGTTCCAGCAATGGAGGAACACAGGTGTAACTGCGCAAGAGGTAAGGTTGTAGGAGGAAGCAGTACGGTCAACTCCAAAATGTACGTGAGAGGTAATAAAGCGGACTATGACGAATGGGAGGAAATGGGCAATCCTGGTTGGTCCTACAAGGACGTGTTACCTTATTTCATAAAGACAGAGAATAGCCACATCCACGACAGAAACCCAGGGTACCACGGGAAAGGTGGTCTGTTAGACGTGGGCTATTTTGAGCCAACTATTTTTACCACCATGTTCTTAAATGCCAAGAAAGAGTTAGGAGACAAAGTACTTGATTATAACGGTAAGAATCAGATAGGAGTGTCGCCAATACAGTCTACAATAAAAGGAAATAAGATAGCAAGCGGTGGAAGAGCCTTTATTGATCCAATTCTAAAAAGGAAGAACCTCAACGTTACAATAAATGCTTTTGTCACTAAACTAAGAATAGACACGAAACAGAAAATAGCAAAAGGCGTAGAATTTATAAAAGGAGGACGAACGTTTAAAGCTAGAGCTGAAAAAGAAGTCATACTTTCTGCAGGCGCCATAAATACTCCACAAATTCTGATGCTTTCTGGTATAGGTCCTAAAGAAGAATTAGATAGGATTGGGGTTGAAACTTTAGTCGACCTACCAGTCGGGAAAGGTCTAGAAGACCATGCTACATTCTTTGGTTTGAACGTGAGAACTAACCAAACGTTGTTTCGTGACTCTCTAGAGGTACTACTAGAGAACTACTTAAACAATCGCAGACCTTACACAGCAGCATTCAATGCAGATTCGGTAAGTTTCTTGAACGTAAACGATAAGAAAAGTTCTGTACCTGACATAGAACAAATACTTTTCACACCTCCAGGATTTGGTCCTAACTTATGGAAGTCCGTAAATCTCAGGAAAGAATTTAAGGGTCAACTTGAAGAGTTACAAGTACCTTATAATGATGTGTTTGTATTGATAGTACTGCTCCACCCAAAATCTAAAGGCAGCGTAACACTAAAATCGAAGAATCCCCTAGACTTTCCCAACATCGATTACAACTACTACGCCGTGGAGGAAGATATGGACACCATGCTAAAAGGTATAAATGAGGGTCTAAAACTATTTGAAACCGATGCTTTCAGGGCTGTCAATGCGCAACTAGCTCCTATTGTTAGGATTTGCACCGGTTATATCGAGGGTACTGAAGACTTTTGGCGTTGTGCCGTGGAACAAGCGACCACTACTCTCTATCATCCCGTTGGAACTACGAAAATGGGCAAATCAAGAAACAATTCTGTTGTATCTTCGAAACTGCGCGTACATGGCATGAAGGGACTGAGAATTGTGGACGCTGGGGTTATTCCTAAGATACCTTCCGGGCACATGAATGCTCCCACTTTTATGATTGCGGAAAGAGCCGCCGATTTTATTAAACATTATTGGAATTGAAGTAAATCTAGTACATATTTTTAAAGTGTGTTTTAGAATAATTCAAATCATAATTTTATTATAAAAATGATTTATATTGAATTATACTTTTTTCGTTAATACCTACAGAATTATTATACAAGACATGTTCAATAAAAGGATATTTCTTTAAAATACAAGTGTAAAAAGTCATAGTCCTCAGTACATCACTCATTGCGTTTTGGTGATACATGCAAATGGCAAACTTTTCCTCTTCGGCGTCGCCTGTATAATTGCGACAAAGTCCGCTGATTTTTTTTAATATTGGAATCGAAATTAGAATCAAGTAAGATTAGAATCAAAAACAGCTAATGAAGAACATATTTTGAATTGCTGTTTGAAAATAGCCAACTAAATACCTTTACAATAAATTAAAAACATTTTATAAACGTAAACTATTAAATTCTATGAACGTTATACGTGTTTTAAATCCTGTTTTGTCTTTCGGCAGTAAAAGCTAAACCTTTCATTGCGTAGTTATTGGCTTCAGTGCCATTAGTGCGTATTAGATTAGCATTATCTAAAAAAAATTTAGTTTATCGTACACATTTTGCAGAGATACTTGTCTTTAAATTAATATTATCTAAAACTATATCTAAACTGCTTTAACGGTAGAAAATTACCTTATTATTGGGTACTAGGAAAGCAATATACATATATCGATGACCCTGAACATGACAAGCGAATAAAATTATTAATTATGTTGTACACTTTTAAGTACATACAGGGTAGCCCATCGAAAACGTACCTCAAGGCATTACAGGGTAGTAATGAACTTTTCGGCAAAATCCAAAAACAGGTCAAATTTGTTTCTGAGGGGGACAACTTTTGGCTCAAAAAACATACCAAAATCTTCAACCCCCTAAGTGGGGGTGCTATCCCCTAAATTTTTTCAAATGGGAATGGGGGTCATTAGAAAGGGCTTTTAATTCTCTATACATCGATTCTTACTTTTTGAAAATCGATTCATTATTTTAGAAAATATGCAGCTTTGAAAATACGAACAATATTTTTGACGAGAAATGCGAAAATCGATTTAATTTTACTTCAAAACTTACGGTATTAGTCAAGTAAATGCTGAAAATGTTGTCCGCCAACTTGCATACAATGATACAGGTTGTCTTCAAACCGTTGTCGAACATTCTGGAGCACTTGCGGTGTTACTTCGCGACATACATTAATGATTCGTCCTCGCAGATCTTCCAAGGTATCAGGTGGAGTGCTGTAAACTTTGCTTTTAATGTGCCCCCAGAGAAAGAAATCTAAAGGATTTAAGTCGGGTGACCGAGGGGGCCACTCAATTGCACCTCTTCGTCCTATCCAGCGTCCTGGAAACGTCTCATTTAGGTAATTGCGCACATTGAGCGAGTAATGTGGAGGAGCTCCGTCTTGCTGGAAAATCAGTTCGTGTTCATTGTAAGCAGGGTCGTCCTCTATGATATTTGTTAGAGCTGGGTCGATGACATTTTGTAGTAAATCCAAGTACATATCGCCTGTCAAATTTCCAGGAAGGAAAAAAGGACCTACAATGGAATTTCCAAAAATACCTGCCCATACATTCAACTTCTGGGGGTGTTGGGAGTGTGTCTCATGGAAAATCCTTGGATTGGTATCAGCCCAGTAACGACAATTATGGCGATTCACTAAACCATTCAAGAAGAACGTACACTCGTCCGAAAAACACACATTAAAGAGGAAATTATCGTTTATCGCTCGTTCAGTCATTATTTCGCAAAATTGCAAACGACGATCAAAATCGTCTTCATTTAGCTCTTGCACTAGCCGAATCTTATAAGGATGGAATTTGTATTTTTTTAATATTCGTTGGACACTTGTACGACTCACTCCTGTCGCAGTAGCCAATTGCATTGTACTCAGCGTACTATCCATTGCCACTTGCCCCAATACCGCTATTTCCGTAGGTTCATTTAGTACCGGATTTTCAACCTGCCTCTTTTTGTTATGAACGGAGCCAGTTTCGCGAAATTTGGCCACCAATTCGCGAACAATTTTTCCAGACGCATGTTTCTCAGGATGCCGTTGGTTGAACAGTTCGGCGACCCGATTTCCGCATTCATTGTTTTTGAAAAAAAGCTCAATAATTTCTACTCTTTCTGGAATTGAGTACACCATAATTAATCAATTTAAAAGACTCGGCAGTATTGGTACTCTTCAACTACAAGTCACAAGACAGTTATCTAGCAACTTCTTGTGGCCTATCTAAATACGAAACAAAAAGCGGACAATTTTTTGCTCACCAAAATCAGGCTAAAGAATTCGCAAATCAGAAAAAAAACAGCGAATTCTTTTGAAGGAATTTACCAAGCTAATACCGTAAGTTTTGAAGTAAAATTAAATCGATTTTCGCATTTCTCGTCAAAAATATTGTTCGTATTTTCAAAGCTGCATATTTTCTAAAATAATGGATCGATTTTCAAAAAGTAAGAATCGATGTATAGAGAATTAAAAGCCCTTTCTAATGACCCCCCACTTGACCCCCATTCCCATTTAAAAAAATTTGGGGGATGGCACCCCCACTTAGGGGGTTGAAGATTTTGCTATGCTTTTTGCGCCAAAAGTTGTCCCCCTCAGAAGCAAACTTTACCTGTTTTTGGATTTTGCCGAAAAGTTCATTACTACCCTGTAATGCCTTGCGGTACGTTTTCGATGGCCTACCCTGTATATGTTCCAAGTGCAATTGTCATTTTAGCGAATCATGTTCCTTCCTGTGATAAAAGCAGGGAAAGAAAAGAAAAAAAATGAATAACCTCACGCGGAAAAGAATTAGTTGAGTTAAGATTTTTAAGAAGTTATTTTTGCCTAACCAGAAAAATTTAAAACTGAGGAAATAGGTGTTCAATATTTTTCTACACACTGTATTGATGAAGGTCTAAAAATTATTCGCCTGTTACTATAGAAATGTACTTTCTTCCAAATATTAAAAAAAATTGATATTTATGACAGTTAATGAAAACTGATATTTTTTTTCACTTCATAATATTGTTAATAATAGGCACCTTTTAATTTGCTAGGCTTGGCATACTTAAACGTTGATATGTTTTTCTGTATTAAATAAAAACACCATACTGTAAAAAAAGTGTCCCGTTCTTTTAGTTTCGGTGAAAATGTCAGGCGTTGTGTTCATAATTTACGTTCCTACGGAAAATTACGAGAAATCTTTGCAGAAGAAAGTCACAAAAAGGGTTACTATAGACGAATCGTACAAAAACTCAATGCAGGAGGAAAATCATCATGTCATCGAGAACGTCGACGATGATTTTATTCCCCTTTGCGATTCAACCATATCAAATGCGAATGAAGGTGAACCCTTGGAAAAGGTAAGTGCAGTAAATGTAACTTTCGAATTTTCGAGGATTTTAAATAACACAGCTGCAATACGTAGGTTCCTATGATTGTTTTTGTTGAAAACGACAATGTTTTTTGAAAACCAACAGGTGTAAGAAAAGTTTTAGAATTAAATTCCCCATAACAAAATAATAATTTTTTAATAGACCGATCGAAATAACTCAATTAGAGGCAAAAAAAGAAAATTGTTACCTTGACTTTTATAAGTGGGAATGGTAAAGAAGCTTATAATAAACGAAAGAAAAATAAATGCGTGAGCAGGGGTGGCGGAGGATTGATTTAGGGGGTTGAAAAGTTGTGAAAAATTGTATCATTGGGATTTCTGGCGAAAGTTGACGTCAAACAAAAAAGTGTCCAATACAAAAGTTGTAGATCATGCAAAAATCTACTACTAACAACTAACAAACGATTCTATTATTTCTTTGTTTTTTTTTGTCAGACACTTCGCGACATACTGAAGCAGTTTCATGTGGACAACTCCTTTTGGAGCAAGAACGTCGAAGATAATTACTTGCAAGTCGTGTTTTCCATAGAATCCAGCGATAGATGTGAGGATATTCTGGAAATTTTGAGGGAAAATGGAATTGGCCACCGACAGAACTCCATCATCAGCGTTATCCCTTGCACGCTGCACTATCATGGGCACGAAAATGAGGACAATGAAAAGGATTCGTTGTCTCTTGATGATGGGAAACTGGAAAGTAATGAGTAGGTTAACATTTTGCTTTTAATGTTTTTTTCCATTATTTTTTCATAAAAAATAGTATACAATTTATTCACTCTGCTTATTTACTTATTTATTTTTAGAGAACACCACGAAAAACATACCGCCTGGAATCGTTTTCTGACGTCAGTCAAAGCACGCCTAACAGTCGCCCAGGTAGTTGAAAATGTAAAGCACCATGCTGTTATGACCTTCGACTTCGTTTTTCTTTTGTTAATATCAACGTAAGTAACTTTTAACAGTCCAAAATATATTTTCATAAACTCACACAGAATTTAAACAGCAAAAATTGTGGAATAAACTGTAGTGGAGATTCCTGCCACTCTAAATAAAGTTGCAGCAAATAGAAACATACTCAAATTGGAACCTTGTTTGGCAATTGACAAAATAGTAGATACCATCTACTTTGTGTTAATAATTTAAACTAAAAAAAAATACTAATATACAAATTACCCTTCAAAGTAGTTCGTTTTATTTTTTTCTACTATTTAACTTTATTTATCAAATTAGGTGTTAAGAAAATTATTTAGATTAAGGTTAAATCTTATAACTTTCATATACATATATGAATTTTAATTTAAAAAATAGCGAATAATTTAGACTTGCTCAAAAATATCTGTTTTAAAGTGGATGTGAGAGGGGACAAGCAATTTTTTTCTAGATTACCTTCAGTACAATTCACATAATAAAAGTGTAGATCCCTAGATCTGGACGAGGTCCGAAACATTTTCAAAATTGCAAAAATGTTTAAAAAATACCTATTTTATACTTATATCTTGGTAGTTTTTTACTTATATCTTGGAACCTATGTATTTTGGAAGAATATTGAAGAGGAAAAAAAGTTTTAGAATTGAATTTTACACAATATACTGTAAGTTAAAAATGTTTAAATTTATTACCGATGTTGCAAAATAGCAATAATTGATGAAAAATGCGAAATAATCAAGTTTTTTTTTTAAATATTTTAATTGCTCCAAGGGCATTCTAATTTTGGTAAAAAAAACTTTAGAGTATAATCAAACAACACTCAATACTAAAATCGGTTAAATAATTTTTGGCAAAATAATTTTTTGAAAAAAATTTTGAAAAAAATTTTCGAATTTTGAAAATGTTGCACAACCTTTAGATTGACAGGTTAGACCATAAACACAACTCAGATTCATAAGTGATCTAAAAGTAATGAATTTAGAACAGAAAACTGACATTGTACCTAATTCTTAAAAAAAAAACATGTTCTACACAGTATCATCCTTTTATTAAAAAATCACTATTTGTGTTGTTTCAGTACCATGTGTGCCATTGGTCTAGTGGAAAATAGCAACCTCTGCCTTCTGTCAAGCATGTTGATTTGCCCGATGATGGGTCCAGTAATGGCTGCTACCTTCGGTTCCGTCATAAAACACAAACGGTTGACGAAAATCGGGGTCCAGAATGAACTAATTGGTCTTGGAATCGCAACAGTTGTGGGCTTTTGCTATGGGACGTTGATCTGTCTCCTTACCGACAAGTATGGGAACCACACGTGGCCTACGTACGAGATGTTATCAAGGTAGGCCATTCCACCGATTGTCAGATTTATGTCATCGGGTTTTGTTAAGAGAAATCTCGCGATAAGTCGTATTTTCGCAATTTTCACATGGTGTTTCGAGATGTTTGCGATGGTTGATCTAGATAGACTATTTAAAAGTAGGTTCTTGATGAATTTGCACAAATCCGACTGTTTTGTACGAACCCAAATAAGATTTGCTCGATATATCTTTGCAGGGGAGAACTGCGCTCTCTGTGGGTGGGCTGTCTCATCGCGTTACTGTCGGGGGCAGCTGTCGCTCTGGGAATTCTCAGCGACAATTTCGCCTCCCTCGTCGGGGTGGCAATTTCCACGTCACTAACGCCCCCAGCTGTTAACGCCGTAAGTATGACCTTTTCAAGCTAGTCGACCACTCGAAGACAGTGACATGACAATGGAGAGTGTTATTTTTGTGTTTAAATTATATCTGCGGTTTGTCGTGACGAGATTTGTCGCTCATGTCGCTTCGAGCAGGTGGGTAACTAGCTTTAGAGTGCAAGACAGATATATTTTTTGTGCTTAATTGACAGATAGTTCCATATTTTTGACAGCTTCGATGTCTACTTGTTCCAGGGGCTGCTATGGTCGCTTGCATCTGTCTACTACGTAAAGGGCAACGAAACTACCCGTTACCACAGACTGACGCAAACGAACTACTACTCTCGCAACTACGCCACTGAATTGTTTGCCTTAGGAGCCGTTAGCATCTGTCTCACCTTCATCAACATCGTCTGCATATACGCCGCGGCCATCCTTGTTTTCAAGGTAGGCAGTTGCCACTTCAACACATAAATGCACTGCCGAACGTCATCTTCATCTCACTTTACAGATTAAGGAGGTAGCGCCTATGTCAAGGGACCACGCCAGGCGCAGATTCTGGAAGCACGACATCAAAATCGCCAGAGACTACAACAAGACCCTGGAGGGAGAAGAGGCCGGTTGTACGATAACCAAGCTGTCTCAAGAACTAGCTGCTTATCGGAAGTCCAGATTCAACCCCGACAAGTTCTATCATTCCACCGAACTCGCGAAAGACAACCTCAAGTTAAACATCAAACGACCGGAGTTCACTTGGTCCCCTTGTACGCGTTTCTTGGAAACGTCGAGAGAGGTCAACGAGATATACGAGAGTTTGAAGAAGTATAAGCCCAACACGGCGAGAGTTTTGGATTTCACTCGGGCACAGCCAACGGCGAAGATGTACCAAAGGAGGTTGTCGCAGATATTCCTCAAAGACGATGATAAGTTGGACATCATAAAAGAGGACAACAGCGATAAGACCACGTCGAGTGCGGAGTATAGTTGCGGCTGTCAGAATAATGGCAAACAGTACTGCACCGGAAAGAAGCGATTTACTGTTGTTCGTTGCGAAACAGACCCTTTGAGTCCCAAACCTTAATATGTTTATTGAAATACGTGGCGCAATAATAAATTTATATTGCCAATTTACATGGGATTGTAGCGTCTATACGTTTTTTTATGTATATCCAAGTAAGGCCTATGAGTTTGTTTTATATTTGCGTTTTACTTGTATCTGTATTTTGTTTTTATTGTGATATAATTGTCCAAAAGCAGTATCTTGTTGTTTTAATAAAAACTATACTTTTTTTCTTCTAAAAGTTTTTCCGTAATGTTTAACTACACTTAGAGAAAATAAAATTGTACCTGTACTTTTATAAGTGGAAATGGTAAAATGGTTTATAATAAACGTAAAAAAAATAAATGCGTCAGCAGGGGTGGCGGGGGGTTGATTTGGGGGTTGAAAAGTTGTGAAAAACTGTATCATTGGGATTTCTGGCGAAAGTTGAAGTCAAACAAAAAAGTATCCAATACAAAGATTGTAGATCATGCAAAAATCTACAACTTTTGTAGAGGTCACTTTTTAAGATAATCTCAAAATTTCCGAGAAAATGCGAAAAACAGGTTTTGGTCAAACAATGAGGCACAGTTTCTTTTGTATTTTTTTCCGTACAATTGAATGGTGTAGTCAGTTTTTGATTTTTTGAAAATTTATACAAATTATCAACAATTACTGAAAAATTCATTATTGCAAGTCTTTTTTTTGCATTTTTGAGCATGGTTTTGAATTGTGATTACAGATTTTTTTTTCACCAAAAAGTATATGTCAAAACAAAAAAATTATCGCCGGCAGAACTCTGTACGATGATTTTTCTAAGTAGAATTTTTCTTTGAAAAAATGGTTTCAGACCGGAAAAAATGAATATCTCGGAAACTTCTTGACAATTTTATCTAAAAAAATTTGTGGTAATTTTAGACACAGAAAGGTATACTTTCACCAAGTTTCGTCAAAATCAAATTGCTTTAATGGAAATGAGAAATAAAAAACGAAAAATAAGAAAAAAAAACGGTTTTTCGCATTTTTCTCAGAAATTTTAATGTTATCTTGAAAAGTAACCTCTACAAAAGTTGTAGATTTTTGCATGATCTACAATTTTTGTATTGAATACTTTTTTGTTTGACTTCAACTTTCGCCAGAAATCCCAATGATACAATTTTTCACAACTTTTCAACCCCCCAAATCAACCCTCCGCCACCCCTGCTCAAGCATTTATTTTTTTACGTTTATTATAAGCCCCTTTATCATTTCCACTTATAAAAGTCCAGGTAACAATTTTTTCCCCTCTGAATTAGTTATTTCGATCGGTCTATATTGCGAGATATAATGAAAAATTATTTTAGTCAAATCTTCTTTCAAAATTACTGGTTTGTGTAATCTCTTTTTTTATTGAATAAACCTTTTTTTTGAACTATCCATGGTATCAACTATGGATAGTCTCAACCTCTACCAATATACCGGGTGTTTCAGAGTTGAAGTGACAAAAGCCTAGGGAAGATTTCGCTCGGCAAAATATGCAAAAGTTCGTATGAATATGGGTCCACAAGAGCTTCGTTTCCGAGATAGAGCGGGTAATTTTTTTAAAATTGAGTTTAAAAAACGCTTTAGAAGGTTTGAATGAAATTTTTACGGTTTATTAAAACAGTTATCATATGGATCAATCAGATTTGATCTAAAATTTTCAGTGGTAAGCAATTCGTTTTTTTTTTGTAGGAAATAATATCACCCTGTAGTTTTTTTGCGGTTTTTAAGTAATATTCAGATAAACTAACTAAAAATGGTACATTTGTGTCTCTTGATTCATTTTAATGTCGCTATAACTCGTACATTTCGTACCTGGCCATCTGTCGAATTTTAAAAAATTCAAAAAATAGATCTCAATATGTTCCACTCATCGCCACCTACCAAAATCAATCAGAAACATTATTATTTCGCAAACCCATTTCCAAATTCTTCTATACCGATAACGGGCACTAGCTCCGCCTACCTCTGTTTTACGTTGAAAGCACAGACTTTTACTTAGAAGTCTGTGGTTGAAAGCGACAAAGAGAGAAATATTGCGTTTAATGATTCAAAGAAAGACAAATAACAGAGAAAACTTTTCCCTATCAACTGAAGCATGGAGGCTATACAAGGAGCCCGAACTCCATGTAAACAAAAATCGTACAAAAATAAGAGGGCGCTAGTGTTCCATATGTCCCATATGTAGAGAGGGGAGATAAAAAGCGGCAGTTTGAATTATAAATCAATCATGTCATTTTTGTAATGTGTTAAAAATTTTAAAATAAATAATGTAAGCTACTTTGAATTATATAAATCATGAAAATATGTCATTCCGGACTGTAATTAAACTAAATAGATAATAAAAAATATTAGCTTTATGAGAAGAATTTGGTGTTCGTAGAAAGAAACTAGTTTTCAAGGAATTTATGACGTGATCTTGTTAATATTAACCTATAAGTAAGGTTTATGTTTTTGATAATTACTTTGTTAAAGATTTTAGTTTAATGTTAGTAAAAGTCACATTTTATACAGGAAGTTGCCTTTAAAAAAATAGTAATTCTTGTATTATTAATATGGAATTTTTACTTGTGGTAATAAAAAATAGAATATAAAAAAACTCGGTGTTTTAAATAAACTTTTTAAAATATTACAGATGTCCGATTTTGAGTCCAGTGATTCAGATGACTTATTAGACGCATTGTCCAGCTTGAGAGTGATGATGAAATAGATTTATTCTAAGAAACAGAAAGAGTAAAAAATAAGAACTACTTTGAAATTACTGTACCTGAATATAGTGGCCAAGTTTTTTTAACATTTCCGTGTTAGCATATGGGAAGTAGCTAACAGAATTGAAGAAAAATTTGCCATTTCTAATTATTTCACCCATGATTCTGGTAAATTTTGCATTGCCTTAAGCTCTACAACAACCAGAAAAGTTACATACTTGCTAAGTAACTTGTCTCCACAAATTATAGAATGGCCGAGATAATGAGGCAGTTGTAATCGAACAATATTTTGCCCAATATGAATTTCCAGAGCAGGTTATAGGAATAATTGATGGGAAAGGAATTCATATAAGATAGAGTATATCACAATCCATTTTTTTTTTGAATAACCAATAATATACTATATTATAGTGTAACTGAAAACTGACTATGGAAAGTCGATAAATTATGGTTGGACAATTTCTAAGCTGATTGCCATGTTGTCGGTTTAGACTTCTCAATGCTTCGAGAGTCATATCGCTCTCTTCTCAAAATGTCAAGAAGCTTAAAACAACATGACAACCAATTGATACCAAAATTTTAACAAAATATAGGTACTCCATTATAAAGGTCACAAAAAATAGGTAATCTAAATATTTTATAACTGTTTAAAATCGATTAGTTTTCTGGGTATATATTTTAAAATTGCTGTAAAATTTAATTCTACTTTCGTAAAATTGTTGATTTAATTCGAACGTAACATGGTTCCATGACTTATTCCAAGGTAGAGTATAGACCAAAATTAATAAGGTATTATAAAGAAATATTTTAGCAATGTTCTATATTTTTGTTATATATTTTGTAAAAATAAAATGTTTATCTACCAAAGATTTCAATGTTTTATTAATTGAATCAAAAAAACGAAATTATTTGTGCCTAATTAAAATAAAATAAATATTTATTCATAACAAACAAGTAACAAAGTAAATATATATTACAAATAAAACAACTTAAAAATAAGTAATACGTGTCAGTCTATCTTCTTAAAATTTCATTTTGTTCATGAAGCAATTGATTTCCATGTTTAAATATTTAGTAAAAGTAGTCAATTACCAATACAGATCGATCAGCATCAATTACTACACGTATCCTCTCTTTAAATTTTATATGATATCTGAATTTCAATCAGTTTTTTACTAACAGGAAAGAAACAGCAACTAATTGGAAATGATTTATTCAATTCAGTAATGATAATAGCGATGTCACCAGCAAGAATTATATGAAAGATACGAATTTAATTATTTATGCACGTAATATAAATTACAAGAATATGTAGAAATAAATAAAGTATACTTTGTTGCTATTGTCAATATTATGTGAACATATTCATAGTTGCTTTGTCGAGACCTCATCACACGTCAACAGAACTTTTCTTTTATTAGATTATACAGGACAGGATGCTCACTTTCTAGTATAATCTCATCGTAACTTAATTGCTCTTGATTTACTTGCTGTTCTTGTTGTTGTTGTTGTTGTTGTTGTAACTGTTGCTCTTGTTGTAGCTGCTGCACCTGTTGTTGCTGGTGTAGCGGATGCTCTTGCTGTTGATGCTGCTGCAAAATATATAAAGAAACAATGCATCATTCAATTATACAATATTTTCACTTATGAAATCTTTCTATTTAAAAATTTCTCTACCGTATTAAGAATCAAAGAAGCTGCTTCCAACTTCCGAATTATTCGACCTTTTGCCATAATATTAACCCACTATTCGGTCAAGTTGTAATATAGAACAGCTGGACATCATTAGATTGAAAATGCAAATCACAAACGTACTGTTTTATTTTAAATCTGTTGACAGTCATTCACTTCACATACTATTACCATATTTAAATTATTTCCGAAACTTTCTATTTACCATTTATAAAAACAAATTGTAATAATTATTGACTTGACTTCTAGTTTTTAGGTTTAGTATACCTCCCCGCTCCCCAATATATCTACTAAACTCGATATAAATAAAATAAAATTGGTTATTTGCTTACTTCACTCGTATTTATGAAGCTACATTCATTTGGGTCATATGGAACACTAGCGCCACCCCAACTTCTGCCATTTCTTGGACAAATTTTGTCAATTTTCCCGTATGAGTTGGTGCTCCTTATCTAGTCTCCATGGTTAAGTATTTCAAATCGATTTAAAATTTTTTTACTCCAGCGCCATCTGTTAGTCACTGCCTGAACTTATTATGAAGTACAAATTCAATTCAGTAGCCATCTACTGGTAACTATTTAAATTTATTAGGAACTGCACCTCACTTGTTTGTAGTTTTCTATCAACGGTTAGTCCCCAGACGAAATAGCTGGTAGACAAACAATATTAATTAAGGATAGTGTCTTCTAGATGGCGCGGACCATATGTGGAAAACTTTTAAACAATTATGTATTATATTCATAATAAATAATTAAACCTGACTTTCCCCAATTCGACGATTCGTTTGAAACGAGCTGCGGAAATATTTATGTTGAACATTTGAACTACTTGAAATTTGAACTTTGATTTTTGCAGTTGGAACGTACCCTACATTTTGTAACAAACAAAAACAACAAATCGTCTCCATGAACTGAAGTCTCTGGTTGGTTTTCTATGTAATGAAACCAGTGTTGCCAACCTACTGATTTGAAACTAAATTGTACTGACGCGGGAAATTCAAAATTTTAAAAAGGCAATACTTGAATAGTTGACCAAGAAATAAAGGTGAAAAATCATGGAGAACTCGTAAAAATTACTGGGCGTGAGTTTATTGTTGGAAAGTCTTGGGAATGATAATACAAGAGGCGTCTCATCAAATGGGTCATGAAAAAAGTACAGCGTCGTTGTTTTTTATCAACCAATAGGTCAAAAATTCGTCATTTTTCGTTCTACGCGTTATTGTAAAAAAATTATTAATCTTAGCAAAAAAGTTCAATAGACGATTTGATCTAGAGAAACTCATCTTTAAAATGAGACTTTACAAGTTAAAATTGCTTTATAAACAAAAAAGTTATTGCAAAATTAAACGGAAAAAGTGCTTTTTCTATAATTGTTAATAACTTTTTAAATAATTAATAAAATCTTGCCAAACTTTCCCAAAATGTGAGTTTTTATATCTTTAAGAGATGTGCAAAAGATGGGCTCGATCGGTCAAATAGTTTTTGCAAAATTTCATTTATTTATCCCATTTTTGCAAAAAGGCCCATTTTCAAATGACTATTCCGGGGGCAGGGTTATGACTAAAACATTCTTTTTGGACTCATTTCTTTCGAAGGGACACCAAGTATCCTCTAGTTAAAAAAATTTTAATTTTTTTTCAAATTTAGTTGTATATAATTGTGACCAAATAGAAGACACTTTTTGCCTAATAAACAAGTAAAATAATTCCGCGGTTTTTAACTTTTGAAAGAAGTTATATACATCAATCGAAAGCCCATAAAAAAACTACAAATTGAAAAAAAAAAACAAGTTTCTAGGACCAATTAATCACAGAGCAATTTGTTATAAACATTAAGACTGAAATTTTAATATTTTGTAAATGAAGGTTTAAACTTTATGCCTTGTTAATTTTAATTGAATTTGCCCATAATTGATCAATCCAGAGCCCGTCAAAGTAAGGGTACGTGGCAGTAGCCCTTCAGGGAATGGTGGTTGGGAGCTCGACGAAAAAAATACTTCTATATTATTTCTACCCTTGTAAAACCACCCCCTACCCCCTAAAAATGAATTTTTTGAAAAAATTTTCTATTTGCATTTTTTTTTTATTTGAAATGTTTTAGACAATAGTTCTCAATAAAAAAATTTTGTCAAAATTATTTTAACCCTTCAAAATTAATTTAACCCCCAGAACCCCCAAAAAAATCAATATTTTTATTTTTTTAATTTTTCATACATTTTATATAATTATGGATTTTGTATATTAAAGGATTATAAAAATATGCAAAATATTTCCGTAGATACTGGCGGTAGAATTTTTTTTTTCATAATTCATTATATCAACTTCAATTTGGGGGTTGAAAAGGGGGGGAGGGGGGAGGGAGGGTTGCGTTTATACAGTTGATTAGTTGATGTCAAAAAAAAAATCTTAAACAGAAACATTTTAGTCGTTATTAATTTATTCCGTTTGATCTTTAATTTTTTTTCAGACCATTTGGGGGGTAGTCGCCCCCATCGCCCCCCTCTTGGAGCCGCGCCTGTCCTGACCCCCATATCCTCACCACTGGTTAACATATTTATAAGTCGACGAATTTTTACCTTTGATCAGACAATTTAGTGTGTTTCATCGGTTTACATCAACCACCCTCAGAGACATTTCAGAATATTTCTAATTTCAACACCCCGTATCCCAAAAATGAAACGAACTATAACCCACGTTCATTTGGAATAATAGTTTGTCCTACCATTTGGCGAATTGTCCCTGGACCGCCCCGTATGCGAAATAGGAGAGGAAATAAAAGTCGAGCGTAATTATAAAAAATTACGATTTATTCGTATCTTTGTACCACCATTATGGTGAGATCTCAGTATTTACATATATTGTTCTATTTATCTGCGACATTCCAACAATTAATAAAAGGTCACAACACGGGATATTTGAATTATAAATAATAATGAACAACTAACCGCAACATACATAAATATTGATGGTTCAGATGTCAGTTTATCACTTGGATGTACAATGTACAAATGAAATGCTGATGAATTGGAAAAAAGTTCATTGTTTGATCAGTCTGTGCGAGTCACTATTCCGAGCGCTTGACTTTGCGCTGTCTGGGACTCTGCTTGGTGGCCTTCGGGGATTTCTGCGACTTTTCCTTGTCTGCAACGCAGAAAACCACAATTACGTAATTATCCAGAAATTTGTGAGTAACATGCACATGTCTCTGGTAATACCAACACATAAACTCAGTTCAAAACTGTAGTAAAAATTTTAATGATTCCCAATTTTGGACTTCCTCAAATCAGCAAAATCTTATTTTGGTAGCCGGTCACAGTCAATTTATCAGGAAAAGAATTTATGAATCATATCACATGAAATATGGCTCACCATCTTCTGTGAGATTAAAATTCAATTCAAAAGTGTAGTAAAAATTCTGTTAACTTCCATCTTAAACTGATTAGAATTTGTTTCATCATGTTGGAAAAAGAATTTATTATTATCAACAATAAAATATCAACAAATAAACTCAACTCAATTCAAAAGTGTAGTAAAAATTTTGATGATTTCCTATTTTGGATTTCTTTCAAATCAGCAAAATTATATTTTGGTAGCCAGTCACAGTCAATTTATCAGGAAAAGAATTTAAGGATCATATCACATAAAACATGGCACGCCTATTTCTGTGACATTAAAATTCAATTCAAAACTGTAGTAAAAATTTCGTTAACTTCAAACTTAAACTGGATAGAATTTGTTTCGTCAGTATGCTGTTGTTGGGAAAATAATTTTGAACATTAACATTAAAATATCAACAAATAAATGAATTCAATTCAAAAGTGTGGTAAAAATTTTAATGATTTCCAATTTTGCACTTCCTCAAATCGGCAAAATTTTATTTTGGTAGCCAGTCACAGTCAATTTATCAGGAAAAGAATTTAAGGATCATATCACATAAAACATAGCACACTTATTTCTGTGACATTAAAATTCAATTCAAAACTGTAGTAAAAATTTTGATAACTTCCAATTATGGATTTACTTAAATTGATTAGAATTTGTTTCGGCAGCACATCGTAGTGACCTTGTTGGGAAAAGAATTTATAAACATTAACATTAAAATATCAACAAATAAATTCAATTCAATTCAAAACTGTGGTGAAATTTTTGATAATTTCTGATTTCGGACTTTGGAGTTTGTTTTGGCAAAAGAATTTATGAATTATGTTGCTGAAATGTAAATTTAATAAAGCAATGCCTTCCACTGTATTAAAATCATCAGCAAATAAGTTAATTCCATTCAAAACTGTGGGAAAATTTTTAAAAACCTCTGATTCTGGACTTCAGAGTTTGATTTGGTAGCAAGTCATATGCACACCGCTTTGTGTATCTAAATATCAACAAATAAATTCAATTCAAAACTGTGGTGAAATTTTTGATAATTTCTGATTTCGGACTTTAGAGCTTGTTTTGGCAAAAGAATTTATGAATTTTGTTGCTGATATGTAAATTTAATAAAGCAATGTCTCCCACTGTATTAAAAACATCAGCAAATAAGTTAATTCCATTCAAAACTGTGGTAAAATTTTTAAAAACCTCTGATTCTGGACTTCAGAGTTTGATTCGGTAGCCAGTTATATGCACATCGCTTTCTGTGAATCTAAATATCAACAAATAAATTCAATTCAAAACTGTGGTGAAATTTTTGATAATTTCTGATTTCGGACTTTGGAGTTTGTTTTGGCAAAAGAATTTATGAATTATGTTGCTGAAATGTAAATTTAATAAAGCAATGCCTTCCACTGTATTAAAATCATCAGCAAATAAGTTAATTCCATTCAAAACTGTGGTAAAATTTTTAAAAACCTCTGATTTTGGACTTCAGAGTTTAATTCGGTAGCCGCCTTCTGTGTATCTAAATATCAAGAAATAAATTCACTTGAATCGAACTCAGAACTGTGGTAAAAAAATCGATGACCTCTAACTTTGCACTTACTTAAACTAGCGAGGGTTTGCTTCGGCAGCCAATCGTAGTCGACGTTATTGGGATTGTTAGTTCCCGTTTCAACGGGGGCCGCTTTCCTGCTGCCACCGCTTCGTTTCTTTCCCACAGAGAGCAAGGTCTGTTGTCCAATAACCAGAAGAAGAACGACACCGGCAGCCAAAAATACATAAAGGAAGAACGTTTCCCCATCCAGACCTTAAAGAAACAAATTTTTAGCCCGCCCTGGTCCGCTACTCAAAGAAACTTGACAAAATAATTTCGTTTAAAAAAATGATTCAGTGACAAGGACACACGTTAATCTGTAATCAGCAAAAGTGCTTTTCTTATCTGCGATATCAGATATTCCAAATAAATAAATTGAAATTTCAGTAAAATTATTAAATAACCCTGTCTCAAATCAATTATTACAGAGCGAGTCAAAAAAAATGTAAAAAAATGCTGTAAGAAATAAAAAACCACAAACGTCCCAACGATTTGTCCGCCATTATTAAAAAAACTGCGCCTTCCCTGAAAAACTTCGTAAATTCGTACAAACTTACCTTCTTCAAGTTCCACGATCTGCACAGTCTCATTGAACACGGCCTCTTGGAACGAGTTACCGCCGGCATCCCTGTAGGCCAAATTGATGTTCAATCCGAAAGGCCTGCCGGCGAAAGCTTCCGACGGAACGAAGCTGTAGTGTAACGTGGCTTCTTGTTCGGGCGCTACAATTTTGTTGTAGCCGATAGCTGAGAAATTCTGAATGAAGAAGTTGAAGTCCATGGGGTACCTGAAGGAGGCTTCCAGCGTTTCCACGACGAAGTCCTGATCGCCTTTGTTGCGGAAACCCACCAGGAACTCCACTGGTAAGCCTGCCGGTATTTCTACAAGAAAAAATATCGACTACTAACGAGATATGGGAAAACAGAGGGGGGAAAAGAGAGACATGGTTTACGTACCCATCTGAGAAGCTCCAGTGGACACGGGCTTGACAAACAACAGTGTAGTATCCGCATCTGGCGAAGCCGTGGTCGTACTCTCCTCTTCCTCCTCCTCAGTCCCGCCAACTTCCTCTACTTCAACCTCATTTTCTCCTTCAACCTCAGCCTCATCCTCCAGGGGATCCTCTTCAGCATATGACAGCATCTTACCACCTTACAAGTAAACATATTGGTTAGATTTCAGAAAATTATTCAATGAAATGACGACAATAACTGTCACAGGCATTACGATGGTAATTTATTAACCCATTTCCGCAACGAAGGGCATATGTTTTATCAGTTTTTATTGAAAAAAACTGCCACGTAATTTAGCACACAAAACGTGCCTTGTATTTGAAAAACAAACTCACCATTATCGAAAGTCAGAATCACCGCTGGCAACACCAACAAAATAAAAAGGAAGATCTTTTTCATTTTCGAAATTTAGGTGATTGAATTAGTACTTGATTTAACTGTAATATCATCCGGTCAAATGACACACCGAGCGAACCGACACACTTCGTAACCTGACTTTCTACACCTCTTCTTCTCTCCACCTGGTTCTACGTGGAAGCTAACGTAAATCGTAACGTACACATGGCACCCCCTCCACCAAAGTGACGTTGCGTTGGGTGACAGTGACATCTGGGCGAAATGACATTACTTCGAATGCACTCGATTATTTTTTTACAGAATCGCAGAACTCCTGTTTTATGAAAAATATCGAGTTTCTTATTTCCACTTGCAAGTATTCTCAAATAGTAATTTTTACATCTACATACAAATTTGCAAGTAAATTGGTTTAACTTTTAGTAGTAGTCGGAAGTATTACTGGTTGCATATGTTTGGACAATTTTCAGAATTAATTTTAATTTTTATTGGCTTGGTATTAGTATTACAATATTTCAATAATAGTTTTTAATAGTTGATTTTGATTATTTTGGATTAATTTCGTATTGTTAGAAATGTGTGATAGTGTGACAAGTTTAGAATAATAATATCAAAAATACAGTTATACCTTTTGTGTTTTGTGGTTTGAGGATCTACGCCGCAGATAGGACCGACTCAGGCGGACAAATTGAGGAACTGGGAACTGGGTAAGCTTTCAGCTAGTGTGGTTATTTTTTAGCGAGAATATAACTTGGAAGTAATTGAAAATATTTGATTTTATTATATATTTCAATGTTTGATTATAATAACACAAAGTAAGCATATATTTCGAACGAGTACAAACTCTGGCCGTTCTGGTTAAAAATCTACCGATATTCAGGGTACTATTTCCAAGTCTCTGAAACATGACATCCTTCTGGATTGACTTCTACATGTTTGTAGTAGCTGTTGCGTTTCCGTCATTTTCGAATGACGAATTCGGAGATTTTTTTCTGATGTGGACTAAGTATTGTGTTTTTGATTGCTTAGAGCGGTTTTTTGACTGGAACTTTGGAAAGTGAGCTGAAAATGTCAATTTCCGTTATTGTAAAGCTACTGAGAGCTCGATGCGTTTTGTTTTTAGTTCATGCACTGTAATAATAGTCTTGACAAGGCGGTATAGGGTTCTAAAAAATATTTCAGTGCAAAGGTTCAGCATCAATATATTTATTACCAGAATATAAAAAAAACAAAGTAGAACTAGAGAAGTAACATCAAATCTGGACAAATTAATAAAGGAATTGTTAAAATACACACAGGTATGCAGATTTAAAAAATTTAAATTAAAATTTTAAGAACGCAGATAAAACATTGCAATAAGTTATAAAAAATATATTATTGTAAACATTTTTTGAATAGAAATAAGCGATGCTTGTAGCTTAAATAGTTTATTTTTATTTAATTGGACCTATATTCTAAAATAGTTCATTTGATTCTTGATAGTAGATAGATAAATTAATACTTTCAAAAAGAATATACTTATAAAAATAAATTAAGTCATTTTATTGAAATTAAGCTAGAATAGCCTCTTTGATAAGAAATAAATTATATTTATATACAATTATTACAATAAATTCAGTGAAAGTGAAAAAATGTATGAACGTTTCCAAATATTATTCGACCTAGAAGGGTGCGGTTTGGATTGCTGGAATCCTCGAATGAAATGCTAGAGGGACGCCAGAGTTAGTTTTTCGATATTTTCAACGGTTAAAAAGATAAGGAGGGGCTTTGTTAGGTCACGTTTTAAGTCACGTGACTCTTTAAATAGGGGAACAGCTCGTAACTTTTTTATTTTTCGACCTAGAAGGGTGCGGTTTGGATTGCTGGAATCCTCGAATGAAATGCTAGAGGGACGCCAGAGTTAGTTTTTCGATATTGTCAACGGTTAAAAAAATATGGAGGTGCTTTGTTAGGTCACGTTTTAAGTCACGTGACTTTTGAAATTGGAGAACAGCTCGTAAAATTTTTATTTTTCGACCTAGAAGGGTGCGGTTTGGTTTGCTGGAATCCTCGAACGAAATGCTAGAGGGACGCCGGAGTTACTTTTTCGATATTGTCAACGGTTAAAAAAATATGGAGGTGCTTTGTTAGGTCACGTTTTAAGTCACGTGACTTTTGAAATTGGCGAACAGATCGTAAAATTTTTATTTTTCGACCTAGAAGGGTGCGGTTTGGTTTGCTGGAATCCTCGAACGAAATGCTAGAGGGACGCCAGAGAAGTAGAGATTTTAACGATGTTTTGAATTGAGGGAAGTCCTGTGCCTGCTTAAAAATGCTTACTTATAACATAGTTTTCAATGAAATTAAATTATTTTCCCTTTTGCAGTAATTTGACAGCATATTTTCCAATTATCAATTTACGTTTTTCATCAAATTTTGCACTTCCACTGAAAGTAAGTAAATTACAATACAGAGTTCGCTACAAACTACAATAAATACGTGTAAGACCGGATAGCACCTTCGAGATTTGTGTGGTTGATGTGTAAGACAGTAGACGACGACAGGTACAAGAGCTAAGTACATAGAAAAATGACACCGAACATAGAACTAATCCTTCTCCTTAATGTCCTCGTCGATCTTGCGCCATCTCTCCAGGTTTTCCTGGCACATGTCCAACATGGGCTTACTTTCGGGTATAAGCGTATACAGCAGCGTGTAACAAGGAACGCAGATACCCGTCAGGAACCCGACTTGGCTGGAAGGCTGTTGGTCGGGCTGGTATCTGTCCATCATGGGTATGGGCTTCCTCCCGGCGGCCCTCTCGGCGTCTCCCTGCTGGTAGAACTCCTCGAAAATCACTTTTACAGTCTCAACTTGGATGTCCCACGGTTTCGCACTGGCACTCAGGTCGCTGCCGGTCATCGCTATGGCCTGGATCAGGCCCCTGTGCTCGTTATTGGACCAGGAGAACTTCCTCGCTTGCAGGACCTGCAACAGCTTGGTCTTGTTCGGGAAGAACACTGCCAGGTCCGTGGCTAGGATGCAGTGCTTCAGAAGCCCCAGCACCTGCTTGTAGTCGCTGCTGGAGAGCTTGCCGAAAATGTTGTGGCCCTCCTGAAAGTACAGAAAGATACCGGTATTAATAATATGGGTGTTTTTCCGGAGGGCATATTTTCCGATCCCCACGCGGACCTCGCTAGAGGGCCTTTGCGGAGCCAGCGTAGAGTGTGTTCGAACGTCCACCCAAGTACCATGTAATTCAATAATCAGTGGATCCTGGCCAGGGGAAGAGTGAACAAAGAAGTATTATCTCTGGCTATTACTTAAAATCCCGAACTTTTATCCAAAAAATTCATTGTATAATATCAGAATTCTGTAGCCGTACAGAAATTACGAATGGAAAATCTCTTGTACAAATTCAATTAAAAATAAACTTGGAATATAAGATTAATAGCATCCAGCTTGGATATTGAATTAAAAGAAACGAGGAATAAGAAAGGTTTTATAACCGCATTAAACTGATAAAAATATTTTTAGGAATTCGTCACATCTCACGCAAATATTATTAGTTTTCAAGATATGCCTGTTAATCAGAACTGAGGAATTTGATTACGTTGAAGCTCAGGTTTGCAGCAAATTGTACTCACCTCGTTTCCACTGTTTGTCGCAAGACCAAATAGCATTATAAATAAATAAGAAATAACTTCTAAAAACATTGAAATATTTTAAATACCTGAAAGTAGTTCCATACTAACTAACCCCCCGGCACTATAAGGACATTAAGTAGTTCCCGTATTTAGAGCTTTTTGGGGTATTTCGAAGATTTTAAAAGTTTTCTATGATTTCTAATACTATTTTGACGCATTCTGTTGTTTTATAGAAAAAATGCTATTAGAGATATGTAAAACTATACAGTATAAGTAATACATTATGTAGACTGACTGTGAAAATTATTTTTAAAGTTTCACGAAACTCAGTCCGTTATTTCGTGAGGACAATTTCTTCCCGCATGCTGCAACTAAAACTTTCAACATGAAGTTTAGGGAAAATTACGGAATTCCTACGCCTGGTATTTTAGATTCAGGAAAGTTGTGTAAAGATTGGCGTTACCTCTATATAAAATTAGCAAACAATAAAGTTACCTGTTGCAAGATAGTAACCGTTTGGTTGAAATGGTGATGCTCCATAGTTGATGTGGAATATATAGCTGCTAGCGGAGATTCGATATCTAACATGAATTTGTTGTTCTTTCCTCTATGGTCCAGATCGTGGCATAACGCTCCTATGTACAGAGCTAGACACTGAAACAAGCAGTATAAAAAAATATTGAAAAATGTATTTTTCCTCGAGAAATAAATATATACAGAAGATATAAGACACCTTGTATAATTAGAAATAATTTTAAAACGCCACGAAAATTTTAAGGGGCGATACCTCTTAAAGAAGCACCCTGTATATTCAATTAAAACAAAATTTATGAAGTTATAAATATCCAATCTCCATAAATCTGTGCCAGGGTGAGTAAACTGTCTGAATTATTTCAAATTCAGAAATCATGTTAATTTTCTTGTAGTTCAGTTGAGTTTTGGGTAAAGTTTCTGTTTTCATTAAAATTATTCCAGGAGGACCTGAACAGGAATAACCGGAAATTTATGAATGATTACAGTATAAAAGCTTCAAATGTTAGGTTCTGAAACCGGTGCTGAATTTGTGGAGTTGCATACAAATTAGCAGAACCAACTAAGTCGGAAGTATTTAACGCTTGTTACATTCATACAACTCATTCCGAGTTCTATGAACTTCACTTTATTAGTCGTTACGATCTTCAACACTGAAAATTTACCTCTTTTAGCTTTTACTGAAGGTATATAGAGAAAACAGAGAAATGAGCTACAATATACGGCCGTTAAATGTACTCTCGAAAAACAGCACAGCAATCACTACAACAATGTTTACAAACTGACTTTCGAATACAGTCCGGCTTCGTAAGAAACCTACAAACTATTTTTCACCCCTTTAAATTTTTGAGATAAGTTCATTAACACCCTGTATATAATAAAATTATAAATTTATAAGCGTATTCATTTTGCTTTAATTTGCTGACGGCTCGTTTTTTTTTTTAATTAATGAACGTAGATAAACTTCAACACCTATCACCGTCACCCTGTGTAGCTAATTAAAATTTTTTTTCTATCGAGCAAATTTCGACAACTTAGGGTTTCTTATCAGCGACTGATGGATGAAACCCTGTCAGGTTCGCGTCAAAGGAGTGATTAAACGCACAAATTTCCATTTTGTAAGCGCTAATCAATTTTATACTGTAGTTAACTTAGTTTAATCTAATGTATGTCATGTTACAGCTGACTGTAGCTGAATTGATTAAAGTCGCACACACCTGAGATTACATGGAACTTAGAATCTAAATGATTCAGCTTAAAATACATTCAAATGACGTCTACAACACGTCAGTAGTCTCTTTTTCCGCACTGTTTTTAACGTACTATATTAAATGCAGAAAAATTCATTTTTCTTCGGCATCCCAATAAATATTTTTTGATAGTTTTACAATTTTGTCTTAATGTTCAGTAATCCAGATATATTGAAGCGATATAATTGAAAGCATAGCAATTTTTTATAAGTATATAGAAAAATGTCTCTTACCTCGATTTGCTTGAAGAGCCCCTTGGACTTCTTAATAATGCAATACATACTATTAGCCACAGAAAACCCGTGTGTCCAATTGTGATAAGGTACCCTCCTGTAGTTCTTCCTAACGGTCAGCGTGAACCTCAGCAACGTATTCTGGTCGAATCCGTTCAATCCGAACAAGTCCCAGAACATATAGATCGCGCACTTAGCCTTCTCGTAGTCCCCCAAATCAAATGGATTAAAATAGTAATCGTCCACCCCTACCATGTCTCTAGGAACGCCCTCTTTGAGCACCGTTTGGTACTCCTCTTCCGTGCAGGTGTTGTGGTAGCTCAACACCTCCAGCGCCACCTTATACTTTTGTTCAGATCTTTTTATTTTGTCGTACAGTTTGGCGTGGTGGAGGGCCAAGCCGCAATAGACGGCGAACATCTCGAAGGCTTCCTCGTCGTCTTTGGTGAATGACCCGAAGTGTTTGTTGACCATTTGTACCACTCCGATGATGGAGCCTCTTATGTAGATGGGCATGCAGAGGATGGTTTGGGTGGTGTAGCCTACCAAGAGAATTCGTTGAATTTTCAATATGGAAACATTTATTTATCGCAATGAAATGTCCAATGACGGGACATAATAGAGTTGGAAGATTTATGATATGACATACCCGTCAATTGATCCACCGTGCGATTGAATCGGGAGTCCGCATAGGCGTCTTTGATGTTGAGGATCTCCCCCGTCATGGCGACTTGACCCGCGATGCCCGTGCCCAAAGGAAAACGGATTTCCTTCGACGGGTGCACCTTGATTTCCTCCGCCTCACCACCGATGGCATAGAGACCGTCCGTGTCGGTATTTTCCACGCCGACATCGAAAATTGTGGCGTAGAGCTCTTTGTTCTTGGAGTCGACGAGGAAGAGGGACGCTCTGTCCGCGTCCACCAGGCGTTGGGCGAAGTTCATGATCTTCATGACGAGCATGTCCATGCTGACCATGTCTTGGAAAATGGACCTGGAGATAAATTTAAGTGTAATGCGATAGGAAGCCTTCGTCTTTGAAGTATATTGAATAAGCAAACACGCTTTTTCCATGGGAAACGACTACTCTACGGACTACAGCTCCGAGCAGAATAGAATTACACCCGCAATATCTTGTAAACGTCTAAAATGATGTATGCTTTGTGCCAGTGAAAATTTCATAGTAACAATAAATTATTATTAAATTATTCTATATTATTATCTTATTTTTATCAGCAATGTCACGAAGCGTGATTTACAGCGTCTGTTATATTGTTGTTGATGCATTTCGGCGACGACACTGATTATTATTAAATTACAATCCACGGGTGCAGAAATATTTAAATTTCATTTACTCCGGTTGAATTAGATCATAAAACCTGAAAAATCTCAGCCATATTTTTATATTTAATACGAGGTGAAGAGAGACATAGCTTCTATGAAGGTAGCTGCTATCTCTTTCTCGCCGAATCAACGTCGGCCATTTGTTTTTTGCCCGCCTATCGTCCTGTTGTCATATCCCATCAGATGGATTGACTCATCGGAACCAGGTCATGTCAGTAGTCCTTCACAAACTAAACACAGTGCTTCAAAAAAATTAGTTGCGTTACGTAGCATACCGGAATAACGTACGTATGGAACTAAATTTTAATTCAAACAATCGGGAATGACTTAAATTACGTCGACGCCCTACATAATTGATGCTCATTTTTTAATTTTACCCTGGGACTCGGTCCAGATCTCTCATTAATGTACTTTTATAAAGAATAGCTAGATAAGCGACATTCTCGCTGTTACAGTTCTCATCCAGACAGAGATTAATGTTTTCCAGGAAGTTATTTCGGTGCCCGTTTTTGTACTCGGATTTTTCCGGTTCGTTGTTGCAGAAATGCTTAAATTCTTCAAATACCTGCACTTGTTTATTACTTCACAATCAACATTTCTCGTTGTAGTTACTGGAAGCTTAAATTAGCACTAATACAAACAGCTTAATGTCATGTATTTCGTTCAAGTGTATATTTTGAGACAACAACAGTTATATAAAATATATTTTTACAAGTAGTAGCGAAAAAAACACCAATTATTTTTAGGTGGTCACATGCAAATATGGACACTAAGGTGTAGTAAATATTGAAGAAAGTAAGCAAGACCAAATGCCCAAGGAAACCTTGAAAAAATGACGAATGACAAGCTTCACAAAAAAAAGTCTTGTTCGAATGACCAGAATACATTATTCCTATGTATTTTGAATCATTGCATTCGAATCTGATGTCAGATTTGCCCCAGCAAATCACCAGAACTTTCTAACATCCAAAAATGCTTAAAAAACTTACAAAATCGACAAACCAGCATTTAAAATCCAAGTATGACTTGCCAGCGCCTGAAACAAGTGGTTAGGTCTTTAAATTCCCATGTATCTTGACCTGCTGAACACGAATCCAAAGTCAGTTTAACAACAAATCCTTCCTAACCTTAAAAAGAGCCACAAAATAAGCTTCTATGATCTAGGTATGATTTAACAGCGACTGAAAATCATGGTCTGACTTATGTATTCCCGTGTATTATGACCCGCTCAATTGCCCCACCAAATCACCAGAATTTTCTATCCTCGTGTCAGTTCCTGTTAAACGTTTTATCAAAGCGAACACTATTACGATTTCTCATTATGAATTCAACTTGTGTAACTAATGGTACAACGAGAAAACAAAAGCGCTACAACAGCGTCAATATTTTCTCAATTTAGTTTCTTTCGTACTTGGCAATATGCAGCAGCCATCTTTATGGGACTTTGTCAGGTTTGCGCTTAGCGATATTGCATTATAGGAAACGTTCCGCTTGATGAGATGGCATTCGATTTATTCGATATTAGGAGATTCTTCAGTTTTATAGCTCGCGCTGGGGCTTCCAGCTGATGATATTTTCTAACGCTTCAAGCGGAAATAAAATGCTGACTTTGTATAGATAGCCTTGACGTTGCTTTGTATCGTCACGAAATGAAAAAGTAGGTACGTTCTAAAATGAATAATGTAGATGTAAAATCCGTAAAGCTAGCATAAGTAATGTTGTTGCGTAAAATTGCAATAACGGGTAAAAGCTAGCTCTATATGATTTTCTCTTTGAGCCATTAACTTGTTCTACACCAAATAAAACAGCCAACAAAAATAAACCGTGAACAGTTTAAATTTAAGTAGAATCCGATCCTGTCCCAAAAGCTCACGACGGGCAACTCACACACCTATGACGGCAATCACATAAAAAACGCTTCATTTTGTTACATTTTTATCCAATATTATATACCCTGTATAATGACAAAATATATCAAGGCATATATAATTAAAAGCCCTTTTCGCGACCTATTTAATGTCATAAATTTCGACACAGTACATTGAAGATATCTTTAATTGCTATTTTGTTATAATGACATGTTTTTTTAATTAGGCCTGAAAAGTTTTAAGGAGTTTCAGACTCTGTATATAAAACCCAGAGAAGAATTATGTTTTGAAACGACATCGTCAAAAGTGCCGCGTTTCCAAGAGCTACAACAAAACGTGTATTATTAATGATACGCCAGTAGTTGAAATACCTGACGTTCCGTGCTGCAAGAAGTTACATCGAAGAACATAAATCTTAATTTTCAGTCCATTTGATGTCTCAAATTCCTCGTTTCAACGCTCGTTTGTTATGGAACTTAACGGGGCATTCTGCTGACGAATGATCCTAGCGCAACGGTGATTTTAAGAACATTTCATCATGATTCATTGAACAAAATATATGTCATTTATCATTTCAACCGGATATTTAAATTCTGTGTCAAATCTAAAGAAAAAAAAGAGGTAAAAGCAAAAAATCAAAAATATAATGTTACCCATTTTCGATTTTATTAAAATATAGGTATCGACTGCACTGAATATCTATTTTACAAGCATTAATTCCATTTAATCCATCATAAAACGTATAATCACTGGTCGTAGGGCAGAAATTTAAATATTTGATAGAATATGTTTTATTTCAAAAACATTTTCCTTTTGAAGTAATTTATTAACCAATTATCACACATTTTATGACAGAGAGCAAAAATATTAATTACTAGAGATCGGTGGTGCCGGCGTAAATAACCATTTCAAAAGCGAAAATGACTGTTCAATATTTATCGAAGTCATAGGTGCATATCTAAAATTGTCGTAGATGTTATCCGCTTCATTGTACAATAACATGTGCATGTCTGCCTCTGATCCGCAGCTTCGCATCGATCAATTTATTCGATACGTATCCTAATGCCTGCCTGGCGAGCCGCTGAACAATCCAGGTTTTTTGCTGAGAGACGTTAGTCGCGCAATTCGCTGTCGTTTGTGCGCTTTGCTTGGTAGATTGTATGGCACATGTTTTTATGGCAGTCAGTAATTATTTTTTTTTGATAATAATGTACGGTAAGAAATATTTTGCAATAGCAAATCAATGATGGTTATTTATTATATTATCTGTAATAAATAGCATGCTCATTAAATGGCTTGAAGATTATTTTGAATACATAAATAACCTATTATTTGGCAACGCATTATTTTCTCCGCAATAAAGATACCCGCAGTCCGCAATAACTTAATTATAAACAAATATTATCACGAGCAACTCCTATTAATATTGATTTTAGTAAGTTGATGATATTGCTCCAATAAAAGCATTAATGATAATGAGATAATTTTTTTCGGTGCGCAATGGATTCTCATGCAATCTGATCAAATAGAAATGCAAATTTATTACAGAGAATGCAGCATATGGCGCAGATTTGGTTGCGTAAAATTATACAGCGATTATCGAAATAGGAATAGATATACAGATACTTTACTTCCAGTTGTTGGTTTACTGTATCTATCTTTATTAGAAGCATTAAATTTTTCTACCGTACATCTAGGAGTTTTTTTTAAATGCAATAATTATTATTGGGATATAGAGTGATACAAATGTCAATAGTATTTGAAACCTGGAACGCTAGACATTGATAGATCGATTATAATTTCACAGATTTTGAGTTAGTTTATGTTTAACTGTGTTTTGTAACAATCTTAAAGGCAAAGTTGATATTGTAATATGTGAAAATATAAGTTTAAAGAATTTCTTTAAAGAGAGTTTTAATCTAGAACAGAAGAGAAAAATTCCCAAACCTAAACTATTAGTGATTGATCAAGAAATTCCATAAACTCAGAAATAAAAACAGTAGCAGAAAATTAAAAAATGATGAGCTTTGCAGCCTCAAATGGATGGATACAAAAATTTGTTGAAACATGACCCGCGAGAACGGTACTTCGATGAGGATTAGTGGACCGATGCAGGGTCCGCCGAAGTTACGCGTAATAATTCTTGATTAACGTTTCAGATCAATGAGAATTGTTATTTATGTCCTTTCAGAAACATTCTGTTCTAAGAAATAACAGTAAATCTAGGATCACTCACTTGACTACAGCCAGCAGAAAGTCGTTAAGCTTTTTCTGCTGATTCATATTGAGGTAGAGGTGGGCGTAGTGGAGGGCGATACCGCCCCACACCAGGTAGCTGGAGGCGATCTCTTCGTCCTCTTCGTAGAACGGACCGCCGGTATCTCGCCTCCACAGCTCGAGCACCGCCGCTAGTTTTCCATCAGACTGCATAATCGGCTGGCATTGGACGTGAACGATATCGCCTTGCAGCTAAAAGAAAGACACATATTTGACAAACAATGGACTATAAAAGTTGGAGTATAAAGCCAGTGTTGTTTTTGTTCTCGTTGTTGCAGACGTCAGTTTGGTCTGAGTTACATTTTTATGTCTTTAAACTGGGTTGGCAGGACAAGGAATTCGAACAAGCGTAGCATGTGCCGGATATAAAATACAGCATAAAAATAAAAAAATTGGGAACGATAAAAATTAAGTTTGTGCTTTTAAAAATACACGTTAAAAGTTATTAAAGTTATTTTTTTTTATGGAATAATATAAACTCTAAAATTATCTAAAGGTAGTAAATTACAATATTAGTTTTGTTTTGTATGAATTATTTTGATCAATTTAATATTATTCATCAATTCTCCAATATTTAAGGTTAAAGTACTATTTTTTCTTAATTTTATCTGTATTTAACAAAAAAAATATTTTTTTCAAGTATCTAGATGCTTTATTTGGGGCTGTGCAACATTTTGAATATTGGTCAATTTTTTTTCAACATTTTTTTCAAAAAATTATTTTGCGAAAACTATCAAACCGATTTTAATGAAATTTGGTGTATTGTTTTATTATACTCTAAAGTTTTTTTTACCAAAATTAGAATGCCCTCGGAGCAATTAAAATATATTTTTTAAATTATCCAAAAAAACTTGATTATTTTGCCTTTAATAAATTTAAACATTTTTAACTTATTGCAAAATTTAATTCTAAAACTTTTTTTGCTCTTCAATATTCTTCCAAAATGCATAGGTTCCAAGATATTAGTAAAAAACTCAGATAAAACAGATATTTTTCTAAATTTTTGGTCATACTTTAAATAGTATTTTTAGCTCTCATTTATTATTTGTGTCTAATGCTCAAATGAAGGTTATAAATATAGCATTTATTAATTATTCATCCCCTCTTTTTCCGGGTAATCAACAGCTGGAAAGTGAACAGAATAGAACCTGAATAGATACAATGAAATACTTGCAATTTATTCTCTGATAAAATCCAACGAAGGCATTGTTAGATCAAAACAACAGCTTTTCCTTACCGTTCTCCTAATGCTACGTTTAATGGAGACAATATATCTCAGTAATAAACTAGATAGGTAATGGCTTAAGTAGTAAATAAATGATTATTTGATCTTGCACTGCCTTGAACGAAAATTGATGTGACAGGAACTGATTAAATAAGCCGTAGTGCTGCAACAACAGGAGAGAAAATATCAGACACAGCAATTTACGTTTTTGAAGCAAAACTTTTGTGTAGTGATCATAATATGCATCAAAACCGACGCAACTATAAGGGATAAGAAGATACAAGATATTCTAGATTCAGGAGATCCATTTTAACCAAAAAAAAAACGAATCCTTATGAAATTGCATCTGCCCATATGACTCTTTATATCGCCCTCGAAGTTTTACATATGCACCGGTTCACTTTTATTACGTCCTTTCCAACAAATCGTGGCAATAAAACGTAAGTCCCCAGCACGTACGATACTGCCCAATTGTAGTTTGCCACCGCAATCGTGCTATTTTTGTTAGATACAAAGTGCAGAAGCTCCAGGGATGTAATAAAACAAATAATATCGCAGTATATGAAGAAATAGTATTCCAAAATGTCAATGAATTATCGTTATGTCGATTAATTGGAACTGACAATTCATTTTTGTTACTCGTATTTTCGAATTCATGGCAAGGCTACATAATTCAGCGCATAAGTTAAATTTGACAATGTTCTGAATATTTAGAACGACGTTTCAATAAGGGACAAATGAAAATCAATTTAGATAGTCTCAGTGGATAAAAATAGTCACGGTGAAGCGGTTTGGTAGACATCTGTATTGTTCGAGGGATTGAGAACTTTTAGAAGGACTTATTTCAAGGGATTGCGATGTGGCATAAAAACGACCTTACCTCATCCATCATTTGACCTGGAAAGCGCGGATCGGGGGTGTTTCTCGAAATCCGGACCGGTTCCAGGGTGCGAGCCACGTAGGAAGGTACGTTAACGCCGTTCTGGATCCTCTGTTGCTTGTGTTCCCCGTTTTCCGTCTTGGACTCCAGGCCCAGGAAGAGACGTAGATCCTCCGGCTCGTTTCTGTCTGCCAGGTACAACCTGCGACGAAACAGTAAAATAAATTATTGCACGAAAGTGTATTTTATCACAATTTCGGCCTTAAAAGTCGAAATTGAAACATTAAATCCGAAATTACGAATTTAAGAAGCAAAATTCTAACTTTTAACTTGGAATTTCAACTGTAAACTAGATGTTTCGAATTTAAATGTCGAAATTCTAGTTTTTATTTTGGAATTCCGATTTTGAACTAGGAATTTCGATTTTAAAAGTCGAAATTCTATTAACTTGGAAATCCGACTTTAAACTACGAATTTCGATTTTAAAAGTTGAAATTTTAACTTTTAACTTTGAATTTAGATTTTAAACGGGGAATTTAGATATTAAAAGTCGAAATTTTAACTTTTAGCTTTGTATTCTGATTTTAAATTAAGAATTTCGATTTACAAAGTTGAAATTCCAACTTTTAACTTTCAGTTTCGACTTTAAATTGGGAATATCGATTTTAAAACTCGAAATTCTAACTTTTAACTTTGAATTCCGACATTGGATTCAGAATATCCATTTTAAAAGTTGAAATTTTAACTTTTAAATTAGAATTCCGATTCTAACCAAAGAATTTCGATTTTAAAAGTCGAAATTCTAACTTTTAACTTTGAATTTCGACTTTCAACGGGGAATATAGATTTTAAAACTCTAAATTTTAACTTTTAACTTTGAATTTCGACATTAAATTATAAATTTCGATTTTAAAAGTTGAAATTCTAACTTTTAACTTGGAAATCCGATTTTACACTAGGAATTTCGATTTTAAAAGTCGAAGTTCTATTAACTCGGAAATCCGACTTTAAATTACGAATTTCGATTTTAAAAGTTGAAATTTTAACTTTTAACTTTGAATTCTGATTTTAAATTAAGAATTTCGATTTACAAAGTTGAAATTCTAACTTAACTTTGAGTTTCGACTTTAAATTGGGAATATCGATTTTAAAAAACTCGAAATTCTAACTTTTAACTTTGAATTCCGACATTAGATTCAGAATTTCCATTTTAAAAGTCGAAATTTTAACTTTTAAATTAGAATTCCGATTCCAACCAAATAATTTCGATTTTAAAAGTCGAAATTCTAACTTTTATCTTTGAATTTCGGGTTTCAACGGGGAATATAGATTTTAAAACTCGAAATTTTAACTTTTAACTTTGAATTTCGACATTAAATTATAAATTTCGATTTTAAAAGTTGAAATTCTAACTTTTAACTTGGACATCCAATTTTAAACCAGGAATTTCGATTTTAAAAGTCGAAATTTTAACTTTTATTTTTGAATTCTGCCTTTAAATTAAGAATTTCGATTTTAAAAGTTGAAATTCTAACTTTTAACTTGGAAATCTGATTTTAATTTAGTAATTTCGATTTTCAAAGTCGGACTTCCAATATCTAACTTTCAATTCCAACTGTTAAACTAAGAATTTTGGTTTTAAATATCGAAATTCTAACTTTTAATTTGGAATTCCGATATTAAACTAGATGTTTCGAATTTAAAAGTCGAAATTCTAATTTTTTACATGGAATTCTGATTTTAAACTAGGAATTTCGATTTTAAAAGTCGAAATTATAACTTTTAACTTTGAATTCCGACTTTAAACTGGGAATATCGATTTTAAAAGTGAAAATTCTAACTTTTAACTTTGATTTTCGACTGTAAATGAAGATTTTCGATTCTAAAAGTCGAAATTCTAACTTTTAACTTAGAATTCCGATTTTACACAAAGAATTTCGATATTAAAAGTCGAAATTCTAACTTTTAACTTTAATTTTCGATTTTAAACGAAGAATGGAGATTTCAAATGTCGAAATTTTAACTTTTAACTTTGAATTCTGATTTAAATTAAGAATTTCGATTTTAAAAGTTGAAATTCTAACTTTTAACTTGGAAATCCGATTTTAAACTAGGAATTTCGATTTTAAATGTCGAAATTCTAACTTTTAACTTTGAATTCTGATTTTAAACTGGGAATTGAAAGATTAAACTAAAATAATTTAAAATGCCATAACTTCAGTTTCCTCTTCTTTTGTATATGAATTTAAAAAAATTGAAATATTCCATTACAATTTATTTCTAATAAGCATTTAGTTTAAGTATACTTTTCTGAAAATATCCATAACCTAATCAACGCAATATATTCTTAAAGAATATTCACTTATTTTACCAATTTATTTGTTACAAATAGAATGGAGATAATACGAAATCAGAAAAAGGGCAGCTTTTGTATGAATTCAAAGCCAACTACTCGTTCCATTATAAAATGCAACATTGTGTTATATCTCGGACATAAAATTTGTCCGAAGTTATTTATTTCTGGCACAGCTTTAGTTACATATACTCGTATAAACTATATAAATTCCTTCTACTTATATATTATACAAGCAAGATGTGTAGAAAAAACAACATTTCAGTAGACCTTTATTCAATACTAATAAAAGTATAGGTAGTAAATACGAAGACTATTCTAGAGACAACCAATAATGAAGTTATCGACATATTCGAATTAACATCCATTTTATTTAAAGGATCACATCTAACTTCACTTATGACTGCATGGATCATTTTGGAATTCTATCTCAACAAATATCGTCCGGACTGTATTTTAATACAAAAAAAATACAAGAGTTACGTAATCTATTTTATCCTACCCTATTATCTGCGGCTGTTTTTGTTAGCATAATAACATTGATAATGTCAGCAGTTTCATCCAAATGTATGATTTTGTTTGTCAACTAGGATATGTTTATTCAATATAACCCTTAAACTAATGCCCCCCTAATCTAAACGAATTTTCGATAATCTTCCGAATTCACTTACATCGGAAACTGACATTTTAAGTAACACCTATAAGTTTCAATTGCAATTGCACAAAAATATCAACGCAGATAGATTACTTGGTTCTATTCCTCTATGAGATAAATAACTTTGAAATGAAACATCGGAGGGCACAAAGATTGATTCGAAGTAGCTTTTCAAAAGCATGTGACTTTATTGGAAAATATTCAGCATACGCTTTGATCTTGGAACTAATTATACGATATAAGGCTTACAGGTAAGAAATAAGATAAATAATATAAGATATGGAAGATAGACATTAATTCATTGAATCTTTGACTATATCTGACTAATGATGTAAAAAATAAATAAAACTGCAATTAGTTCCTGTTGACGCAAGCATATAATCATTGGGGTGGTGGCCGATGATATTTAATCTACCTAATTTCTAGTAATCCCGGACACAATCAATCCTGATTGTGTCCAATTAATTAAAAAATCAATTAATTGGAACTTATAATTAAAATGAATTGTTTGTAGCAGTTTATCCAACTTTATACAGTATTGTTCTAGCTTATTCAGGTGTATTTATAGAATATAATCAAGTTTTATTATCTGGTATATACTAAATTTTAATTTGTTTTTAAAATACATTAAATCAGCTTGCGAGTATAATAAAAATTTTTAATTTTACGCTGGCTAAACCAGGATTAAAATGTTTTCTGTACACTTTGAGTCAGTTTAAAGCTGGATAATGACAACTAATATTTGTCTACTATTTTAGCAGAACTGACATTTACTTTTTTGAATAGATGATTAATATTCAGATTAAAGGAAGATGTTTAATAGTCAGTTACTGTGTAATGTTTAATAGGAATTCGGAAACGCGAAAGGCGGACCTTAAGTGAGGTCGGTTAAAGGCAAATTCGATGTAGTTAGTGGCGTTTAATCGAAATCTTATTACAAAGTCCCCCGAGAAATCCTAACAGGTCGATGCCAGGGGCCATAATAGACTGTCGCCCAGTCGTTAGTGGTAATCCTTCACGTTTGTAGTTTTAACTAATTTGACACTGGATTGACGAAGGAAGCTTTACTGTACGTTTATTAATCAGCAAAATAAATGGTTGGAAATTACAAAGGAAAAAGTAGGTTAAAACTATTTATACCATACGGGAATATTTTGTGATCGAGAGTTAGTTTTCTTTAAATGCACTGTAATAAGCAGGTTTAATTTAGTGTTTTTAGTTTTATTTACTCTAAATACGCAAATTCAACTACTTATCTAATTTGGTTTTCTCAAGGACCTGTCTTCATAAACCGTTTCGAAGCGAAAAGCTTTAAACGCGATATTACTTTTCCAACAATGTTGTAGAATTAAGATAAAACTTTCTGTTATATTAAAATTATACACTTTCATTTTGTTCACGGGATGAAATCATCAGCTTTAATTTTTTTGTATTCGACCCTACGCAAATATGAAACAAGCACAGTGCCCAACATTATTGTCTTTTTAATATATTACCCCAGCCACTAGGGGCATAAAATTCAGTAATATTAAAACAGGAGTATTAAATTAAACTGGGAAAGTATTATTTCCACAGGGTCGTTCATCCTCCATTATGCTGAGATAAAACGGAACGGGGGGGACGATTCTATTAAAGGACAAAGTTTCCTGTACTACCATAACATTATTGGAAAAGTAATACCATATTTCCAGCTTTCCAGTTTGAAGTGGTTTTATTTTACGTTGGTGTGAAATCTAGACTGAGTTAAGTTACGACTACGATAAATTTTAATCAAAGGATAACCCAGATCTAGATGTATTGGAATAATTTCGGTATTTGTAACTAAGTATAACTAAAAGTAATAAATCAGATTGACTGGTAGGGTTTAGGCGGATGTCAAAGTAAGTACAATGTTTTTTCTTTTTATTACTACTGCAAATAACTAAACTAAAATACTTTTACATACAGAGTGTCCTTCAGCAATAAATAAAATGTTATATAGCCTTATCCACGCCCATTACAATACAGAGTGTCCCGCATCCCGAAACGACACCCTGTATAAAAAATCGGCCCCTTATTGAACGCAATTAAAAACCATCCTGTAAATGATGTAGTTTAAGATGACGTCGTAACTTTAGGAAGATTGTCTCTTGATTTTCGCTTTGACCTGGATTGTCTTCACTAATAAATGAAGTGTGTGTCGCGTTTTGTAAATTCAGTGCTATCATATTAATAGAAGAATAGAATCAACATGAAATGATACTCTTCAAATAACTATTAAGTTGTTTTATTTATACGAAGACTGAAATTTATCTCGGGGTCGAAGTAAACGCTGAAATCCTTAATAAAATCTGACTCATGCAGAAATACATTATTCACAACAAAGGCTAAGTCTACTGAGATCTTCCTGGAGACCAACGCAGTCTTGAATGGTGTTTATCTTTAAATAGATTTTTATGCCATCATTGTATAGAAGGAGAGAACAAGGTTATTAATGGAATTATGGATTAACAGCGGGCCCAGGATTGATCCCTGAGGATAACATACATACTGATACTGATACCTGTCAGAAAGATAACAATATAAAAGAGACAGCATAGAAAGTGAAAGTACTAATTTAGTACTACACACAAAAGCCTTGGAGAAATCAGTATAGATCGCATCCCCTTGTTCTTAATTGTCCAACTCCTCTGCCTAAGGCACAATAAATTGTTGTTGTGGAGCAACTTCGCATAAAACCATGCTGGTTACTGCTAATAATATTCTTCACATGGCTGTAGATACAGTCAGCGACATTATTCGTATCACCGCTTTCAATTGGACAGGTTTTCCTTGTCCTCCGCATGTAAGTATTTAATCCCCCAGATTAGATTACATTGAAAACTTCCTTTATGGGGCATAATGGTGGCTGATAACGCGCGTTGTTCAAAATCCGAATAAGGCATCCGCTAAAGAGTAAAACTCGAGCCCGCATTATTCTCCATAAAGCAGGATAATAGGCACGTAAGGTTAAACAACTGCTTTTGCAGACGTAAAATTAACTGCTCTAGCTGCTATTCATTGAACAGGAAAATGACGCGGGGAATTTTACGACTGCTAGGAACGGTTCTTCTCGAAAATAATGTACGTAGCCTCTCGCAAACCATGGTCCTTGTTCTGTTAAATCTGAAATGTCGTTTATTGTTACATGCATACATAGGGTGGAGTACAATGTTTTTTTAATTTTACAGTTGCAGAGTTACAGAAGGTGTCAAATCCACAAATTCGTTGGTTTTTAATTTTGCTGCCATCGAAGGGTCGTTTTTGGCGATAAAATAGCTTGTTTCGTGTGTTTTGGCAAATACTCGCCCAAATTTGCATCGTAGAACATTTTTGACAGGAAAAATGGCTATTTATTATTATTATTATTATCATTATTATAAGAGTGAATTCTACTAACCTGAACCCGTCGGCACTGACTGCCGAGCAAATGCAGTTGGCCAGTTCCCAGAGAACGTGATCCTTCGTCGGCTTCAGCTGAAGGCTCTGCGTCAAATCCTGCAGCATCTGCCGCTTGTCGGCGTGCACACAGAACTTCCACCGGGAGAGGCTGGTCTTCCTGCCGTTCCGGGTGCACGATTCCGGCTTCTTCTTCAGCCTCTGCGATTTGCGGATTATCCACCTTTCCAGCTGTTCGACCTCTATCTCATCCATTACGTAGCGTTCTAGGAAGTCGGGGTGTGCGAACAAGAATTCCGATACTTGGTCAGCTGAAACAAACGGGGGTCGCGTTTTTAGGTGGATTTATTGTGGATTTCACGCTCGCCGACGTTTGACGTGAAATATAAACAGCGGGAGAGATGAGAAATGCGAGTTTATGGAGTATATAGAAGATTTATGGGTATAATGGCGTTTCCAGTGGGGTAAAGTGACAAACAAAATTGAAAATGTCTGTTTATTTATAAATTTGCACGTAGAATACTAAAAATATTCTTTCCACGTGTGCGAGAGTGTATTTTGCTATTAGAGTTCATTGTGTTTTAGATTACGTGGAGCAAAAATTACATGGGAATACAGGGTGTCCCACTAAAGTCGTCGAGGTACGATATTAGAGAAAGTATAGGCCCTAGAGCTTCGGGAAAAAAATTTGATTAATAAATCAACCAAGAGAAACCGCTGAACTTTTTTTCCGAAGTTCTAGGACCTTACATACTTTTCCTATTATGGTACCTCGCCGACCTTAATGGGACACCCTGTATTATTTCAGATAGCACCTTCTGCCAAACATAACCGCGAAAACTTGAAACGGGATGCATATGTACAGTTTAATATTAACAATTAGCAGTGTGGTTAGGTATACAGATTCAATACGTAGCCACCATGAAGTTATTGCGGGGCCGTTTGACTTCACTAATTAATTTCACATGGTTGTAGATAATTGCCGATTGTGAAGTTCCGCCACAAATTTAACAGGCGATAGACTCTGGCTCGGTAATCAAACAGTTGGTCTTAACGAGTTTCCGTGAGTTGTGGAAGTTTCTTGGCATTCGGGAAATCAACTGTAATTTTAAAATCCTTAAACTACAGAATAAAAAGGATAAAGTGGCGAGTGGAAGTATGATGGCGCCAAAAGTTTCTCTAATACTGGCCTCAAGGTTCTGCAACTAACTAACTTTAATCGACTATATTCACATGTCACGTGATATAAACTTGGTAGTTATTGGTAGGACAATATCAACGATCAAGTAATAATAGAATAAGTATTATACATATATCTTATATCTATATGGAAAGTAGATAATAAAAAACAAAAAAAAACTTGTTAAATTTGATTTCAAGTCGTTTATTCGAGTTTTGTTAACGAAAACCAGAGTTTTTTGGTTTCATTATGGCAGAAATGCCACAAATAAATAAATATTTCTATGACGGTCATAAAAGGGCTTTATTAACCAATTTGATATGCAAGTCAGATAATCTGACACATAATTTTGGACATCAGTCATATTTATAATACAAGTATTCATTAAAAAGGGTACTTATGTCTTTTAAATTGGAGAAATTTAAATTGATATCGATGAACGCCAACTTAGCACTAATAAAACAACGACGAAACGTCGCAGGTACTTATTTCATTTATTAATTATTTCTAAGTCACTTGCAAGGATTTAATTAATGCAGCGCTAGCAATAAATCAAAACTTTGGCTAATTCCCCTATGATGTGAAAGTTTAATGGGAGTTCGCAGGCGGCTATCTATTCCGAACAAAATCCGCAGCAGGTAAGGCTAATTTTTTACGGATGAAAGAAAGCTGCTCAGATTAATTAATTAAACGTAATTAATTAAAATTTGGACTTAAGAGAATCTCGGTGCTTACATGAATTTTTTATTGGGAAAATCTCAACATTTCTTAAATCAGAGCTTTCTCCAGTTGAAAAAAAAATTCACTCAAATGTCACTCAATTTTACTAAAACAATATAGATAATGTTAATTTTATTATTTATATTTTCCAATTTTCAGTTAAATTTATTTTTGATGCCGACAAATTATCATCGACATTGAAATTTGAATGATATTTTATGTTTCAACTATTTAAGAAAGTCAGATTATTTTGTGACTTAAAAATTAAGTCATTTCACATTCCAAACCATTTTAAAGATTGGTATAATCTTGAAATTATTTTTTCAGTAGTGACATTTTTACCCCTGAAATTGTCGATACCACTTTTTTTATTCCACTCGTATAATAGATCTGCAAAAACGTATATTCATCACAAATACATTAAATTATCCGCAGATAAAAATAAATTTCGCTGGAAAAAGCCTGAACCTTACCACCATTGAACTGAAATTTCTACATATATTAAATAATAATTCAGTGGTAAGCTTTTACAGCCTAAAGGTAACGTTAAAATAAATATTCATTCAACGTCACTATCAACTTAAAATTGAAACATGAAATGAAATTTCTGCCATAAAATTTGTTTCATCACATTTTTATTTAAAAAAAATTCTCATCTCGGCTTTGGCATAATAAATGAACTTTTGATAAAAAAAATGTACGGGTTACTGCCCGATGCGTAAAAATAATCTTTTTTTTTAACTTGACGTTCCGATGAAATATTGTGGGACACAAAGTTATACATATTTTATTTGAAAATTTCCCTCACTTTGCTGAAACCGGGCTCGCTATTTTTCATTCAAATTATTAGTGACTCGTAGCTATGTTCCTGTCAGTTTGGAGATAAAATTTTATTTTGAAGACGGACATTGTTAATATGATGCATGTAATAATTAAAGTCTGGAATTTTTTATTCATTCGGTCTAAGATACTACTACCACTACTCGCTAAAATTATATTCCCACATATACATAGATCATGGATATATTTTATTAATAATTTATAACACGATTATTATTACTGTAATTAAAATTAGATATGTACAGTGATATAAATAAAAGCTTTCAATAATAAATGCAACCCACGTCCCTTTATTGTGACAGAATTATTATCTACTGTAATTATTGTTGTTTCACACTGCTATTTTTTTTTAGTTGCATAGTTATTGTGATTAAGTTTACGAAGAATATTATTAAAACTTGATACAAAAGCTTTTAATCTTCACTTTAACAAATTTCAAGGAATATTCATCACTTTATCAAAGGACAACGTTTTTCAACGATAGATGAGACACATAGTCCTATCAATCTGCCACGGTCTAATGTTAAATTTACAAAAAATACCACCTGGAAACAAAAAATATGCTGATATAAACGGCGAAGTTAACCTAAAAAATTCATAAACGTCAAAAAAACGGTTTTTCGCTAATAAAAAAAGAACTTTAACTCCAATCGAAAAAAGTTAAATGAGAAAATTGCAGCCATAAGAAAAACCTATCGATTTGTATTTTTAAATATATCGAGATATATCGAAAAAACTGTCAAAAATCGACTTTTTTTTGTTTTTGCTGTATCTTTTGCAAATTAAGGTTTTGAAACTTGTTACTTGCTGTAAATGTAGCCCTCGGCAAGCAAAAAAGTGCCCTTTTTTAATTAAAAAACTTTAAAAATTTTTCCGAGTTATATAAAGTTTTCGAAAAAAGGTCATTTCGAAAATCGGCTCTTCTTGCTCGACAAATAGTCGTAGAGAAATGAATCTGGGCTCATTTTTTTCCTTAAGCGTTGTATTTTCATGGTAAAAAAAAGTGATAACGATTTTATTCATTTCAAGTGACCAAAAATGACTGAAAAAAGTGAAAATTTTTTGGTCGCGTTTTTCTTGAATATCTTTTTCGATTTTCATTTCTCGATATGGAATGGGATAAAAATTGAAGATTAAATAAGTATTTTTGAGAAAATTAACAATTCCCGTTACTTTTTGAGCAAATCCCGTAAATACTAAATATACCAACATTGTACTATTGCATAAAATGCAATACATTTATAACAAAATGTTTCTTTTTGCAGTTAACACAAAACATTGTCTGCGTTTGGTGCCAAATAACCACTTGGCAGCGGAGGTCTATTTATTTATACGACAGCCAAAATATTTATATCGCGGATTTCGCTTTTTATAAATAGCTCGGCATTATAATGTCGCACCAAACTAAAAACACAAATTAATTTTTTGAAGTCTATAACAGCCAGATTTTATCCTCAAACGGCATTTCTCTCTGTGGTTGGTCTAAGTCTAAAGCACTGTCTGTTTACAAATTATACAGAACGCTTACTTTTCTCTGTTTGAAAGCAAATGTATTATGTTTGAGGTAGAAAACAAATTTATTTTCCTTCTAAAAAATAATACATAAAAGGCCTCATTATATTCTCAATTAAAATATCGTTTCACGCCATTCTGGGTTAATACCTTTGTGGAACAGAGGGCAGCACATTGAAGTTAAATGTTTTTGTATACGAAAAGATCCATTATGTTAATAGACCAGGGCGGATTTGTCGAAATATTCCACTTCTTGGATGTAAGAGGGGGCAAATTAATTTTTGGTGGAATATCTTCGGTACAACTCACATCATAAAAGTGTAGATCCCTAGATCTGGGCGCGGTAATACCTATTTTATCTGAGTTTTTTACTTATATCTTGAAACCGATGCATTTTGGAAGAATATTGAAAAGGAAAAAAAGTTTTAGAATTGAATTTTGCAATATAGTGTAAGTTAAAAATGTTTAAATTTATTACCGATGTTGCAAAATAGCAATAATTTATGAAAAAAGGCAAAATAATCTTTTGGATAATTATTTAAAAATATTTTAATTGCTCTGAGGGCATTCTAATTTTGGTAAAAATACCTTTAGAGTATAATAAAACAACACACCAAATTTCATTAAAATCAATTCTATAGTTTTCGCAAAATAATTTTTTGAAAAAAATTTTGAAAAATTTTTTCAATTTTTCAAATTGTTGCACAGCATCAAATAAAGCATCTAAATCCTCAAACGGTCACCGGATTCGAATCCAGCGACCCTAAAAACGTATAGATGTCGGTTTACTTTGTTGACAGTCGATTATCTATATTTGACCTTGAACTAACCTTAACCCAGACCTGAACGGGTCAAACGTACACCGGATTCGGATTCAGCGGCCTTAAAAACACGTGGATATCAAGGTTTTGTCTGTCCGACCTACCACTTTTTTGTGGGGCTATGTTATTATAATAAAATATTTCTCTCAGTATATATTAAAACGATGCAGAGATCATATTTGTACAGGTTTATTTTTCTGATATAAATAACTGATGCTGTTATTATTAATAACGTTAATAAAAATATTTCAAATAGATCGTAATGTAAACAATGATGTTGCTTAAGTAATAAAAACAATGACAATTAATTTTCCAGGGTACATAAATAATAAGTTATAAATATAGAAATATATTATGTTTAAAAAATTAGTGGATTTTATTGTGTGGGTGCCACAACAGATAAGTTATATTTTGAATTTATCGAAAAATTCGATTCTGGTACTTCTTCATTTGATTTTTTTTAACAAATCACAGAACTTTAGAAAATGTAATAATTTAAAGTATCTACCCTCCGACAACCAGCGTCAAGCGCTTTTAATTAAATCGGAATATTCTCTCTATTCCTTCAGATTAACTCTTCCGATTGGTGTTTGCTTGTGGTTAAAAATCAGGCCTCGTTTTTCTCTTGTATTCCGTCAGAATGCATGAATAAGAATCCAGATCTGCTTCGAGATTTACGATATTGGACTCGCGAATTTTGATCAGAAGTACTTGGAACAAACGAACAAATCAATAGTAACTAGATTCAAACACGGCTTGCTTAAGGAATCGGAAAACTGAAAAATCTTGCTCTGAATTCGATAATAGAAAACTCGGTGCTTTCAGGGATGTAGAAATAGTAAAAATAAATAAACCAGAGCGTTGTGCAGTATACTAGAAAAAACAGTCTAAGTTCTTAAACAACTTGCAGTACTATTTGCTAATAAGCTCAAAAGGGACCCAAAGAATAATGATCTTCAGGAAGTTGTCAAAGCTAAATACTTAAGGCTATTACAAAACGTATTTTATTTACGAAAAACAGTTCAAAGTTTACAAAATAAAAGTAAATACGGCCATAGCGTCCAGTAAAAATATCCCTAAGGGAAGTTATATTCAATCAAACTAGCACAGATTTAACTTGTATCTCACCGCCATCATTGGTTTGAAAGTGGCCAGAGCTCTCATATATCTGATATTTCACATTCCGTGAACATCGGTTAATGCCATTAGGGCAGATTAAATTCAGTCACCAAACCTAGAACAATTAGAACCAAGTATAACCCAAATTTATCTTAAATCAATATTGGCCGCAGATGTCGAGAATTTACGGCTTAACACTGATAGAATAAGATTCTATTTGCTTCAGATAACAAATCCTGTGTCAATAGAAGGCTTTGAGGTACTCGCACGGGAATAATTTTCAAACGATAAGCGTTGTAAACACACGATGAATTTTAGCATTTTTACATCGTCACATATTAATTACGGACCAGCCATGTGGAAAATGAAAATAGTCTGCGAAAAATTACGAAAAATATGATGTAGCACAGTAACAGTTTTTAATTAAAATTGCAAAAGTGGCTTCTCATTATTAAACACACCAAAATGTGATATTCATTCCGATTTGTTACCTCTGTCTTTGGATTCAATTCAATTCATTCAATTCGTCTTGTTTTCGTTTAGTTTTGCATCAAAGTGTTGAATATTTTGCTGTTCACTCCTTTCAACTACGTTTTAAATAGGTATTAATTAATAATTAATGATTAAATAGTGATGCAAACTTATAACACAGGTAACTTTTACTACTGGAGAATATCGAGATAATAAAATTATATACGGTGTTGTTAAGAGCATGCGCATTTTACCTGTGGACGTGTACAATGCCACAAACATAATTCATGAGCCTTATTCCAGTAAATCATCCCTAAAATATTATTTTGCTCCGTATGAAGTAATTTAATATTAAACAGCAATAGAAAGTCATAAAGGGATACAACATTCATAGCTGTCGAGCACACGTGTTGTTTACCACAAGTTTCCTTCCAGTGTAAGGAAATAATTTCGTTAAACAATAATTGGTTTCTCTCCAACGGTTTTCATTTTACCATTCTCGCCAGCTGTCCTGGTTCTTTCCCTTTGCGGTTCACACGTACATATTTTACATATCTTTCATAGTTTCAGACTTTCAGGCTTCAGGCTTTGCTAAACTGGTATTAGTTACTTAATACTGCTTTAAAAAGATATATATTTATTTAAAGTAGCATTGCGTTTACCTTTTTTCGTTTTATAGTAACGCTAGAATAAGGCTTTTATAAAAAATATTGTACCTGTGATTACGTTGGAGTTGGTGAAGTCCATTTTAGTGGGTGTCCGGCTCCCCTCTTTGTTGTTCACAGGCGATCGAGACCCTGAAAAGCGAGCACAATAAATAAAAGTTAGCCTCTCACCTATAATGAGCAATAAACGTTGTTTTAGAAGACACACGTACGTAGCAATTAATATCCATTATCTGTTTATCTCGAAAATATAATTCAATTAGTACCGGATAAAACAAATATTTAGGTTCGAGATAAAGGTTCGGTTATTACGGCAGATAATTTTTATGGCTTGCATTGTTTTGTTCTTGGGATGTGTAGAATTTTAAATTTCTCTCGCTATAAACTGGAGGATACAACAAGATTTTACCACTGTTGGTAGCATTACTATGAATTAGATTAACCTTATCGTACACTGAAGAAAATGTTCTCTTGAATGAAGAGTACGAAAGTCGACAATATTCACCAAAATAAGAGAAAAGGTTTATTTATCGTAAATGAACTCTATCGGTAAGTTTTAAAGCATTCAAATAATTCTAGTCAGCGTTTAACTTTCAAATAAGAGTAAACAAACACACATTTTATTTCCCAGATTTTTTTTTTGCAAATAATTTTCAATTAATTTGGTTGAACATGATGATAACATGAAATTGTAGAAACTATTTGAGTTTACGGCTTAAAGTTTGCAATAGTCGAACGAATAAGTAACAAAGGCAATAATCATTCCAAGAAAGCCGAGCAAAGGAGTTTTAAAGCATGATAAGGTGTTTGGAATTTCTTAACTAAGTTTTGTTATCTCTTTTCTATGAGGATTAGGTACCTACATTAGGAGAAACTAACAAATAATTAGTAAGATTTTTCTTAGGACTATAAATGAGATTCTGCATCTTGTTAAAAAAAACATTTTTATAGAATAGCTCGAATAAAGTAAATGAATCAATAATATTGAGAAACGTTTTCAAATATTTCAATAAAGTTTTGATATTGTTCGAAACATTAATAAAATTTATTCGAAAGCACAGTTGTAAAATTCGTTTGCAAAACTCTGAATACGTGGATTCCTTGTAGCTCGCCTCTACATCTGTGAAGTGTTTATAGTGGTGGTCAAGGTTACCGTCGCGCAGCAGTGGAAGACGGGGTGGGAGTAGCGCATATTTACTATGCAAACTTTAATGAAAAAGTAATAAAGTTCATTTCGGACAAAAGCACAAGAATGGACTATTTCAGTAGTACTTAAAATAAAACTACCCAATTATATTTGATTTTTTTTTTATACTCTGCAATTAAATTTTTCTGCTGTCCCTGGTATGGATGTCCAGACCCGCCACTGCTTAAATGTCGAATTATTTATCTAATACCGCAACGTTCCCCAACGTAATTCCGATATTGGAGTAGATAAATACACTTAGTGGCGATATTTATCGATGTCATCCAAATGAGTGACATATTTTTCTACAATGAAAGTCATTCTAATCTACTCTGACATAAAACGAGCATATATAGGTTACCACATGGTTCAACATACAGAGATATGCAGTGGTGGCTACTGATAAATGTATTACATCACCAAATTCAAGTTTTCCGGGTATAACTTTACATTACATAAACGAAAGAGTGCTGATTACATTCAGTACACTTTGATTTTTCCTGCTGAAAATTGGAATGCGTATAAGTTTCGTATAAGGAAACAAAATTGGCAGTACTTTATGAAAAAAATGAGAGCAACCTCTAATGTAAAGAAATGTCATTTCACCAGAAACTAATAAAGTCTTAATAACATGCCTTTCAACCTTTCTAGGAGTTTATATTATTATTCCCTCCAGAAATATAAACAGGGATTTTGGTGTACAAGGCAACTTGTGGGGTTTTCCATATAAATGCAAATCAGGTATGTAAGAAAACGAAATAGGCTCTCGCACTTTCTATACGCCGAAAAAGTACAAGTTTACAACAGTTTTACTATAAAGTACACCGAGACTAACGCTATGTTTAGTTTTGCGGCACAAATGCTGTAAAGAGGAAACAATTTGACGATGTTACCTTTAGAGATAGAATACATCAGCAGCATATAAGTTAATGTAAAAAATACCAATTACGGAGCCTGACTATATTGCCTCTAAGTTCAAAATTCGGATCGTACGTCACACATACTGGCCAGGCGCTTGTCCCTGGTTATATAACTTCAAGTGATCAAAATCGACGTTGGATCGCTGCTCTAGCGGAAATGCTGCCCACAAACATCAGCTGGAAACTGGGGTGATTTTGACGAATCATCGGCCTAATGGAAGCGTTCGGTGTCTCCAACAGCTAATAAATTTTTTTTGCGTCATTCTTAGCGAATCTAACGATCACACTCACCAGAGTTAATCAAATTAATCCTCGGACAAACAGAGCGATGCAATAACTATCCCCGAATAATATTTCGCTGCACACAACATCGCTTATTAATATTTTCACTTTATCAATTAATAACTTCTGGGTAATTATTTGCTTTCCGATAACTAAATCCGTGGTGCGAATGTGGCGAACTGAATTAATTACTGCCAGGTTTGCGATTTAATGGCGAGGAGAGGCCATAATAAAAATGTTATATTGGAACGCCAAAATTGAAGTGGAGAACTAATTGTACGGTAGTTACGTTCGCCTTAAATGATACCAGGTGCTAATTAAGACGTATTATTATTCGGTACCCTGCTAGGTGCGTAAGTAGTACTTGTAAAGAAGCTGCCAAAATGTTAACGCTAACGTATGATCTCGTACTTTCAACTGCTTTCACAAAAATGGAATTTAGTTTAAGAAATTATAAATTTAGATTTCATGAATGTTCCTAGAAGAATTCAAATTATATCCTACAAGACTATTTGGTTGCTTTTTATCTGACTTCATCGTTCTAGCTTTGTACACATAGATACTACATTCATGAGCTGAAGATACAAACGTTCCTTGAAATTATCTAAATAAATTAACAAAATAGAGTAAAACAATGCTTTTACACCCAGATAAGGGTAAATGTCGTCCAACGTAGTGGTTCGCATTGATCAGAAGGGTATGAACAATAGGTAGTTTCCTAATGAGGGACCATCTTTAACAGGATTGTATTTGGGATGTTTGTTTACCAAGCCAATTTCAACAAGTTGACCTTTCAAGTTCTCGTATTTTCTTTTTATGTTTAATACTCATCCTAGGTCCAGGATGAGGAATCAGAATTCATAAAACACAACAGTTCCCGGTCGTTTTATTTACAAACAAATAAACAAAAAAATGCTTGCACCTATGTAAATAAGTAATCTACTTACTTCTGAGACTGTTTTGTTTTTAATAGTTATTTTTGTACCAAGTCAGTAAAGTGTTTCTTTATTGAACGAGCTCAGCGAGCGAAGCGAGTTCGATAAAGACCAAAAAAAGAATTTTGGTTTAAATTGACGTTTAATGAAAAATTATATGAAACTTCAAAATACGCCCATGACAATGACAAGCAAAGGTGTCCAGATTGTGAAGAACTACAAAATCGTGTTGTCGTAAGTTTTATCTGCTCCCACTATAGTAAATAGACTATAAATGCATATTTTATGAACAAATAAATAGACATATTTGATGACCATTGCATTTTATTAATTATTATGGATGAATATTTATAGTAATTGTACAGTTATTACATTTAGTACCCACCATGTCACTTGATTGCTAATACATCAACTCTTGTATTAACGTTGCCGATGTTCTTCGGAATGAATGGCCTGTATATGTTTCAGGATGTTCTAGTTTCGAAAACTGTGCAATATTATTAACTCAATTAGAAATAATAATTCAAAACCTGCAAAATTGCAACTTTTATGTAGTTTTGTTTTTAAACACCTTAGAAACGACAAAATATGAACAACCAAGGCGACTTTTCAAGATTTCGAATAATGTCAAAATGAATTGATTAAAAAATGTCAAAAAATAAAACCTAATCTTTATTTCATGAACCATAAAGGACTGTGGGAACAATAAAATGTTATACACCACGCAGCAGTTAATTATAATTTACCAGCCTCGGACTTTATTGCCAGCCCTCGCTCCGCTCGGGCGCAAAATCGTCCTCGACTGGTAAATAATACTCCTTTATGGTGTAAATAATAACTGTAACGGTGCAAGGGTTGGGTAAATATTCCAGAAATCGCTATGGTAATTAAATTTAAATACGTTACGCGTGATCAGCATATGAAGAGCGCTTCGGCTTTAACTGATGAAATGAAATTTGCCCAAAGAGTAGAAAGTGTAGAATTAGAAGACAAAAGAAAAGCTGGCTTTGATCTTCTGCCTCCATGGCTTGGTCCCTTCAAATCGGGTTGTTTCCAGAATTTACTTCCTTAAAAATGGCCCTGACCGTTCTATTTTCATGGATAATACATTTCATTTTATCTGTAACGCTGATTTCAGTAATAATTTCGTAAAGCTGGTTGAAGATATATCATTTTCTTTATAAAATGTTAGACAAAAAGACATTAAAACCCTTTCTAACGAATCTCCGATATCATAAAACTAATTAAAGCCAAAATTAAACAATCGTCCGTTCCGTCAGCGGAATAAACCTGCCTTCGATTTACTTCGGCCATCCAATCTAGCCATTAAGGAAGTCGTAATGTAATACTGCATCTTCCACGACCGTCCGGAATGGCGAAAACAAAAAGAATTAAGTGTCATCGTGTGTGAGACGTGATGGATTGCAGCGTAACCGACTTCGGCGTCCTTTATGGGTGCATATAAGGGAATTCTTCATGCTGGCTGTATTAATAAAATTTATATTAAAAACACGGAATGGATCCACATACCGGAATTTATAGTGGTATGCGAAAGTGCTCTGAAGGCGCATAGATTTCGCTTTGTGCGGTTGTAAGTCAAAAATACCGAGAAGTAGGCACTGAATGCAATCCAGGCTTTATTAGAATAAACGTGTAAGAATGTAACAAGCACTTTTTAAAAATAAGAACAAGTTTTTTAGGCAAAACCGATTTATTTTAATCAAAATCCGACTCAATACTTATATTTCTTTTTTACACAAAGTTTTCTTTTCGTTTAGTTCAGAAACCTCAAGAGCAAGATGTTACCTT